AACGGCTGCACAATGTAAAAACAAATGACAGTCAGATGAAAAAAGCCAAAGAGTTCTATTTTCAAATATTGTAATTGATTTTTAAATATTGTTTATGTAAGTGGCCAGTTTCGAAAACTGTACGTGTGACTTATGTATAATAAGTACATTAGGTTAGATAGGATTAGATTAAAACCATAATTTATTCTATTAAGATCTTAGTTTGAATTTAGAGTTAAGCCAATTTAGTATTAGGGCAAGTAATTTTAATTTTTTTATGTGAAAAGTTGCCAAGCGAGCAGACGGTTCACCTGATTTTAAGTGAATACCGCCGCCCATGGACATCTACACCCGAGGGTTCCAGATGCGTTGACAACCTTCTGAAAATTAGGCTAGTTATCGAAAATTGTAGATTAAGATTAGTTCATAAAAGAACTGAATAGATTACCTAGGTATCTTTGATATATGTTTTTTATCTTTTGTATTAAATTTAGTCGAACTAATAGTAAGTAAAATATTTTTTGCTGCAGCACATACTAATAACATTGCAATGTGTTCATAATAATACGTATAGTTTTAAGGTGTTAGTTCAAACATGACAAAAAATGACAAAAAAGAGGATACCTACGGAGTTTCTTTCGCCTGTTTCTTCTCCGTTAGAGGAACCTCATTACGAAACGGTGGTCGATTTAAAAAATGACTATCGATAAATGAAATGTATATTTCTTATTTCGATGAATAAATAATTTGATTTTGATTTTTGAAAAACAAGAACCGAGTAAATATTGTACAGATATGACGCTCTTTTTAGATGTTTAGATACTTTATCATGAGTAACCTCTTTTTTAACCTCGTTTCTTACCGAAGAAGTGGCATAGAACGGCTAGTTTAAAAATAAATTAAATTCGAAATAGTTTTTTTTTATTTCATAAAACATTTCAAATTTTTGTGGCCAGCATTCCAAATTCAAATGTTTTCATTGTATGACAGAACTTGTGACCCGACTAGGTAATAACTTTAAAAAATAAATGTATAAACACTGTAAAACTGAAATTGGAACTTATCGAAAACAATGATAGCCGACTCATATAATAAACACGCGGAGATTGCTCTTGACCTTTAGCTGATAAGAAATAAATTTTACGTATAATGTTGCCAGCTAATAAAATTTCCACTGAAGTAATGGACAATGTTAGGCCTGTTAGAAGAGTAATGGTTTCCTCTTATTATGCGCACACTGCCTCATGAATGACTTATTTACTTTTTTTAGTCGAAACAATGGCGTAATAACTTATTCGTCCTTATTTCTAGTATTTAGTTTTTGTCCGTCAATATACTTTAGATAATTATTAAGATTATGTCTAACTCCAACGGTCGTGATACTTAACCGGACGGAACTGCCAATTCATGCAACAGCCGATTCTGTTGCGTATTACTATATTTACTTTAACATCAATAAAACTAGTTTAAATAGTTTAAATCTTGTAAATTTTATATCAATAATCTGTATAATAAAAAAAAAAGTTTAAATATCCTCAATAATGTCCGATGGAAAAGAGTTTTCACCATTTTAAGACGTAATGCAACGAAAGTGCCTGTCACTTTTCGAAAGCAATCGAGATCGGCAAAGTTTTCTGCAATATTTTCACAGTAAACATCTGATTCTTGTGCAAAATTGAGGTCCTGTATTGCTAACAGTTGTGTTTCAATTTGTAATGTAGCAAACATCCCACGATCGACTGGACAGTTGACCTTGGCAATGATAAGTCGATTAGGGCGGCAGATTTTAACTATCAACAAGTACTGGAAATTACAATCGAAGTTAGTGGAGTTAGTGTACGAAATGTTATAAACTGATACTTTTAAAAAAGAGCAACTGTTGAGTTTCTTGCCGGTCTCTTCTCAACAGAAACTGCTTTCCGAACGGGGGTACCTTACGAACCTATACAGCGTGTCGTTACAACCGCGACAATAAACGAACACACATATAGAGGATAACTTTTTAAAATTGTACTAAGCATTTACATTCTTTAAATATCAATATTTCAAATCAATTTCAAAAAAATTTTTAACAAAATCTATACATTTTATAGAAGCAAAAAAAATATATGTTAATCTTGATCTTACATTCTAATGGACCATTGTTTTCAAAAAATATTCTCGATATATTTTCTCGATAGAAAAAAATCACGAACCTACCTTTAAACGTGAAATTTGCATAAAAAAATAGATATAATAAATGAACAAATCTTAATGAAATTAATATCAGTGGTGTAGAATATATTAATAAAAAGGACTGTTGTCTTAATTTGTTGATTGAAGTAAGATATTTGTAAATATTAATTTAATTCATTAAAATGATTCCTACGCGATGGCCAAAACACCGTGCCACCGCTGTGTTGTTTCGGTTCTCTTCCAACTCCACACGTTGAACAGAGAGCGCTGAGGCGCCTTGCTAGATGGATTTACGCCGCTCATCGCCCGCTCACCGTTACGAAAATATGTTTCGTATTTATTTATTATTGAGAGTTTTAATTTTATTAGACCGTCTAAAACACGAAACTAAAAAATATATTCACATATTTAGTATTTATAAATTATTTGTATGTATTAACAGTTGTTAATTAATTTATTTAAAGGATAATTTCAATGTCAATCAGTCCTAGACATACAGTGTATAGGACCATCATTCTTTATGGATTGGGTTCAAATCCCCAAATTTTTTTATTGTACTTATTGTTGATTTTCTTATTTGGAAGTAGGTCTTAATTACCATTTAAATATTTTTATTTTACATATTTTGAATTTTTTATTTTCATAAATAATTACAACGAAATATTATTGTATTTGTTCAAAGTTGAAACAGTTGGAGAACTATCTATCAGTAAATAAACCAACTTTTAGTAGTAAAATTTTTTAACGTCATCAATTTTTATATTAATTTATTTAATTGTTCTCCCTAAAACGAAAATTTATCTTATACACGAAAAATAATTAATTTATAATTTCTTTATATCCCAAATTGACCCATTTTATAAAATGAAGTTGGCTAACAAATTAAAAGTGAAGATAAAATAAAAAATATAACTCCACTCGATGAATGGTTTGAACTTGGGACTACAGGAATAGTTTACCGTTGTGCGGTACCTCTCGGACCAACAGGCTAGGCGAGGTGTGTGCAAAGTGACAAAATTTCGATTTTAGTTATAATCGATACAAATAAGGATTTTATCGAGTTTTTTAAATTTCATTTTAATTGAAAAAGTCATATAACATAGTAAGTCTTGAACATTTAAAGGATAAATTAAAATTCCGAATATACAGCGTGTCGTTACCATCGCGACAATAAATGAACACACATATAGAGGGTAACTTTTAAAAATTGTATTAAACATTTACATTCCTTAAACATCAATATTTACAGAGTTATTAAATTTTCCAAAACAAACAATTTTAGAACACCCTTACGTATAAAACTGTAACGTAAAGTTCATTTGTAAAGGTCATAAAGCATATGAATGGGTTGAATGAATTTAAAAGAGACAAAACATATTGTTAGAAGGAGAGGCTTGTAATGCGACGCTGTGGCGCGAGTTGTGTAGGATGTTACAAATTTTATTTCTTTTTTACTTGATTAGTTTGTTTGAAAAATATTTCTTTTTAATTATGGATTTTGTTGAACGTTAATATTTTTTTTGATTATTGGTAAGTAGCGTTAGACGTATGTTCATTTATTGTCGCGATGGTAACGACACGCTGTATAAAATAAATGTAATAAAAAAAGTTCTATTCGTAATTTCTGCAAAAATTTTATGAGCCATTTCTTTAAAATCACAATATAAACCATAAAAACAAAAAATAATAATTATATGTAATTTGCCTTTGTTAATTTATTTGACTTTAAGATGTATTTTCATTAATTCCTTTTCCATTTAACTAAAAAAAAATAATAAACAGGAAGAAGATTTTCTAAAATTGTTGCTTGCTTTCTTATACTTTATACTTGTTGTTTTATTATTATTTCTATTATAATATAAAAGTAAAATACAATCATGGTCTATAAAAGATATTATAGTGATCATCTATGTACATTTTCGAAATCCTTCCATGATACTATCGATAGTATCCTACGGCCCATCACTATGCACTACACACACACTAGGTAATGAATGACTTGGTCCAGCGGCGCGTCGACGAAACTCGCGCGCTGCGCGCCGCTAAGCGGCGTTACCCCTCCTCCGCTTCCTCATACTTCACCACTCAAATAGTTAAAAATTCACTGCATACAGCGCCTTAAGGTCCTGTATCCAATGATATTATATGCAAATACGAGTTACGAATAATACAAACATCACTGTCTTTATTATGAAGAAGTATAAACGTTTATTCACGGTCCAAGCACAATGGATACATACAAAACTTAAAAGTAATATTACCACACAATATATAAAATAATATTAGAAAAACTTAAAATAAATGTAAACATAACAAAAAACAAACAAAATAATAACAATAAGTGAACGTCTCTGTAGCAGCATAAGACCGTGAAATGGACCGGACTCTGTCGAGATACATATAGCTGTTGAGACGTCGATTGGCTGGTAAGTTGGACTTTTTCTTCACGCGTATGACTTGCAAGTGCTTGATCGCTACCCTACCAGGTAAGGGCCGTCAGCCGTGACCGTTAAACTTCAATGTTAAACGCGTCAGCTCTGTGAAGCCTATTTAAAGAAAATTTTTATTTGCTTCGAAAGAACCAATGTTGTATTCTGTTACGCTAAATAGAACTTCTTACGTTTTTCTTTTTCAGAAATATCAATTTCAACTGAAATTTTATGCACTGGTAACACTATGGGAAACAATTTATTTAATAAGAATACGAACACATTCACATCCACAATCGAGATCGGCCACAGTTGTTGAGAATGGGATATTTTGCTGTACATATTATATTCGGTGTCGTAATATGCAATTTAGTTGTTCTGGACTATGTCAATGCATACATTCAAGGTACGCCACCCATGGAACAGAGGTTCAAATGGAAGCAAATCGAATACAATTTCAACGGAGTTATATGTAAGTACAATATATGCAAACTTATTGACCCGTGCAAAATTCCCGCGCAATAAATTATTCACCAGGCAATATGCAAATAAGTATTTATTAAAGGCATTTTGTTTTATTTTAAACAATTGTCAATAGAGGGTGTTATCGTACATTATTTATAAGAACTTTTTTTTCATGCGAACATTAACTTTGACTTATTTTTAACCGACTTCAAAAAGGAGGAGGTTTCTCAATTCGGCCGTATATATATATACATTATGTGTGTTCGGAGATAACTTCGGTATTTATGAACCGATTTTGATGATTCTTTTTTTTTGTTGGAAAGGAGATATCCCAAGGGTGGTATCATGATAAGGAACCCCAGATCTGATCATGGCATCCCAGAGAAATCAAGGGCAATCCTTAAATGTTATAGGAGTAGACAATGTTGTTTTACTTTCCGCGTGATTGAAGTCGGTTTTTTTCCTTCAAAATTATTCTTTAACAACTACCTTAACTAAATACAGCGATATATGTAGATATTTAAAAAAGAAAGACAAATACAAATAGAACTCAAAAGACATTAAAGATGTAATAATGTTAATGTTACTAAATGAAACTATGTGTACGGATTTATCGTGTTTATGTTTTATTTTAACTCCCGACGTTCCGAAACCTTTACAGCGTTCATGGTTCGTAACGTCGTTAGGGAATTAAACCAAAAAATAAACACGAAAAATCCGCAAACATAGTAATGTGTAATCGCGTAAACGCAAGAAAATAATCCATGGTTATGTTTCTCATGTAGTATATTGTGTCCAGCATATTGTTTTCTTGATTTTACGCGAATATTATACATATTAAATGAAACTAGTTTACGGATTTTATCGCGTTTTTTATTTTGATTTGAACTTCCCGATGTTTCGAACCCTCTCCAGCGTTCATGGTCATGGTACAGACTAATGCCCAGTTTCCGAAAGGCCAATCAAAGCAGCAATCACATAACACTATGTCAAAAATGATCAGCTGTTAATCTCTTGTTAAACTGCCTTGGGTTTCTGGAAGGTATGTTCAAGAAAAATTAGCTAATCACTGTATAACCAATGATAATGAATGAAATGAATAATTTACTTCAACTAACTCTTTCTAGTGTATAGCTGTCCCATTTTAAACAAAACTTAAATTAACGTCACTATCGACTACTAAAAACTTTACAGAACGGGAAAAAAATGAACTTTTATCCATAATAAACAAGTAAGTATTATAAAAAGAAAGAATCCATATTATTTACTAACTTTTGAATTGCATTTTGTATTTTTTCTAATCACATGATATGTTCGCATAATAATAAATAATAAATAGGTAATAGAACACATGAATGCCCTAACAACCTATTAGGGAATTATGTTTATTGTTAATAAAAACTAAGATTTTTGATAAATAACATTTCTAACCAACGATTGATTGTCCAAATTGACAGATTACTTAATAAAACTTTTGACAGCTCGTTGGCCACCGAAAAACGCTTTCAGAAACTCGATTTTCAGTTGATTGTCCGTTAATCAGTGACTAATTGCAAATCAAAATCAATGTTGTTTGAGACGTTCTAGCAACTCAGATCATGTTAAACAACGATTGATAAGAGATTTATCGTAAATTAAAATTGATTGCGCTTTCGGATTAGGTGTAAGTTGTTGCACGTCTCGATGTCATAGTTAACGCCGGCTACCGTCAATTGTTTAAACGCGATAAAATCCGTAAACCGGTATAATTTAATAGTTCCAGCATTTTACATACGATCGCGTACATCGAGTCCGCATACGAGTCCGTATCGCGTCCAAGCGTGAGTCGTTTTCAGATAGAAACGACGCCGACTACCCGAAAACGGCTCAAGGGGCCCGCGGAAACCTAACAGAAGCGGCCAAGTTCTTCGTACAGTACAACAATGTGCCGATCGGAATGGAGGTCTACAGGGGGCGGGTTTTCGTGACGGTTCCGAGGAGGAGGCACGGTAGGTACCCGCCGACGGAGCTGCCAACATATCTTCGGCTGATTATAGTATTGTTGAAACATTAAAAAGTACGTTTTGCCGACTTCAAAAAAGGAGCAAGTCTTCAATGGGGTTGATTTTAATGGTTCAGTACGTCAAAAGGTATAAGGGACCCTTATAAGATCACTCTCTTGTCCGTCTCTCCGTGTGTCACCGCCGATTTTCTAAGGAACGGGTGGAACTAGCAAGTTAAAATTTAGACCAGAAACTGAGGTGCATGTATAAAAATAAAGCTCCTAAGTCAACACGATAAAAAGATGTGGGCACATTTAAATCGCGAAAACTTGTAAATACAAAAATTTACGTTAGTTTTCAACTTTTTTTTATTTTTTGCACTTTTTATTTTATTTCTGCTGAATTTATTTATTTATTTATACTTTGTGCACAAACACTACAGAGGCGAACTTAATGCTACAGGCTGTATTAGACCTTGCTTTTTGCAAAATTCCTTCTATAATTCGCATTCTTGGGGTGATATGTATGCATACTATCATACATATGTCTATACTATATACACAACTTGTAAGACAGAAAGAAAGAAATATTTATTCGGCACATTACATTATAGGAAAAAAATAAAGAACAAGAAATAACACTAGAATTGTAAAAATGTATGCACTAAAAACGTCTCCGCTCAGTATATAGCCCTGGCAGACAATACCACGGCACTGGTTTTCTGCGGATACCTAGTAAGATTGGCGTTCAGCTCCATGCATAGAAGCCAACAAAAATAACAAAAAATAAAAACAACTTGCGTGACTCTACTTAGGTAGGGTCTAACCAGTTCGACATTCGCAGTAGAACAAAAGTGACCGACATAGCTCAGAAGGTTAGCGGCCGGCCATATAGCTCGTAGAACCGATAACCGTTGGGGAAGAAAGGTTCCCGAGTGGGAGCCTTGAACTAGCCATCGCAATGTGGGACCACCCCCCACTAGATGGAGTGACGACCTGTGCAAATGTGCGGGAAGTCGATGGATGCAGGTGGCTCAGGATCGTGCTTCGTGGCAGTCTGTGGGGGAGGCCTATGTCCAGCAGTGGACTCAAAGAGGCTGAGATGATGATAATGATTGTTAATAGTATTTACCTATATCATGCACAGTAATTGACCATTTAATTTGACAATTTATCTAATATTTACAAAATTAAATGTATCTAAAATTACATAATAATATCTAATAAACTTAATCCACGCGGCATGGTGCCAAGAACGCTATCTGAAAAGAACCAGCTCTCTCGTCACAATGTTACCATGTTATAAAAATTGGTTATTATTTTTGTGGTCATGCTTAAAACTTTCGTGTATGTACTGAGAAGCATTATAACGGTGGTACGGCCACGCAGCAGCCGAGATGTTGCACGAATGGGCAGGCTCGCTCGGGTAAGTACCACGACCTCACAGAAGACCGGCGTAAAGTGGAAGTATGACAAGTACTTTCGCATTTCGTCTGGTGAGTGAGGTAGCCGGAGCCTAATTTTCAAAAGGTTTTCAACGCATCTACAACCCTCGGGTGTAGCGGATGTCCATGGGCGGCGGTATTCACTTAACATCTGGTGAGCCGTCTGCTCGCCTGGCAACTTTTCACATAAAAAAAGGTGTGGAAATAACCGTACACTCCTCAGGCATACCGTCGACCTTGAACTACGTGGATTTCCCGTCTGGTTCGTCGCCAGCTCTCAAACCTTACCCCAACCCGGAGAGCGTCAAGGACTTCGTGTCGGTCTACCGGCCGAGGGTAGACGCCTGCGGCAGACTGTGGATGGTGGACACTGGTCTTCTGGAGGTACCAGGTACTCCCGTCATTCACTCCATAACGCGTTCTAGGCACTTATCTATAATTATGTGATGATGATACAGCTACAATCGACTATATCTTCTCACTAATACGTTTCATTTAGTTAAAATATTGGCGAAGAGTGACAATAAATTGGATACAATATTTCGTATTTTTCTATATTTCAAATTAAATGACAGTTTTGTAATTCACTTGAGTACAGTTAGTATTGATTTAATAGGTCATTAATGATGCTTTTAATACATTATCTTATGTGACAACAGAGCTTTTGGCACCCAAAATATATGTATAAACAGTTGTTATTGCAACAACAAATATTCTATAGTAACAATCATTAACAGTAAGTAAATATAGAAGGTCGATGAAAATTACGGTCCTATGTGCTATATAGGAAGTCCCTACTTAGTAACACAACGCGTACTATTACGCGTAAATATTCGTAGAGCTAGGATCTCTAATGTCTGGATCGAAAAAGACCTATCTACTAATACCCTTTGGCAGCAAGAAAGACCTACCTGACAGCCTTTAATAGCAGGATTGAGGTGTTAACCCTACCTAGGTGGGAGAAGGGCAGGAGAAAAAGGAATAATACTGCAGTTATAACACGGTGTTCTGCACACACACACACAATAATGGTTACGGATCTAAGTGTTAAAAATAAATAAAATCATGCAAGCGGCTGGTCGTAAAAACCAAGAAGCGATATTGGGTAATATTATGTTCTCTCTTTCCTTATTATTTATACTACTATTTACTTCTTATTTTATCCTTATTATTTATAAGTAAAATATTGTAATCTAATAACAGTACAATTTTGTATACCAAAATAACGGGGAGATGGACTGTCTCCTAATTTGGTTTGTATTGTAACCTTGCTATGAAGCTGGAACCTACCTTTGGTAGTACAAAATAAGTTCATCCGCCGTGCAACCGGTGCGCAGTGGTATCAACACAACGTCGATCTGCACAGCGATTGCAGACTCCCGACGATTCGCGAATATTTTAAAGACCTGACCAAACGGTTCTTCGATAGAGCCGAACATCATCCCAACCCTCTGGTGGTAAGCGCAGCAAATTACCAACCCGACACAAACGCGAACGTCAACAAGCGTCGCCCGCGAAACGTCCTCATCGACCCGGTCGAGGAAGGGGACTTAGATACGCCGGACCCACCGCCGGGGGTCCCGCCGGACAACACTACACCCACAGTTAGTGCAACAACAAACACACTAGTTCGCCCTCGCCTCCGAGCACGGCGAGACCAACACAACGCGTACACAAGGTACACCCGCGTTCCAGGGCGGTTCTCACCGCCCCCAGCCACCGATTAGCTAAAAACACAGTCGACGGCCATCGGGGTCTCGGTCCGCACCGCAACTTCGATGGCCCTTAGATGACATGCCGTAGTTAAACGCACGCATGAGCACATGCGCGGCCCTACCCACAGCGGAGGGCCCAAACCCGTGGGTTCTGGCTAGCCCACCGGTTCTGCGTCAGATGAAGCTTTAATAGTCTCGGGACTGAAAGCAAAAACATCAGTTAATACATGATACAAGACTACCTTTGAAAAATATTGAGAGAATTCAATAAGAATAGGAGGGCTATTGTATCAATTTTTAATTCATTAATAATTTATTTGTAAAATTGAACTATATTTGCGGATTTATCGCGTTTATTTTTCTAACTCTTTTTTAACCTGGTCTATCGTAGGCAAGGATGATGACATTCAGACGTCCACTACCTCAGTCTGCCCCATGATCATGAACGCTGTAAAGGGTTCAAAGAATAAAATTTAAAAATAAACGGGATAAATCGGTCAATAGAGTTTAATTTAATAATGTGTAATCGCTTAAATACAAGAAATTGTCAATTTTATTTGTTCTCAACCTTTTGTAAAACCCCTTATTAGTAATAAATAAACATTAAGAATAATAAATAAATATTTTTAGGACACATTTTTACACAACGTGCTCTAGTCGCAAACTAAGCAACGCTTGTACTATGGGTACTCGATAACTGATAAAAATGCTTAAACATACTATTACAATGTCAATAAATTATAATACATTCATATTATTCATATATAAAAACTGGGCGTTACACTAGAAAAACACTATGCATAACACAATATTTTTCCAGTAGTGGGGATAAAACCCTGGGGCGCAGGAGGCAGGTACACTACCCACTACGCCATTCGTGTCGTAAAACACATTATTATTATTATTTTTCCCGTCTTTCGCTGACGACACCTAAGAGGTTTAAAGGCAGGTGAAAGAAGAATTATTCTTTTTCGCAGGCGAGAGGAAACAAGTCAAGCCTCCGTCGATCGTGGTGTACGATCTGAACACTGATCAACTTGTTCTACGCTACGAGCTGAAGCAAACTGACTTAGTGGACGAGAGAACGCCTGCAGGTAAAACCTGACATATCCCCAAACATTATTAAAAATTTGTAGAAAAAGCACGAAAAGAATGTCGCCGCTGTGGGAATCGAACCCACGTCTTCGGCATTCGCTGCCAGACGCTTTAACCACTAAGCTAAACGGCTGATTGCCGCACCGACGAAAGTCTTAACGAGTTTTTTCTACATTGTTTTTAGCATTTGAATCAATATCCCCAAATAACCAGTGCCGGATTAAGCAATCGCGGGGCTCTTAGCAAATTCTTTCAAAGAGCCCTTGATCTGCTCTTGGATCGTAAGTGTAAAGTGGTAAAAACAATTCAATACTCAATACGTTTATTTCTCAATTTTGTCGGTTAAAAATAATAAACCTTGTAGGCCACAAGTGCAAAAAGCCAGAGATGAGATTGTTTGGCAATTTAGAATAATTTTGGTAAAAGAATTAACGAATGAAAACTGAAGATACTACACAGTTTTTTCAATGCATGTTTCATGTAAATTCAAATCAACATCTTTATAAATTTCACTCAAAAAATTACGCTCAGGCAGAGATGACTGGCTTTAAGTATGCGGGACCCCGTTTTGAGCGGGGCCCGTAGCAATTGCTACTCATGGTACGTGGTTGATACGGCACTGCAAATAACACGATTGATGCGGCTTTCGTTTTCATCTGTTACTTTTCTTGAATGCTTTTCGAAAGGGCAGTCCGAGGTAATACCACCTCTGTGAACGGCTTGAGGTGAAATTGCTGTGCGTTTGCGTATCGTCCGGCGGGTGAGGTAGCCGGGGCCCTATTTTTCAAAAGTTGGCAGTGCATTTGCAAGCCATTGTCAGTTTCAGATGTACATCGGACTTGAAGTGAGTCTTATGCTTTCGCGTATCGTCTGGTGAGTGGGGTAGTCGGTGCGAACTTTTTCAAAGGTTGACAATACATCTGCAACCTCTCGATGCCTACGGAACACACTGCGGTCTCTCGGTACTGCGCTTGAACACGCCTTGGGGAACGATAGACCTCCCCCGATTCCCTCGCCATCTTGCAGCGGATCGAGACCACTTCGAGCTGCTGCCAATCCGTGTCCCCTCCTAGTCGCCTTTTACGACAGGCAGGGGACACCTTAGTCCTATTCCATGAGCCCAAGACTACAGGGCCGATTCCATTATGTTCCATTATATATAACTAAACACTGTGGCAGAACCACGCAATAGTGTTCGCTGTTGCACGAATGGGCAAGTCCGTCCGGGTAAGTACCACGACCTCACAGAAGACCGGCGTAAAGTGGAAATGTTATACTTCTGCGTTACGTCTGGTGAGTGAGGTGGCCGGAGGGCACTTTATTAAAAGGTGCCAACGCGTCTGCACTAGTGTGTTACATGTCTATGGGCGGCGGTTGTCACTTAACATCAGGTGAACCGCCAGCCCGTTTGCCATTTTTTAACATAAAAAAAATTGTTCGCCTTGCAGGTCTGACCTCGATAAACGTCGAGATAAACGGCGATTCGTGCAGCGACGCCTACGCGTACATCACTGACCTCGCAACCGAGGGTCTGGTGGTGTACTCCATGAAGTCTGGCGACAGCTGGAGGCTGAGCGACCGCAGCTTCGTTCACGACAACGGCGCGATGAACTTCACGGCAGCAGGTAGTCAAACGGAAGAATGCAACCCGAGTTAACAGTGAAATTATTATAATCACTTCTGTTACAATTCAAACATTTCCGAGACACATCTATACCTCTATACATCTATACATGTTTACATCTATACAGATAAATAAAATTGGAGTGTCAGTTTGTAATATTCAAATAACCGCTTTTTACTAAATGCATATGGATGTATACACGGTACATATACCAAAATAACAATTTTTACAATTTTTGTCTGCCTGTCTGTTTGTTCCGGCTAATCTCAGAAGTGGCTGGGCCAATTTTCACGGGACTTTCACTGGCAGATAGCTGATGTAATAAGGAGTAACTTAGGCTACTTTTATTTTAGATTTTTTTTTATTTTAAATTCCAAGCGGACGATGTCACGGGCACAGCTACTGTTGCATATACCAAAATATTTTTTTTTACAATTTTTGGTTGTCTGTTTGTTCCGGCTAATTTCAGTAACGGCTGGACCGATTTTGGACCGACAGATAGCTGGTGTAATGAGGAGTAACTTAGGGTGCTTTTATTTTAGAAATTATTTAAATTTATTTATTTTCAATTTTCACGCGGACGAAATCGCAATCCGATTATAAAGTGTCTGTGTGTCTTGAAAGCAAGAGTTACTGCTTCAGATGGGTTGGCAATCGAGCACCTCTCGGTTCGCAACAAATGTTGAAGACGATAGGATTTGTGTCTCTCCCTTTAGGACAAGTATTGGCGAACTGGAAAGATGGGATGTTCAGCATTGCTCTGACTGAACTGGACTCTAACGGTAAGAGGAAGGCGTTCTACCATCCGCTGGTGTCCACGCAGGAGTTCTCCGTGGACACGGACTATTTGAAGGACAAGAAGAGATTTCACAGTCTAAATACGGTGAGTAGTGAGCTCCCACGTCGAGTCTAATGACGCTGACAACTTTCCACTGTGATAACTTTCCCCAAACTTGACAATGCATGAGCCTTTAAAATCGCAAATACGACACAGTGATTCTTTTTTTTTTTAATTGTTATATTATTAAAAACAATAAACATTGGACTTAATATGTATAACCTATATGTATAACAGTATAACAGGTGTGTACATCTTTTACAATAAAGTTGAAAAAACACATTAAAAAAATAACAACTAATACACAAAAAGTTCAATACAAGGTATAGGCTAATAATGAAGATTTATTGCTTTATTTGTAGAAAAAAGTAGGTACGAATAGTTTGTGTTTCGTCATAACGCTTTAGCCACTAAACCACTACGTCTTTTATCTGCATTGCATTTGAAGCAATTGTATGTTGGAAATCAAGAAATCTCGCCATTACACGCCACTGCGACGAACTCGAGCTAATAACTAAGTCCTACTCCATCTTTAATCGTTACTAATATCTCTTGCTCCGTGATTGATGGCGGGACATTCGCATGCATTCTTGTCCACGATGTGTTGCAATACTTTAGCAAGCCTTTGCAATTACGATGCCTCGCAACAGTGTTCACTGTTGCACGAATGGGCAGGTCCGTCCGGGTTAGTACCGCGACCTCACAGAAGAGACATTTCAACGTAAAGTTGAAATGTTACACTTCTGCGTTTCGTCTGGCGAGTGAGGTAGCAGTTTATCAAAAGGTGGCAATGGCAACGCATCTGCAACCCTACGGGTGGGCCAAATCTCCATGGGCGGTGGTTTTCACCATCAGGTGAACCGCCAGCTCGTTTGCTAGCTTTTCACATAAAAAAAGATTGAGATCACCGTAAGGAATGTAGATCCAAATCGTTCTACATATCTTCGCGCCTGATAGCGGGATATCATCACGTACCATCATCAGGGTATTGTTCCAAATTTTAGCGAGCTTTTGCAATTGGATACGGCTATTTCCTTACACCGATGTTCAATCTACCCTTTTAGTACCTCGGCGAGCGCGGCGCGAACAGTCAGAGCGGCTCCCATGACTATCACGCCAGGTCTAGAACGCTGTTCTTCGCAAACGTCGCGCAGAACGCCATCTCGTGTTGGAATATTGACAAAGACCTGGCACCGGAGAATGTAGCTGTAGTTGCACAAGACCCCAAGCTGCTAGCCTACGTATCCGGTAAGGGCCATCAGGGTTCCTAGCTTAAATTGGTAATTTCCCATTGAAAGATCACCCCAGATGAGCCTACCTATTTGTGCAACGGCCAAATCTGGGGGGAAACCCTACCATTGCACCAATCCTTGTAAATTCGTTGCAATGAAATTGGTGGGAGAAATTTAAAAGTCATTACAGGCATAACTTCTTTGTTATAAATAAAGCTAAAATTTTTTTAGAAATAAAGGTAGACAGAGACCTTTTTTTTTGGTATCGGGGGTGAAATCTTCGAAATATACTTTGTCATCTAACATGACAGGGTTATGAGGGGTTCTTACCCACTTAACCCCCCGCGGCCACCTTCCGTACATTTGGACTCCGGGATCTCCCATGGAACGCACCGGTGTCCCTCTGTAATACGCCTCAGCACGCCTCGGAGAAGGATAAACCTTCCCCGGTTCCTTCTCCCTCTTGCAGCAACACGAGACCACCTCGTGCTGCTGCCCATCCTTGTCCCCTTTTAGTCGCCTTTTACGACAGGCAGGGGATACCTTAGCCCTATTCTATGAGCCCGGCACTACAGGGCTACAGATGGAGACCTAACAGATAAAAAGCTAGGGGTTTATAAAATGAGTCGTAAGTTGATCTTGCTAATTTATTGGCGATAAACATTAGATTTCGTAGATTTTAATTGGGTATGTTTACGTTTTCACCTTGACGCTACGTGTGACGTAATATATCTGTCTCGTTTCAGACTTGAAGGTGATCGATAACTCTCTGTGGGTGCTGGTTAACCAAATTCCGAAGTTCATCTACTCGAGATTAGACACGACGGAGTACAATTTCTTCATCCACAGGTAAAGGCTTGTAACAGTGTACTTGCACCAGCGTTTCCCAAAATTCTTCAAGTTAAGGCTTGGATTAGACTAGTATTTCACAAAATTCTTCAATGGGTCACCAATTTTAGTTCCAGCTAATTTTTGCCCAGTGACATATTTCTTTACGTCCATGGGCGGCGGTGTTCAGTTAACATCAGGTGAACCGCCTGCTCGTTTGACAACTTTTGACTTAACAAAATGCAATTGGAGGAAACGCTTTTACTGATATAGTTCCTGACTACCCCAGTACGGTAAGCGGTGCTATGGTCATCGGTAAACATACTAAGTAGGAGTCTATTGACGACCCGACTGGCGTAGTGGGTAGTGAACGTGCCTCTTGCGTCTGGGGGTGCGGATTCGATCCCCACTACTGCAAAAATATAGTGTGATGAACATAGTGTTTTTCCAGTGTCTGGATGTTTATATATTTATAATATGTATTTATTTACAAAAGAAAAGTACTTTTAAGTATGTTTATCAGTTATTTAGTACCCATAGTTTGGGACTAGAGAACTTTGTGTAATAAAGTGTCTTCAATATTTATTTATTTATTAATTCATTGCAGCCGTTAACACCCTGTTGATCGGATAGACTGTCGCTTGCAATCATGATTGGATAGACTTTTTTATGTGAGAGGGTAGCAATCGAGCTGACGGTTTGCTTGGTGTTAAGTGATAACCGCCCTTTGACATTTGCAACACCCGTATTGTCGCAGATACATTGCCGCCATTTAATAAAGTGGGCCCCGGCTACCTCACTCACCAGACGAAGCGAAGAAGTGTAACACTTCCATTTCACATTGCCGGTCTTCTGTGAGGTCGTGGTATTTACCCGGAGGAGCCTGCCCATTCGTGCAACAGCCGAGGCTGCGGTGTGGCTCTGCGACCGTTAAGGCGCTGTATCCAGTGAATTTTTAACTATTTGGGTGGTGAAGTATGAGGAAGCGGAGGAGGGGTAACGCCGCTTAGCGAGTTTCGTCGACGCGCCGCTAGACCATTCATTACCTAGTGTGTAGTGATGGGCCGTAGGACACTATCGATAGTATCATGGAAGGCTTTCGAAAATGTACACAGATGATCCCTATAATATCTTTTATAGACCATGATTGTACTTTACTTTTATATTATTATAGGAATAATAATAAAAAAACAAATATAAAGTATGAGAAAGCAATCAACTATTTTAGAAAAACTTCCTATTAATTATTTTAAATTATCAGTTATTAATTATTATTTTAAAAATACATCTTAAGGTCAAATAAATTAATAAAGGCAAATGACATTTCTTAAACAATAAATAAACGAATAATTATTTATTTTGATTTAAAGTTTAATTACGCGATTTCATAGTCTCCACGGCAGAAATTACGAATACGACTTTTTTATTACATATTTTCTTAAACTTTATATCTTTAATTTATCCTTTAAATGTGAAAGAGTTACTACGTTATATTAATTCCTCAATGAAATTATAATTTAAAAAATTATCGATAAAATTCCTTATATCGATAAACGACAACAATTATAACTAGAATCGAAATATTGTTCCCTCGCAGACATCGTGTAGCCTATTGGTCCGAGCGTCATGGTTGATACATCTTTTTCCAATTTTAATTTGTTCATCAATTAATTATTTTGTTGTTATTTGATAAAATGTGGAAAATACAAAAATAATAAAACAATTATTTTTCGTGTTCGTTTTAGGGTGAAAAATTAAATATCTTAATAAAACAAATTAAACACAATATACAATATAAGACTTGTTAAAATTTTAAATAATGAAAACTTGGTTTATTATCTGATAGATTGTTCTCCAACTGTTGCGTTCTACGTTCAACAAATACAATAATATTTCGTTGTAATTATTTATAAAAATAAAAAAATCAACAAAAATTAAATGGTAAATTAAAAAAAAACCTACAAAAAGAAAATCACCAAAAATATGTTAAGAATAAAATCAAAACAATGTTAAAAAAAATTATTAGGATACATAATATATTCATACCTGACACATAGGCCTTTGCCTGACGTCATCCAAAGCAGCACGGCACTGAATTTTTTTTAAATAAGTTATTTTGTGTAGTTTTTTTCGAAAATAAAGTGAATAAAATTTAACTCCTAAAAAAATATTCCCATAAAAATTTACCTCCCAATAAACTTCTATTCCACATTTTTTATTCCTAAATTTCGGAAGAAAATTCCTAAGTTGGCATCCCTGCCTTTACACTGTTTGAATAGGACTGATAAACTTATCAATGAAAAGATAAGATATTGAAATTACGCTTTAGTTTTTAATTCATACAAATAATTAAAAATACGAAATATGTGAATATATATTTTTTAGTTTCGTGTTTTCGAAAGATCTAATAAAATTATAACCCTCAATAATAAATAAATACGGAACATATTTCGTAACGGTGAGCGGAAGACGAGCGGCATAGATCCATCTAGCAAGGCGCCTCCGCGCTCTCTGTTCAACGTGTGGAGTTGGAAGAGAGCCGAAACAACGCCGCGGTGGCGCAGTGTTTTGGCCATCGCGTTCGAATTAATTTTAATGAATTAAATTAATATTTAGAAATATCTTACATCAATCAACAAATTAAAACAACAATCCTTTTTATTAATATATTCTACACCACTAATATTAATTTCATTAAGATTTGTTGATGTATTACGTTCATTTTTGGTTTTGAATTTCTCTTTTAGAGGTAGTTTCATGATTTTTTTCTATCGAGAAAATATATCCAGAATATGTTTTGGAAACAATGTTCCCTTAGAATGTACGATCAAGATTAACATATATTTTTTTTTGCTGCTATAAAATGTGTAGATTTTGCTAAAAAATCTTTTGAAAAACCTATTTTTACTGCATACAGCGCCTTAAAGTGCTCTACCACCGTGATATTGAATTTCTGTTGCCGCTATAACAGTAAATACTAAAAAACTCAATAAAAAATATTTAAGTGTGGCTCCCGTACAACAGACATGATTTTTTTGCCGTTTTTATAGATAATGGTACGGAACCCTTCGTGCGCGAGTCCAACTCGCACTTGGCCGGTTTTTATTAAAATATAACCTCCAAATGTGATTTCTTTCTTCTGTTGCAGTTTCCCGATTCGCAAATTACTACGAGGCACAGTTTGTAGACGTTAGAAGTTTAAAATGTAAGCTTTTAAATTACTAGGCGTTATATATGTTCAATATTTAATAAATAATCGACGTCGGGAAAGAGACAATGTGGTAATTTCAACTTCGTAGAGCGTTGTCTCTGTCGCACGAAACACTTGCCGTCCGTGAAGAAGTGTGTGACAGAGATAGCGCTCTACGAAACCGAAATTAGCCAATTGCCTCTTTCCAAAGGTCGCTGTGCAATATTTATCGAATATTTACAAGATTTCCTTCATGTCAGAAAGGATTCTGTAAGATCCTATTTCAATACACTTATTTTAAACCCGTTATGAAAACGGATTACCGGGAAAAAGCATACAAGAAATAAGCATAAAGACAAAAACGCTATGTAACAATTTAGATCAGAACATAATCCCACAAGGCAATAACCTCTCACGTAAAAATGCGCGCATAGAAAAAAAAAGGCAACGTTACCGTCATTTTAATGATATCTCTTAGCGGACAAAACAGACGTTGTAGACACGACTTAAATCCGACAACAAGTAATAAAAGTTTAAGTTTAAAAATTAAAAGAAAAATAGTGTTAATCTAAACTTTTCTCGAATCGATCTGAAGACTTTTTTTTTTTTTTCATTTAAATTATTCAATTATTTTATTTCATTAAAATCAGCTAGCCGTTAAGGAAGAAGAATTATATACAGAAGAATTATATATATACAAATAAAACCTAGCCTAATAACCTAACTATGCTTTACAGTAATTTATGAAGAAAAAACAGTTATAGCCAATAACTAAACAGTATTATGTGCACTTCTTTTATCAATGTTAATAAACCGGCCCTAAAACAACTAAAATAAACCCCGCATACAGTCTTGTGCACTTTTTCCTGGTCAACAAAAAATGTGTGTAACAAAAAAATATAAGAACTAAAAAAATTTATCCCTTGTGGTCAGTACTCTTTGTTTGTTAAAAAGACATTAAATGCATTACATAACGGTTTGATTAAATAAATGGGAATTATAGGTAAATGTAATAAAGTTGTTATTGGTTGCCATGGTGATGATTGAAACACCGTGACAATTTGGTTTGGTTGGTCATCATAATTTATCAAAATCATAATTATGTCGGTGTGCGCGCACATCGTAAAAATTAAACTTTCATTAAAGAAGTATAACTTTATAAATATGTCCAAGATATTGTTGTCACTTGTTTTAATACGATACCCTTGACTCAAATTATATCACGTTAAGAACGAGAATAGGTACTTATAGGTACATTATTTTTTCATTAAATAAACCAGTGAGAATTAATTCTGTGTTTTTATTTACTGTCATCGTCTACCTTTTGTGCTAAGTGCTGCAGTGACAGGCTTATCAGCTGTCGCATTCACTGGTCAGACACATGAAGCTAAGTGTACTTAATAAACGCCGTAGACAGACACATTATATTTAATATACAGCGTGTCGTAACGAATAAATGCGTTCGTAACGAACGCATCTGCAATACCGATCATTCTGTATCATCCTTTTCGCAAATAAAGTGAAATTTGAAAAGTTATTTGACAGCTGATTAGTTGACACTTAGGATGATCAGAGTTCCAGAAACCGGGCGTCAGACGTCCAACGCCTCTGTCCCGTACCATGGACGCTGTGAAGGGTTCGAAATGTCGGGAATTGAAACCAAAAACAAACGCGATAAATCCGTAAACGTAGTTTCATTGAGTATCTATGAGAAAGAAGTCTGCATTTTCTTTCCTGTTCTGAGTTGTATGCTGTATCATAAAAAAATAAAAACAAAAAAAAATATATAAAAAATAAAAACAAAATTTAGGGGTGGACCACCCTTTACATTTAGGGGGATGAAAAATAGATGTTGTCCGATTCTCCACCCTGGCCGATATGCACACACAACATTTCACGAAAATCGGTCGAGCCGTTTCGGAGGAGTTCAATTACAAACACCGTGACACGAGAATTTATATATTAGATAAAAAAAATGAGATAATAGCAGAAAAATGTTTTTGTCATTAACTTTTTTTACTTTCCATCAGGTCCCCAAAGTGTGCCCTATGGCCCCGATATGGCCTAAGACGGCATTGCTCACCACAACGACATTAATTGTCGTTGGAGAAATCCCACTTCACTAGGTTATCCTGGCATCTTCCTACACCAGATCGGAGTCTATTTAAGGATTTCCAAACTGTCCAGGGAAAATCACCACCCGGGGGGAGCATCTTAACAGGAGGCAAACTTGCAGAATGTTTAGGAGGGTACTTTTTATTCCACCGTTCCAGCCTAGCTTTTCGAGCGGTGGAATTTAATTGGCAAATCCTTTCACCAAAAATGGCTATGAAAGGTAGCAAAGCATATGCAAGCATATGGGTGTTGCAAATGTCCATGGGCGGTGGCTACCACTAAACATCAGCTGAACCGGAAGCTCGCTTGCCACAGTCTCACATAAAAAATATACCGATCGAGTACGCGTATAATAACCAAGGTTTATCATTCCCGATGCAAATAATTTATTACTGCAAGCGCGAAGGGATAAAAATAACAATAAGATAAGAAAAACCAGAAATATGTCATAAAAAAAACTGTATGCGGTTATGCTGGATAACAATAATGTTTATTTTTGTGGCGTCTTTGGCTTAACTTCGGATATCGCAAAAGAATCATCTCTCATCAAAAATTGTTCATATTCTGACTTACCTACTACAAATTATTTGGAACGCGCTAAAATTTAATGCAAAAAACGCTCTTCTCTTGTTTCACCAAATCCGCAATAGATGGCATTGCAAAATTACAAAATTAATTATATAATATTTTGGCGGGAAAGGCTGACAACTGCTGTCAACCGTAACATAATTTCCTACCACTCCGTTAAAGTATAATAAAAAAAAAATACGTCATCATTTAGCAGACGTAGAGGGGTCCGAATAATTATCGTTCAGAACAGCACTCGTCATCAGATTTGGAAGACATTTTATATTCATGACTTGCGATCAAGATTTTGGCCTAGTAGAAAATCAAAAGCGATATTTTAAAAACATATTTTTGCCCATTTAACATTTTCATTAACAAACACATTTTAGCTGCCAGGAGTCAGATCTATCAAATTAATTTTTTTGCTTTTAAATTACTAATTTTTTCGGTAAATAAGGGTAAAGTGGAGGATTTTCAATGATGACCAAATTGAAGACTCGATGGTGCCGTTGCTAAACTATTGGCATCGGCGTTGGGGTTCACGGGTTCGATTCCCAAGTATTTGTGTGACCCACAGATAATAATTGTTCCGGATTAGTATTTTTTGGTATTTTGTCATAATCTTTACCTTTAATAATTTTGATTGACAAATGGCGTAGTCGGTAGTGTACCTGCCTTCTGCGCCGGAGGGTGTGGGTGCGATCCCCACTACTGGAAAAATATTGTGTGATGAGCATGGTGTTTTTCTAGTGTCTGGATGTTTATATATGCATAATGTGTATACATTTATAAAAGAAAAGTATGTTTCAGTATGTCTATCAGTTTTCTAGTACCCATAGTACAAGCATTGCTTAGTTTGGGACTAGAGAACGTTGTGTAAAAAGAATGTGTCCTAAAGAGAAACACTTTTTTTTTTAATAATAATGTGAGCAACTAATGATGGTAATTGCTCTCCGAGAAACCTTCAAATGAGCATTTCTCGTGAGCAAACTTTGTGACGTAACAAACTAGTAGTAAATGTTTATACAATTCAGCTTTACATGGTGGTAGACTTAATGGGTCAAAATTACGAATTTTTTTCCCAAAATTATCGTCTGATTAATTAGACTGATAAGTGTTCGAAAACAGAAATGGAACCGAACGTCATTGACGTTCCAAGAATCACGAGCTCTGTAAATATGACAAATGAATTTTTTTTAAGATCTTAAATGTCTTATCCAGCAATTCTTCGTTTTCTATTGTAATATTTTGTCCGGCTGATTGATACGAAATTTACTTTTCCTGTGAGTGCGTGAAGGCACGGTAGAGCTTTCGATGAAGAATATCCTAGAATTTCGTATAATTGATTGACGCTAAAAAGTCGCTCATTATTCCCCACACCCAAATTTGTCCATAGTTTTAGTGACGCAATTAAAATGATCCATGTTACCAAGAGTAAAGTAACAGCCTATACATGTCCCACTGCTGGGCAAAGGCCTCCTCTATACAGAGGGTATCAGGGCATAGTCCACCACGCGGCCCCACTGCGGATTGGTGGACTTCACATATCTTCGAAATATTTTTTTTTTATTATTTCGAAAATATGCAGGTTTCCTCACGATGTTTTCCTTCACCGCGGAGCACATGATAAGTCAGCACTTAAAGTTAATAACGTCATTGGTGCCGACACCGGGGATCGAACTCAGGTTGCTCGAGTATATTGAATTAAAGGCGAGCGCCCGGACACTGAGCTATCACGGCTCTTTGGGTGTTACCAAGAAGTATTATTAAAAGTACCTGGAGGACCGGTTTTAGTTTTTTTGTAAATCGTGTATTTTGGAAATTAAATTTAGATATTGAACATGATATATGAACTGGTGTTATTCACAAAAGAAAGAACTTTAAAAAAAAGGGATAAAATAACAAAATAACAAATGGACAAAAAATAAAAGATAAAGAAAGCAATGATCTGGAATCTAAAAAAAAAATAAGTGTGTAAATGATCGTGATACGAACCACGGTCTTCTGTTTCGTGGCTGTTTGTTAGCGGCCGCCCGATTAGCAACCGAGCTATTATAACATTTTTCTTTTCGGTGAAATTTACCGTCGTATTCGAAAAATATTTTTCATTCCATGAAAACTGGGATAAAACGACATTTTCTAAAAATGTAACCTAGTCAGACCCGAATCTACGCACATACTAAATTTCATGAAAATCGCTGGAGCCGTTTCCGAGATTCCAATTATATATATATATATATATATATATACAAGAATTGCTCGTTTAAAGGATAAGATATCTGTGGGTTCTGGCTAGCCCACCGGTTCTGCGTCAGATGAAGCTTTAATAGTCTCGGGACTGAAAGCAAAAACATCAGTTAATACAAAATACAAAACAATATCTGTGTCTGAGCAGCGTATCACAAATTCGGCATCTACAATTATTTGGTAAATGTGATATATTTATTCGATAATCGGCTTCAATTTCCCAATCAATTTTCACTTTTGGGTCGGTCTGGCTGAAGGTTTAACAATTGCACTCTTGTTTGGCAAATAAATTTTGGGTTTTTAGATACTTAAATAACATCATATTAAAATTTCAGCCATACTAAAAATATTTTGAAAATGTTTTTTTTTAATTCAAAATAAGCGTCTGGCACAGTTTAAACAACGATAAAAAATATCTGGCAATAATAGATTCATGTTGCAAAAAGTTCAATTAAGATAATTTGGAAAAAAGAAACCTTCTTAGAATTATTTGACAAATTGATATTTTATCTGTACAGGTACCATGCGCTCTGATTAAAATTAACGCAACCTCTACCGGCAGCGAGATAACCCGTACGACGTCCGGGAGACTGAGGAGGCTGAGAGAGATAGCATATCTCAAAACTGGTCTACCTAAAATTCTGTTTTTCCCGACGCTGCTAGCTCGCGTACTATATACTTATATAGACATTATTAATCGCTATTTTTAGTGTTGGTATTTCCTTACCGCTTAGGTCATCCTCCATAATTATAAGCATACAGTCTATTCAATCATTTTCATCGCCTTCACATCTAATTGTGGAATAATGACGTCATAGTCCAGCTCTTATCCCACCTAATTTTGATCGGCGTAACATGTGATACATGGCGTAAATGGTTTTGGATAGGTCTTTTGCCAGCCGCCTGCGTGAAGTCAACACACCTTGAGAACAAACATCCAGATTTGGAACCATTATCTCTGAGCCACACAATCACTTGTCCTTGTGGGAGTCGAATTCGCGATCTAGGCGCCCAAGCCGACAGCTTAGGGACATCACTAATAAAATAACATCATTTATTATTTATTGGCGACCCGCCCCTACTTCGAAAATGGTTATTTTTCGTTTCTGCAGGGACTTCGAAATAAAAAGTACATAAAAAAAAACTATCGTGTTCAATAGCTATGTTGTGAACAAACATCAAGTCTAATCTGCAGCGTGTCTTTACCATCGCGACAATAAATGAACACACGTCTAACGCTACTTGCCAATAATCATAAAAAAATATTAACGTTAAAAAAGTCCATAATTAAAAAAAATATTTTTCAAACAAACTAATTAAGTAAAAAAGAAACAAAATTTTTAACATCCTATACAACTACATCTGACTGATTCATACATTCAGAGACTTTTTCATTCGTTGCCACAGCGACGCATTACAAGCCTCTCCTTCTAACAGTATGTTTTGTCTCTTTTAAATTCATTCAATCCATTCATATGCTTTGTGACCTTTACAAATGAACTTTACATTAAAGTTATATTATACGTAAGGGTGGTCTAAAATTCTTTGTTTTGGAAAATTTGATAACTCGTTGAATATTGATGTTTAAAGAATGTAAATCCATAATACAATTTTAAAAAGTTATCCTCTATGTGTGTGTTCATTTATTATCACGATGGTAAAGACACGCTGTATATGCTAGTTTTTGAGCTTTGCGACAAGTCGCTCAGCTTATAAATAAATAAATAGTTCGAGCCCACATTTTTACACAACGTTATCAAGCCCCGAACTAAGCAAAGCTTGTAATGTGGGTAATGGTAACTGATAAACTTATAATAGGTATTCTGACACCCAAACGCAAGAAAAACACTATGTTCACGGCACAACACTTTTCCAGTTGTGGGGATCGAACCCACACCCTATGGCACAAGAGACAGGTTTACTATCCGTTACGCCATCGGGGTAAACAAAAGTCACTATTATTAAACAACAGTGCCATACGTGCTTTATGCAGAACTGACTTGAATGAGACAGCCTAAGTTCTTAGAAGAAGGGTTATTTCATCTATCTTATTATGCTAAGTAAAAAACGTAAAGTAACAGCCTATACCAGTCCCACTGCTGGGCAAAGGCCTGCTCTGTACAGAGGGTAACAGGGCATAATCCACCATGCGACCCCAGTGCGGATCTGCGGACATCACATGGCTTCAAATTATTTTTTTTGGTTTTACTTCGAAATATTATATACCTTTCATAGTTCTACACGTTATATCTGTTCAACTACCTCACTTTCTCTACACCACCCTAAGGTTGACTGGTAGAAAATGCCTTTGGTATTAAGTCCGCCTTTGCACTAGTTTGTGCATAAAGTGTAAATAAATAAATATATTCAGGTGAGCATGTGATAATTCAGCACTTAAAATTGAAAATTTTATTTCAAGTCATGTCGCTCGAGCATATTGAATTGAAAGCGAGCGCCCGGACACTACCACGGTTTATAGGCTAAGTGTAAATACGTAATAACTACGAGAAAATTTAGTTATTGTCCGTTATCATATTTACGTTACGGGCAAATTCAACGATCATCTCAGACTGACCTCGACATACGTAAAACGATAGACTGTAGTGTTGTTCACATACAGTGCATAACGTGTCGATAACTAATTCTTTTATCGGACAATGTATGCGTTTTACAACAAAATCCCAGAAAACGTTGACAATGTATCAGTGTCTAAATGCAAAAAAAAATGTAAAGGAACGTTTGTGTTAAAGGCTATTATAATGTTAGTGATTGTTTAAATGATAACAGACCCTGGAAATGAAGTGATCGCTCCAGGCAGTTTCAAGTTGACTGCAATACGTTTGTAAATGCGAATTTCTTTTTCGATAAATAGTGATTAAAAAAAATGGCCCGCTGAGTTTCTTTCGCCGGTTCTTCTAAGGCCAGTGGCTTTTCTTTCCGAACGTAGCCGTTTTGACAATCAATAAGTAAGTGTAATGCTTCTATATCGAATAAAGGTAATTGATTTGATTTGATAATTTCACATCGCCCAACTAGCTATAAAATTCACTGGCCGATAATAGTAAAAACGTTCACTCACAAACGTCATCATCATTATATCAGAATATTCTATTTCTGAACTCGGAGATAGATAAAGAATCTTTTATTTTGACTTTAAGATTCTTTGATTGTAAGAATCTTTTGACGACCCGAATGGCGTCGTGGGTCGCGTAGCTGCCTTCTGCGCCAGATGGTGTGGCTTCGATCTCCACTACTGGACAATATTGTGTGATGAACATAGTATTTTTCTAGGGTCTGGGTGTTTATATATTTATAATATAGAAAAGTATGTTTAAGTATGTTTACCAGTTATCTAATACCCATAGTACAAGCGTTGCTAATTTTGGGATTAGAGAACGTTGTGTAAAAATGTGTCCTAAAACATTTATTTATTTATTTTGGAAGAAGATGATACAGATGATGACTTAGAATCTATGTAATTTTTATTATAAATCGTAAATATTAAATTTTTAACTATCTAAAACTCAAAGGGTTCCGTACCATTGTCTATAAAAACGGAAATTAAAAATATTTATTTATTCTGTTTTTTAGTATTTGTTGTTATAGCGGCAACAGAAAATATTTCAACTGCCTTAACTATCACGTTTCATGAGATAGCCTGGCGACAGACGGACAGACAGACAGCGGAGTCTCATGAATAGGGTCTTACTCTTTGGATACGGAACCATAAAAAATAACGCTGTTTAATACATGGCCATGTCTCGATAAGACGCCTGCACGTCACTAAAATTTCAAACCGGGGGTACTTAAGGCAGATGCATCACACGTCAGTTATAACAAAATAAAACAGCTCGAAGGTATACGTTTACACACTTTAATTAAACATTAGATTTATATGTATCGCATTAGATTTTGATGTTGGGTGTGAGATAAACGCAGAAATCGTGAGTGTTAGAAGGGACCTAATTATGTGAGTATATCTGCAAACATTTGTTTCTTGTGATCTTATCGATGAAACCTGATTAATTGTTGTTTGAGTCGAAACTAGTTTGTGCAAGTTCCATAAATAAACTCTATAAACGCCGAAGCATAAGTGGTTTAAATAGAGCCTAGAGGGTAGTAATAATCTTAAATATGACTGCGGATTATGCCCAAGGCTTAACATTTTCCCATTTTTTGTTTTTACATCCAACTTTGTACATACCTACAGCGATGTAAATAACAAACTCCTTTAAATTTTTTATATTATTTAAATCTACAAAACAGATTTAAAAAACCGACCAAGTGCGAGTCGGATTCGCACACGAAGGGTTCCGTACCATTATCTATCTAACGGCGAAAAAATGATTGTTTTCACATTGTCAACGTGTTCTCTTCCGAACCGGTAGTAATTTTAAGTCTAATGCCTCCATACTGAATAAAGATATTTGAATTGGATAGATTTTATCCAACTTCCTTTTCTTCCATCATTTCAATATCTGATATATAAAATTCTCGTGTCACAGTGTTTGTAATTGAACTCCTCCGAAACGGCTCGACCGATTTTCGTGAATTTTTGTGTGCATATCGGCCAGGGTGGAGAATCGGACAACATCTATTTTTCATCCTCCTAAATGTTAAGGGTGGTCCACCCCAAACATTTTTTTTTAATTTATATTCCAAAACAACATTTTCCGGGTCAGCTAGTATATCTATATCAGAAAGGAATCCAATATTAGCCTCGTGGACCCTGATTCGATGATAGTTAATATTTTTAGAACACATTTTTACACAACATTCTCTACTCGCAAACTAAGCAACGCTTGTACTATGGGTACTAGTGACAAACATACTTAAACGTATTTTTCTCATGTAAATGAATACATATTATACATATATAAACACCCAGACAATAGAAAAACACTCACACAAACCGTCACACAATATTTTTCCAGTAGTGGGGATCGAACCCACACCCTTGGCGCAGAAGGTAGGTACACTACCCACTACGCCATTCGGGACAAAGATTCAAGTTCAACGGAATCTTAGTGTCATCGTTTACGGTGCCAGGTTTGTGAGTACGATTCCCTTACAGGAAAGTATATGCGTGAACCACATTTTATATAATTGCCCCTGATCTGGGCGTTTGTTGTAACATTTTCTTTTATGTGAAAAGTTGCCAAACGAGCAGACGGTTCACCTGATGTTAAGTGAATACGACCACCCATGGACATCTGCTACATTCAAAGGTTCCAAATGTGTTGACAACCTTTTGGAAATTGTGCTCCGGCCACCTCACTCACCAGACGAAACGCGAAAATATTATACTTCCACTTTACGCCGGTCTTCTGTGAGGTCGTGGTACTTACCCGAACGAGCCTGCCCATTCGTGCAACAGCCGAGGCTGCTGCGTGGCCCTACCACCGATAAACTTTTGTTTTCAATATTTAATTTCTCCGAGCTGCGACTTGTTTAAATGAAACCAATTTTCGTATTTATAATAACAAATCTACTGAGAACTACTAACAAAAGCGGTATATTTAAACAGATTTTTTAGGTGACCCGTCTTTTTACGGACCAGTATTATCACACACTTATTTTTTTTACTTTTTTTTCGTATCCATTGCTTTCTTTATTTTTTATTTTTAGTCGATCCACATGATTTTGTTATTTTTTCCCTTTTTTTTTAAAGTTCTTTCTTTTGTGAAAAAAACCAGTTCATATTTTCTTATAAAAACAAACCTCCTCCAGGTACTGATGCCTTAATTCGCCATCTATGTGGGCGATAATTAAAAAAAAAACAAATTAAAATAATCCCTTATTGAGTAAACGGCCATTGGGGTCACATTCCGTACCTTGATGGCTCGTAGTTGACATCCTTCCCGTGTAAAAATAACGCTTGCATGAGTCAATTCAATCATCCATTAGTCATTAATTGCAAATCAAATAGAACTTAGTTTTCGGACGTTCTAGCAACTCAAATCTTGCTAAACAACAATTAACAAGAGATTAATTGTAAATTAAAATTTGTTTGATCTTTTGGAAACTGGGCGCAAGTATCTACACCATATTAAGCGACCGATTATTTTGCGATTAAAGTGTTGTCTCACGCCACAAAAATGACGGTCTTTAGAAATAGAAAAAAAATACGCGTATCAGATAGCTCCCAAAAATTTAACAATTTTGAATGATAATTGCCATCGTTTGTGTGAAAAACGCTATTTTAAAGTGTTTAGGGTACCGTACCCAAACAATAAAACGGGACCCTATTTCTTAGACTCCGCTATCTGTCTGTTTGTCTATCTATCTGTCTGTTTGTCTATCTATCTGTCTGTCCGTCTGTCACCAGGCGGTATCTCAAGAACCGTGATAGTTAGACAGTTGAAATTTTCACAGATGATGTATTTCTGTTGCCGCTGCCTCTGTACAGAGGGTATAAGTCCACCACGCGACCCCACTGCGGAATGGCGGACTTCACATATCTTTCAAATATTGTTTTTAAGCTATTGCATAGCTTTAATCGCCGGCTTTGAGTGCAGCGACCGAATCAAGAAATTCCGTAACGAAAATAAAACCTAACACCACCCACTCCGCCTACCATGTAAGAAGAAAGATTTGATTGTTTGTATGCATTGAATAGGCTCCGAAACTACTGAACTGATTTGAAAATTTCTTTCACTGTTAGGAAGCTACATTACCCCCGGATGACATAGGCTATATTTTATTTTCAATAACAAAACTTCAGTAATGTTACCCAAAGTGTAACAAAAATTACCTAAAATATTCTTTACATCGCGTGCGCTGCGAAAACTATTGATGATAGAATAAAATAATGTAGTACGAATTTGCAGAAAACATCATTATTTACAAAAAGTGTCGCGACAGCATATGTCTGACTATCATAGATATGCCACAATAAATGTTCTTTTATTTTAAAATTTTGATTGAAATGCCGCCGCTAGAAAAGGCGCTTTATTTGTATCTTGGTATTAATCCTTATAAAAATAAATACTTCATATTTAAGACTGTTTCAATATCTTTATATAACATTTGGAATTATTAAATTCGGACATTCCATTCGAAAGATATCATAATTTTAAAAATGATAGTATATCTTACCCTTCAAACAAGCAATTCTTATATGTATATATATATATATATATAACTTTTTATATATATAATATAGGTTTTTAATGTTTATTGGCACAAAAGTCTATGTTAATTAGGGGATGGGATTTACTCCTGAACTAGGATATCCTGTATTTCAGGCTGAAATACAGGATATCCTCGTTCGGGAGTCAAGGCGCCATTAAATGTGTAACTAAGTGTTCAATAAATCACATTTATTTATTAATACATTTATTTTTATACAGCGTGTCGTTACCACCGCGACAATAAATGAACACACATATAGAGGATAACTTTTTAAAATTGTAATAAACATTTACATTCTTTAGACATCAATATTTACCGAGTTATTAAATTTTCCAAAACAAACAATTTTAGTACACCCTTAAGTATAAAAAAGAAACGTAAAGTTCATTTGTAAACGTCAAAGCATATGAATGGGTTGAATGAATTTAAAAGAGACAAAACATACTGTTAGAAGGAGAGGCTTATAATGTGACGGTGTGGAGCGAGTTGTATAGGATGTTACAAATTTTGTTTCTTTTTTACTTAATTTGTTTGAAAAATATTTTTTTTTAATTATGGATTTTGTATAACGTTAATATTTTTTTATGATTATTGGCAAGTAGCGTTAGACGTGTGTTCATTTATTGTCGCGATGGTAACGACACGCTGTATATAGATGCGTCACAAAATATATGCCGATAAAAGTTATCGCGTGCAAATGCAAACGTGAACGAAATCTTGCGAGAACCATCACTGGATATTATTGATAACGTAATCGAGGTCTATTACTGCATACTAGGAAAAACTCCGCGCGATTATTTTGTTTTAAACCGAAAACAAGTATATTTTCATAGCAAAAAAAGTTGGTATCTACTTATGTACGCACGTCAATGATATTACATACAAATACGAGGTATCTCACTATAAATTTAAAACAAAACCGACTTTACTATCAAGTAACTTGGGCACATTACTTGACGACGAAAGCTTACGCATTGCTGTAGGCATCCGTCTGGGGGCACCGATTTGTCAACCACACCAATGCCCTTGTGGTGTCAGTGTAGACAAATTTGGTCTCCAGGGGCTCTCTTGTCAAAAAAGTGCTTGCCGTTTTTCCCGCCACGGTTCCCTGAACGACATCATTCGTAGGGCTCTTGTTTCCATCAATGTTCCATCTATTTTAGAGCCCTGTGACATTTTTCGCGACGATGGTAAGAAACCCGACGGTTTAACTTAGATCCCTTGGGAGAGAGGCAAAGCCCTTGTTTGGGACGCCACTTGTGTAGACACTGGCTGCCTCTCATCTAAGGGGTACTTCGGTCAGGGCCGGGGCGGCATCGGAGGCAGCTGAAGTAAGTAAATGGCGCAAATATGAGTCTTTATGTTTAGATTATGTATCTGTGTCATTTGCTGTTGAAACTTTAGGTCCGTGGGGTCCACGCACATCAAAATTTTTTTAAAGTTTAGGCTTAACGCCGCGGCTGGTGACAAGAGAGCTGGTTCTTTTCTCGCTCAAAGGTTAAGCATAACTATTCAGCCAGGAAATGCAGCTAGCGTTCCTGGCACAATGTCTCGTGGATTAGGTTTATTAGATAATATGTAATTTTAGATTAATTAAATCTTGTAAATGTTATACTAATAAACTCTATGATAATTTGAAAAAAACCGACTTTAAATATCTCGTATAGTTTCCATTTGATTTTGAGGAGTAATCCGATCTCCAAGCAATGCAAAAAAAACATTTTCAAAATCTGCTCATAATTGACGAAACTCTTACGCCCGGTTTCTGAAACACTAATCATCGTAGATGTTAACTAATCAGCTGTCAAATGGCTTTTCTAATGTCATTTGAGTTGCCAAAAGGATGGTTTGAATCGATCATTATGATCATTGTTAAGAAGATTCTGGTCAATTCAGAGAGTTTAACCATCCTTTGGTGTGTTCGAACCGTCTACGGATTCACGTCTTGATATCTGTTGCCTTTGCTTTATAAATCGGACAATTCATCTTGTCTTCAAAAAGTTCTTCTTTTTTCCGTTGAATTTTCTCATGTCATTCATCTTGGAAGCTTAAAAATTACAAACTGTGTTATTTGTTCCTTTATCAAAAAACAAACACTTAAAAAAATTAAAATGATCGCGTACCTTTACATGTTATTGAAGTAAAAGTAAGAAAGCTATAAAATAATCAATAATAATTTAATTTATTAATAATGTATTGATTAATGATAAGTTATTAATATTTTTCATACATATTATGCTATATAAACGAGTCGCCGCCGTAATGCGTGTCCGTTCCGTTGTGATTATCCACAAGAGCTCGGGCCTAAAGAGGTTTTACCACAAAAACATACAACCGAATTGAGAAGCCTACTTTATTTGAAATCGGATGAAAACGACTCATCCTTACTTCCTTACTAATATTATAAAGACGAAAGTTTGTACGTATGGATGGATGTTTGTTACTATTTCACGCAAATACTACTGAATAGATTTTAATGAAACTTTACAATAATAAGTATAGCTTAAACATCAGAATAACACATAGGCTATAATTTATATACATATTTTTATGTATATGTGTCTTTCTGTCTGAATGTTACTCCTTGAGCCTATTCTACGCAGACGTAGTCGCGGGCAGCAGCCAGTTTTGAATAACCGCCATTTTTCCGTCAGCACGCGAAGAAACAAAATGGCGGCAACGAAGCGCTTGGTTGCGCTGTGTATCCTCTTGCTGCACGCGGGGGCGATGGCGCAGAGGAGACTGGGCGCCTTCCGCGAGGTCTTCGCTTGGAAGCAGATGACCTTCGACATCGACGGCGATGCAAGTGAGTCGGATAACAGCACCTCCTGTTGCATGGATGGGCACAGGGCCGGATTTAGGGGAGGGCAACCGGGGCAACAGCCCCGGGCCTCCACAGTAGAGACTTCAAATTCAGACTAGTAAACAATAGTATACAACTTTTCCTTTCATATTTTTTTTCGCGTTTTACTTTTACCTACAGTACTTTGTACAAGCTTCGCGAATATTATACATATTAAATGAAACTAGCTTACGGATTCTATCGCCTTTTTTATTTTAATTTGAACTCCCGACGTTTCGAACCCTTTCCAGCGTTCATGGTCACGGGACAGACTAAGTTGTTATACGTCTTGATGTCATAGTTAACCCCGGCTACCGTCAATTATTTTGTTTATTTTTATTCCGATCCACGCAGAAGGAGCTTATGGTATCTTGAGGTCTGGCAGTGTTGGTGTGCTTTGATTTAATATTTTTTATTAATTTAATTTTTAATTTAATTAATAATCTAATTCCATGGCGAATTTAATTTTAGTGTTCACCAGTATTTACCATCAGAAAAAGTAAATGCATTTCTAAACCTCCTCAATTCCTTTAACACTAAAATTAAATTCACTATGAACTTTCGCTGGAAAGGGGTTCGAAAGGTCGGGAGTTCAAATCAAAATAAAATAAAATATTACGATTTTACCTATAATTTTAAATTTTCAATATTATTATTATTTTGAATCGTACAGTCGATTGCCACACCGTAGACACAACTGCATATAGACTGTATATACAGCGTGTCGTTACCACGGCGACAATAAATGAACACACATATAGAGGATAACTTTTTAAAATTGTTTTAAATATATACATTCTTTAAACATCAATATTTACAGTAAATAATTTAAATGTTTAATACAACTTTAAAAAGTTATCCCCTATATGAGTGTTCATTTATTGTCGCAATGGTAACGACACGCTGTATATACAGCATTTCGTTACCATCGCGACAATAAATGAACACACGTCTAACGCTACTTGCCAATAATCATAAAAAAATATTAACGTTAAACAAAATCCATAATTAAAAAAATATGTTTCAAACAAACTAATTAAATAAAAAAGAAACAAAATTTGCGCCACAGCATCGCATTACTAACAGTATGTTTTGTCTCTTTTAAATTCATTCAACCCATTCATATGCTTTGTGACCTTTACAAATGAACTTTACGTTACGCTTTTGTAGGTAAGGGTGTTCTAAAATTCTTTGTTTTGGATTTTTTTTTATGTGAAAAGTTGTCAAACGAGCAGACGGTTCACCTGATGTTAAGTGAATACCGCTGCCCATAGACATCTGCTACACCCGAGGGTTTGCAGATGCGTTGACAACCTTTTGAAAATTGGGCTCCGGTCACCTCACTCACCAGACGAAACGCGAAAGTATTATACTTTCACTTTACGCCGGTCTTCTGTGAGGTCGTGGTACTTACCCGGACCGTTTCACATCAAAAAAATAAGTGTGTAAATGATCGTGACACGAACCACAGCCATCTGTTTTGGGGCCGCCCGATGACCGACCGAGCTATTATAACATTTTTTTTTGCGGCGAAATTTACCGTCATATTCGAATGATATTTTTCATTCCCTGAAAACAGGGATAAAAGGACAATTTCTAAAAATGATACCTAGCTAGAACGATTTTTCGACCCCGAATCTACGCACACTAAATTTCATGAATGTCGCTGGAGCCGTTTCCGAGATTCCGATTATATATACAAGAATTGCTCGTTTAAAGGATAAGATAAGAAAAACAACTCAATACACTTACTTATTGAATAAGTTTCACGAAAAGGTTTCAAAAAAAGTAAATGCTCAGGAAGAGATGGGTAATAAATTCAGTTAAATTTAAATAAGCCCCCTTTGGCCTGTGACGGCTCATTTTTAATTTTTTTTTTTTACTTTTTTTCTATACCAGATCATTTTCTTTATTTTTTATGTTTTTTATTTCCAAAATACATGATTTACCAAAAAAAAAAAGGCAGGTACTTTATACTTAATGACCGATAGCAGATCACGGGCTGTTTGAAAGAATTTGCTACGGACCCCGCGCTTGCCCAATCCGGCTCTGGCGGCGGTTATCAATTAACGTCAGGTGAACCGCTGTCCACCATCTCATGTAAAAACAAATTTTAATAACTTTATAATCGCCGTTTCCGTAAAGTTTTTTAGCACTATAAAAAACTTTAAAAATTCATCCGTACATACAAACTATATACTAATAATATTAGTAAGGATACACACGGGTTAAGCTATAATGCACGCTAGTTAAGTCTATAATGTAAAAAGAAACCGTGACTTGGATTTTGACTTTGAACCAAATAGAAATTATTATATTTAGAGACGAGCTCCAGGTGCCTGCTTTATTTGAAATGAATTTTAAATATTGTAAATTACATCACCTAATCGTCAAACCGCAAGACGCGCAAGGTCAGACCAGACACGAGAGCCGCCGTTTAGCGGAACGGTATTATTAATTATTACTAGCTGACTCGGCAAACGTTGTTTTGCCATATAAATGATTTCTAGGGAATTTGTGTATCTGACCACTGAAAGAATTTTCGGAAAGCACGCATAAAATGTTTGATAGGTAAGAACAGTTTGTATGGGGAAAATAAAATTGTTGCTACTACGATTTTCCATGCAATTTTTCCATTATTTCTCGCTTAAACCTACCCTGGACTGCCACAAATATTTCAAAGCCAAAATTAGCCAAGGCCCGCTGGTCTGTACAGAGTTCTTAAGTTAAAAAATTTCAACAAGTTTCAATGATTTCTCTGTCATTGCTTCGCAGTCGTTGAAGATCGCTATGGAGATACGTCATCGAGCTCTGGAGGTCCGCTGTTCAATTACCAAAGCTCCGGTGGGATGTTCGACCAAGGTAACATAGGTTAAATGTGATCAAAATGTACAGTAACGTAACAGCTTTCACACCGGGGGTAATGGGTTCGATTCCCTCAAGTATTTGTGCGCCTCGATAGCATAAATGAAGCCGTGATAGCTCAGTCCGGGCACTCGCTTTCATCGAGAGTATGTATGTATGTATGTATGAATGTACGTATGTATATTTGTATAATTGTTTTGCACGCTCTGCAGCCTGAGCGGCTTGAGAGGTGTCGTTGGATCCGTATTTACTGTGAGTCGCACTGGGTACATCAAAATAAATAAATTACTTTAAAAAACTTTTAAGTTAAACGGTTTAATTTTATGTTTTTTTTTTGTTAAATTTTTTTTTGTTAATATTGTATTGTCATCTAAATTAAATGTGTGTACCAAATTTCAGATCAATCTGACAACGGCAAGGTGCTTAAATTGTGCAAATTTTGACCCAAATAAATAAACAAACAAATTCCGTACGGGTCGAACTAAATAAAACCTTTTAAAAATTACACAGAAACGCAGTCGGGTTCTTTAGTTTTTTTCAAAAATTCAAATTATATTTTACTTGTTTCAATACACCCTAGGAACCTGAGTTCAATTCCCTGTACCGGCACTTACAAAGAAATTTTTTAAATTAAATAAGTCTGAAAATTATTTAAATCTAGTTCATTCATTCATTCATCCAACATCTCTTTCACGTCTAATTTTTAATTATATCTTAAATAGTTAATAATTATGTCACAATTAAATATATCGCATAAAACGAGTTAAGTAATCGGCGATCGGTATTCCAATAAAAAAAGTGTGACGTGCTAACTCCTCCCTCCTTAAGATAGAAGCGAGAGTTGGAGCTTCTAGCAGCGTCCTCGCTGCTGTTGATTTCCTGTGGTAGTCTATTGCTTTTCCACTTCTACAGCTTCCAGATGGCCGCTACACTCAGCAGCCCGTATAATATTAAAGTTGTCCAGCTGGGGGTTGCCATCAGGGTTGTCCAGTTGGATTCATCTTGTGGGATTTTGTCATCTATCTTGATGATGAGTTTGTGGATGCTGTCTAATGAGATATCCTCTTGAATTTATTCAAACTTGATGTGTTCTTGCGTGATTTGCTGTGCTTCAGGAAGGGGGATGGTTTCGTCGTTGAAGACTGTCCTCAGGTGGGTCTGTAGTGTGCTATTCAGGACATGTATCCGACAATCTTCAGTCAGTGTGACTATGAAAGTTCCTTTCGTCTTTTTGTAGTCTGTCTTCGTGCCACAATGGATTTTGATAATTTCATCATCTTGCAGGATCAGTATCCAGCTGTTATCCCGGATTTTCTGGATTTTTCCTTTGGTCAGGTGCAGCTTGGCATAACGTGCAATTGGCTTTCTGATGTTGAACCAGCGACGCTATGCAATCTTGTGTGTTTTTCATTCTTCTGACTTCCAGGGATTTGCAGAGATGAGTGTCATTGGTGATTGGTTGGCAGTCTTCTTCCTCGATGTGGGCGTACTCATCGCTACCAAGTGCAAGGTATTTGGACTCTGGGATTATAGTTAGGTTGTTGCGGTCAGGAATGGAGTAAAGGTGAATAAAATCGTATATTTTTGAATCAACAGAGGGGATTTCCAGGATAAAGTTTATCGAGTGTGGTGTACTATATGCTTTAACCTTTATAGATTTCTCTATCTTATGTATATTTATAATATTTATCTCATCTACTGGATTCATTGAATAATAATTACGCAAAATTACTAATTCTTTAATAAGATTTTGTGGACTAATAACGCTTGGGTGCATAGTTCCTAATTGAGCGAACGTGACGGCATCTTCCAAAGTCATTAACTTTTCTAAAATTATTTGTAAACTTAAGTCTATCTGTAAATATATATCTAATAAATGAAAACTGTCCCTAATTCCATTAGAGTTTTGCGTTATATTTTGCAATATTAATATCTGTTATATTTTGTTATATTTTGCAATATTAATATCTAATATTAATATATTTATTATATCGTTATATTTTGCAATATTATCTTAACTTTTTCGTCTAATTTACTTATTTGACTGCCGAATTCATTGATTATACTTTTTGCTAATATTAAAGATTTCTTTTGTGAATTTTGAACTCTATTAACCTTGTTACTTATATCTGAAATTTCTTTCTCGAATTTAACAGCATCGTCATTATCTAAGTTGCCGGTTATTGTTTTTACGATTGTACCTAATCCGTTTATTATTCCGCGTTTTACTCTAACTGGGGGAATCAAATATGCTAACTTCTTATTTATTAAACTTATACTATATAATATTAGATCCTCGTAGGACTTATATCTATAATTAGATGTTAAGGTATTTTCAACATCTTTAGTGCTTGCATATAATGCCATTAAATTCAATTCATTTAATTGTTGCTAACTTTGTTTGTTGTGTTATACACACAAGCTAGGCTAAAGTACTCGGTCTGTCTAAGTAACTGTCCCTATTTGAGTAATAGTACGCCGTTATCATTACTAATGGGATCCAGGGTCACTTTTGCGGTTCATGATTCCTGCGACGAGGATCTTGGAACAAGATGAGGCCTACGTAGTAACTTGAAGTGAACTCTTATAGAATTTGGGTGACTACCTATTATCTCCGCATATATACCGCATAAACAATACAGCAATCAAAGAAGTAGACACTGTACGTGATCTTGGAGTAATTTATGATAGTAAGTTAACGTTTAATGCACATTTAGAAAATATAACAAAAAAAAAAAGCATCTAAAATGTTAGGATTTATCGTAAGAAATTGTCATTCCTTTCGTAGTTTCAAAACTAAATTATGGCTTTACACAATAGCCTAGTCCGAAGTATCCTTGAATACTGTAGTGTAGTCTGGCTGCCGCATTACGCTACGCACTCATTACGTATAGAAAGAGTTCAAAAATGGTTTATGTGGCATTTGGCGTTTTCTGAGGGTAAGTCAAGAGAACTACGATCTTATGAAGAAAGACTTAATTATTTCAAGGTTAACTCTTTATCTCATAGAAGAGAAGTGCTTGATGCTAAGTTTGTGAGTAAACTATTAAATAACAAAATTGATAGCCCACAACTATTGAATTTGCTTAAATTTCGAGTACCTATAAGAATCCCTCGCAAACCTATTACACCACTTTGTCCACCACTAAGAAGAACAGTGCTGGGAAGTAATTCTCCTTATATTAAATTTTGCAAAACAATTAATCTTTTTAGCGATCAAATAGATTTTCAAGTTGACTCAATAGCCAAAGTCTCTTAAATAATATATACCTCACTTTCTAAAATTTGAATATATACATTTTACCTTATGTAATAAACATACCATAATTTAATTTAATTTATTTTACAGCTGTTTATTTTAAGCTACTTTTTATTTTTTACTATTTCATTATTTATGTTTTTAATTTTATATTTATTTTTATGATGTTTAACTGTACTTTCTGTGCTTATCTTTAAGTTATTGTTACACTTATACAAGTACTTTGTTTCTTTCCTTTTTTATTATTAAGATATAGTGTAAACAGTTGTTGATAGGCCTTTTAAAAATAAAAAAAAAAATAAAAGAAAAATAAAATCTCTGCGATACTATTGGGGTGTAGATGGATTACCTTATAGGGTCCTTTGAAGACAGGCTTTGTCCTGTCATTCCGCGCTGTCTTTGCCACCTGCTTATATACTATTTCACTAACCTTGAAAGATACTTCTTCAGCATCTCGGCTTCTTCTCGCGATAACCTGTTCTATGTTACCGGACATGTAAGCTGCAATACACTCCTGTATCGCTTTTACTTTTATTCGGTGATTGAGTACATAATCCTGGTAGAATTCCTTCGGGTTAAACATTTCTAAGGTATTTCGAGATTCTGTGTGATCAAATAGCAGTTCATGTGGTTTATAGCCTGTTACGAAATGTATCCCGTTATTGTATCCTATGATCACGTACTTCATAATATGTTGAATGGGGTTGTCTTTGTTAGTTATTTTTTGTATATAGTTTAATTCACAACTACTATTTCTATTTAAATTTTTAGAGTAAATATCTAATCTAATAGGGGCTTTGTTTGAAATATATTTTTTATCAGCTTTTAAGTTAATACCAGATCTTCTAAACGTCCCGTTCTTAACGTTAACTATCGCTGCGGGTGATTTTAAGCCATCAGACCAATAGAAATCGTGATATAAGTACTGTCCTTCTATGTAATGGGTCTTGAATGTCATTAACTTTTCGCCTCTAGGTTCTTCTTTAAGCTTTTGGTATGGGTAGTTAAAATATATCGGTATATCCGCTGTTGAGGTGTGTAACGAGTTATTATTTAAATTAATGTTACTTTTTAATTTTCGCAACAAGTCAAATCCGATTAGACCTTTGTATTTTGGATCGAAATCAAAAATTAAAAATTTATGCGTAATATTGCTATTAAACGCGGGTGGTAAGGGCAAATAGACCACATGATCATGACGCGAAACAGTATGTGCCGTTGATATTTCAAAGGGTTCATAATCTACACACTGTTCAAAGCTAGAATCACGAATAACATCGGGTGAAATAATAGAGTGACTTGTTCCTGTATCTACTAAAAATTTACCTTGAAATTCAGGTAGCTTAATGTAGGGGTGGTGGTCTTTATCTTGGAAGTTCATCTCTACCAGCTCTGGTCGTCCTGTCTCCTCCAAAGGAGAAACCTGGTTGGAGTCTTGCTTATTAAAGTAAACATCAGTATCGAAGTCATCGCTGTCGACCGGTTGAATACTATTTTGATACTCACCTTCGTTGGAGTATAATTGCGTATGGTTAGTCATCTGACTGGGAGTGTAAAAGATCTCCTCGGTGGTGAAGTGCGGTCTCGGAGTCTTGTTTACAGACCTCATAATCACGTCAGAAGGCTTTTGAGGGGTTACCTGTTGTTTAGTTATGTTTGGCTGGTCCCTGAAATTGCTGCTCCTGAAGTTGCCTGAGTCACCTGTTCTAAAGTTACCTGAAGTTGGTTGTGGTATCCAGGGTTGCATTGGCTGTACCCACTGCTGTCGTTGTTCAGGGGCTGCTCTATTATTGTGGCTAAAAACGGGTTGTGGCATATGAAGCGCTAAATAAGTAGGCGCCATATACGGGTTACCATAATTTTGATATGGGTAATTAGGGTTCATTTTAAATAACTCCTTCGCCTTAGCTTGAAATGTTGACAGTGTATTAAAATTAGTGTCTTTATTATATTCAAGCCTAGCCTCTTCCTGTTTAGCCGCTATTATAGCCAGCTCTAACGTATCGGGTTTAGCGATTCTTAGTCCGAATGAGACATGGAAGTCTAATTGATCAATATATTGTTCTATGACCATGTTCTCATAGAATTTTTTGTTGCTATGACTGCCTATCAAGAGTAAGGTGTCTAGCAATTCTCTAAGCCGTTTTCCAAAGTTCTCGGCATCCTCCTGTCTAGAACGGCGAGTATGTGTAAGTTCTTGCATCACCTGAAACTCATTTCGCGGTTGACGGAGTCCTCTAATAAGAGCATTTTTAATGGATTCCCACGTATCTAAATATTCCTCATAGGCTAAGGCTTCTACAGCGGTGTCGCTAAGCCTACTCTTAATAAGACAACTTACTAACGGGTGTGTGTCCGAGCATGTTCGTCTAGCAATAAATTCAGTATATTTTCGACTTCGCGAATATAGTGACTTAATAGTTTAGGATTCCCATCATATCGAGGCATTAAATCCACTATCAACTTAAAATGCGTATTGAAATCTTTTAAAGACATTGTTTCTCACTAACTTACGATTCCCGTTAACATAAAACAATAGCGATACGTATTAAGTACAGTAAATTCCTGATTCTAAGGAGTTTAATGAACAATGGAATGACGCTCGCGTTCGTTCAAAGTATCGGATGTCTCGTGCGATTGTAGCTAACTGACAAACGAACTGATGATAATTTTAAACAAAGTTATTGATTTTATTATGTATTTTAATTTGTTGTATTTATTTTAACTTCTTATTTAAAGAATTTATTGTTGATCTTATTATTATAAATATACTAATAGAATGGGAAATGTCTGTTGCGATTAAAGCTTATAGACATACACACTCAATAATAAAAAAAAAAATACCTAAAATAAGACAGGAAATAGAGCAGGAACACTTGGATAACTAGAGTACTTACCCCAGGGTTTTCTGCATCTCCTGACGAGTCCTTGCCCGATCGCGCGATTGAGGTTCTTTAGGATCGCTCAAGGTACGATTTGAGAACCGTGACACAATCGTAATAGAACATTTGATTCAATACGAAAGTGCTGCGATCCTACCGACTGCGCCAGTTAAGTAATCGGCGATCGGTATTCCAATAAAAAAAGATTTATTTAATTAATTACAAGGTGTTAACTGTATGACAATTTGGAATGGACTGATTTATAATTACAAAAACTTATGAACTAAAACTAATGGTGTCAGCGTTCCTTCGTCTTTACTGACATGACATTGGCAGAATTCTTTTAAGAGAGGCCATTAATCAAAGAAGAAGAAGAAGAACTACTGTGACAGGGTGTGACAGTTTTTGTATTTTTCTAATGTAACCGTCGAAAACGTAACTGTTATTTAAGTTTGTTGGTAACAGCTACAATGTGCTATGTTAAGATACCTCTCATGTTTACCGTAGAGGTTATATTCTCTTTTCCTGTTACGATAAATAACTACGCCCCACGATATGAAAGCTAAAACAAATTAAAATAGAAAATAATAATAACGCGTCATCCGAAAAAATACGGTTGTACAATTCTATCAAAATTTGTGTCATAATCTATAGTTTCAAATGCTTATCACTCTACAAAGCGTAAAATATTTCTGGTGACAATTACATCAATTAAATTGGAGACTGATATTTAAATATTTAACGATATTTTCCTTATAAAAAAAAAAAACTAAAAATCGCAATCATTTAACATTAATAGTAGTAAATAAATAAACTGCTGGTCAAGCATTCATGTTTACGCGATAGTCCTTGCTCAAGTAATGCCTTAACAACTACAATACTTGAAGGTCAAGTAAGCATTAATAATAGTAGGTATACTTATAATTAATTACCTATATCACAGTTATTAATCTGTTGTTTATTCTGTCATAAGTATTTTATTAATATATTAAATAATAATTCATTATTATAACATTCAATACCGGATAGATTTACGATTGTTAATATTCTTACCGATTTAAACAGGCATCACCTTTTATAATCGATTCGCGGTTATATTTTATAATTATATTAATCAGCTCAACAAACAACACTGGCAAAAAATAAACAGTTCATACTTAGTTTAATATATTCGCTTTACATGCGCACATGTTTTGAAAATTATGGTGTATTTAACATGCAATATTAAAATATCATATTCAGTTTCTCGCCGCGAACCAGCCACAAATAGGACAGTAATACACAATATCCTTTGTGCGAAAATTCGCACGAAGGATATTCGAATCAAGCAAACTTGATTTTTTGGAATATTTTCCACTGGTTATTAATCGAATTCAAAAAATGTTCTCAATTTTATGGTACCACCAACAAGGGTTCCGTGGCCAAAGAGTAAAACGGGTCCCTATTACTAAGACTGCTGTGTCTGTCTGTCCGTCTGTCACGAGGCTGTATCTCATGAACCGTGATAGTTAGACAGTTGAAACTTTTACAGATGATGTATTTCTGTTGGGGCTATACTAAAATATACTATGAAACAAAATGAAATAAAAAATAAGTGGGGGCTCCCGGACAACGGACATTATTTTTTTTGCCGTATTTATAGATAATGGCGAGTCCGAATCGCACTTGGCCGGTTTTTTTTTTAGTTTAATACCTAAAACTCAGTCATTTATGAACTGATTTTAAAAAATATTTTTGTATTGGGTTCGATTTACTTCCCCTGTGGTCCCATATTAATTTATTGTGTTTATTGATATTATTGGACCGTAGATTTCGAAGACACATCGGCGAACTAAATATATAAAACTAGCTTATCGCCCACGGCTTCACTTGCGTTGAAGCCCTTCAATAAATATCTTTCAACCTTTTCAAAACTTTTTTCCAATTAAAAAATAGCCTATGTCCTTTCTCAGGCTCTAGATTATCTGTGTACCAAATTTCATTTAAACCGGTTCAGTAGTTTTGGAGTGAAAGCGACACAGACAGAGAGAGTTACTTTCGCATTTATAATATTAGTATGGATCCATTAGAAAAAGTATAGTTAATGAGATATTTCAAGTCGGTTTTGTTTTTTTACGTTAATAAAATTCTGTTAATCTAGTCACAAACTAGATAGAAAGTGACGAACAAATTTTTTTTAATGTGGACTTTGTATTGTAAATAGATCCGTATTTTTATTTATTTATTTATACTTTATTGTACACAAATATATATATGTATATACAATAGTCATCGTACAATATTTTGCAAACAGTGAGGTTGAACACAACCGCACCATGTAATAGATAGTTTCGCCATCTACTACTCGGATGGCCATAGGTATATTGTTTCACCTATTTTCTATTGACGAACCAATTGGAGCATCTTGCCCTGCATCCTGCATCTTGAGCCGGAGGATGTGGGTTCGATCCCCACTACTGGAAAAATTTTGTGTGGTGAACTTAGTGTTTTTCCAGTGTCTGGGTGTTCATATTATTTGCGTATAATATGTATTTATTTACAAAAGTAAAGTATGTATGTTTATCAGTTTTCTAGTGCCCATAGTACAAGCGTTGCCTAATTTGGGACTACAGAATGTTGTGTAAAAATGTGTCCGAAATATTTATATTATCCATACTATTATTATAAAGTCGAAAGTAACTCTGTCTGTCTGTCTCGTTTTCACGCCAAAACTACTGAACCGATTTAAATGAAATTTAGTACACAGATAATGTAGAGCCTGAGAAAGGACATAGGCTATTCTTTAATTGGAACAACGGTTCTTAAAGGGGATAGATATTTATTTAAGGGCTTCAACGGGAGCGAAGCTAGTATTAAATATGACATCGTCAAATACGTGAAAACTTTAATCGTTAATCTATGCGTTCATTACCTTCTTTTAACATTTAACAACTTTAGCAAATTCTTTAACTATCTCTTTCTGTCTAGGTCCGATGATGATGGGGCAGGGTTTTGATGACGTCACGACCACAGTGAGGCCAGCCGGTAAGGTTACTTTTGAAAAACAGACACAAAATCTCTCGCCCCGGCCGTTACAACATTTATTAACATAGATATAATGAACTTGTTATTAAACAAAAATATATGGGACCAATGAAATACATAAAGAATACTGTTGCAACTCGAAAATGCTATTTTTTTCAAGGGAGCTGATCGTTCCACGAAAATAGTCAAATCGTAACGCCTGTTAGCTAAATAAAGATGGTACCTAATAAATTGTTTCTTTTTAATTTAATTTTCATAAAGTAAAGTGCAACAGGTTATAAAAGTTTGAAACAAACTTCAATCAGCTCCAATAATGGCATATATGAGTTGCAACAGGATTCTTCCAAGGCACCTAAATCTTTTATTTATTTCATAAATGGCTTCTCTTATGAGCGAAATCTTTAAGCTGTAACATAATACATAACTCATAATGTCAAATTGACATTTATATGATGCCAGATGCCAATCCCTTCTCCTAGGGTGCGTTCCACTAAGCGCCCACAACGATCACGCTCACGACCGCAGTTATTCCCGTTCCACTTGCTTGTGAGCGTTACTGCCGTAAACTCAAGTGGAATGGATTATAGAGCGTTTTGAGCGTCGAGGTAAATAATACAAACGGCGAAATAGAAAAAAGGAAGCAAAACATTTAAGAGGTTAGGTTATAATCTGTAAGCCTTGAAAATAAACTTAAATAATCATTGTTTAAACCGATTTATATTGAAAAAAATTATAATTTAATTTTTTATATTTAATATTAGTGGTGTATTTAATTAATTTACGTTCAAATGTAATTAAAATGTCAATCAATCTTTTGCGGTGACACTTTGAAATTAGACATTTTGAATTTTGAAAACGCCGCTAATTTTCTCAACGATCACTTCGACCCACCTTTTTAGATGGGTCGCCGTGAGCTTCGCGTGAGCGTTAGTCATGACGTCACAAGTGACGTTTTGGCCGCGACCACAACGACCGCGGTCGTTATGTGGAACGACTAAAGGAGCATTTTGATCGTTGTGGGCGCTTAGTGGAACGCACCCCTAGCGGCTGTTTATCCATAGACTATTAATTATACATTTAACGTCTTCGTATTTCTCCATACATGCAATTCCTAAACAGTTATACCGCCAATTTTTCAGGCCTCTATGGGTTACAATAAATAGTTTATCCCATTTAATTTAACTTGTTAACAAGTACATAATTATGTACATGTGTATACAAATTAGAGTACTAACTCCTTCTCAATATTAACCTTAACTATTCCTAATCTCACCCTGCGCACAATATGCTGTAAATGGGTACGCCATATCGTACAAAGTATAGTACAAAGAAAATCGATTTCATTTTAAATCGATTTTGTGTAGTAGCATAGTTTATGAAAAGAAATGTTTTTTCCATTCCCATTTATTATTATTGAACTATTTGAACTAGATATAAATGTATAATAAAAGAAATAATTTTGTCAAAATCAAAATTATTTATATTTATGTTATCATCGACAATGATTGCGACCACTGGGCGAACAAGTGTAGATAAGATGAAAATGCAATGCCTGACAAAAGCAATCGCGACATCGAATTATCGTTGTAAAACGATATTCGAAATTGTTTGTATGCTGGAAAGGAAATATAACAATGGATGCGCCAATCATTGCTTCAAATGCCAAATAAACAATGTACATAAAAGACGTTAATATTTTCGTGTGGCAATCGGCCGTTTAGCTTAGTGGTTAAAGCGTCAGGCCGCGATTGCCGAAGATGTGGGTTCGATTCCCACAGCGGCGACAACCTTTTCGTAATTTTTCTACATATTTTAATGTTAAATCTTAAGTGAAAAGATTAGCACTATAAACAATTTAAAAAGATCAGGTATATCAAGTTTAGTTAATATAAAACTTTTACTTGTTTATTTATATAAAACTAACCTAACAGTGTATTCATCTAATTCCAGATGAACGTGGGAGATTCTTCATTCAGTATAACAACGTTCCGATGGGAGTGGAGCGAGTTGGTGACAGATTACTTGTGGCCCTTCCAAGAAGACGTTATGGTGATTACATTTATTGCATTTTGTTTATTGAACGGGCAACACTAACGAACAATTTTTTGTATTGATAGTTGTCAAGCAGGCGGTTCCAGATGTTAAATACCGCTACACAAGTATGTATACAACAGCGAAGGCCTTTTAGTATTTGTTGTTATAGCGGCAACAGAAATACGTCATCTGTGAAAGTTTCAACTGTCTAACTATCACGGTTCATGAGATACTGCCTGGTGACAGACGGACAGGCATTGGAGTCTTAGTAATAGGGCTCCGTTTACCCCTTCGGTACTGAACCCTAAAAGTGGCTTACTCACCGTACGACACGTGAAAGTATAATACTTCCACTTCTAGCCGGTCTTCTGTGAGGCCGTGGCACTTTTTGCAAGAGCCTGCCCATTCATGCAACAGCACACGCCGTTGCGTGGCAATCCCACAGTAAAATAGCACAGCATAATAATTAAACCGAAAACAATGAAGGGATTAATTCAAATTTGAAAGTGGAATTAATTCAGCCTCAGCTTGCTTTACATTCTTCTGTTTTATTACAATTTTTTTTTCATTTTAGATATTTCCGTTTACTTTTTTTATTTTTTTAAAAACATTGTTTACTCATAAACTGCTCAATTATTATTGTATACTTATATGTATATTCTAACTATAAAATGTAAATCCTTTCTTGGCTGTAAGTTAAGAATATGTGATATACATGTAAACAACTAAAGGCTGTGGATTTTGTTGCTCCATAAAATAAAAATAAAATAAAATAAAATTTTAAAAACCAACTCCAACGAGTGGAATATAATTTAAAAAACTAAAAAACCTGCGTTTCTGTAATTACTGTTCTATATCAATTCTGTTTATTTTAATATACCTAGTGTCACTCTCAAGCTAAAATCCATCAAGCCGTTCAGGCTGCAGAGCGTGCCAAAAAAATTATAAATACATACTCTCGAAAACCATAATCCTCCATCTGGCGCAGTCGGGTAAAAACAAACGAACAATCGCTTTGTTTGAAGTCTTTTAATTAGGGGTACAATAACCACATCATTGATAAATTACGACGTATATGTTCTCTAAAAGGATGTGTTTTAACGAAATGTAATTCTAAATACTTAAAAAGAAAAAAACGATACCAAAATACAAGCGAGACGAAACAGATTAAATTCAAAGTTTAACAGACCTTTTTTTTCTTCTCTATAAAAACAAACCGACAGTCTTACCAACTACTTAAAAAAATGGCTCTAAAATCGAGATGAATAAGTTACCCTAAAAATTCAATTTTCAAAAAGTCACTAAAAACCCTGTATTGTATTCGAAGATATTTTTTAAATTAGTTTCAGGTTTTGTTAAGGTAAATAAAATTAATTTATAATTTAGTAATGGCCCTAAACTTTTTTGGACCATAAAGAGCCCAATATGCATATTTCCGCCCTAAACTTGGAGTTAAAAGCCCTAAGTTGGCAAACCTGTGAATAGGAATTGTATAATTTAATACTTCCCTCTCCCTTCCGTCATTGACTTTTCGTAATACATGCCACAAACGATGCAACAATTTGTAGCGTCAGTTTTTACTATTACAACTCTAGGCGAGATTAATAATATGTTACTGAGCTAACGTGTTTACTTTTAGATAACACCTTAATTTGCCATCAAGTGGCAAGATAATCGGACACTGGGAAGTTTTTAAGTGAAACATTGTCATGTACGGCTACGTTAATTTCGGACCAGATAAAGAGAACGAAATTTGAAATGGATAGTCAAACCTAAGACGTTTTAAGCCCGCATAATCAACCATTTCCTTCCATTTTCATCTTCTAGGTATACCCGCAACTCTGAACTACATCGATCTGAACACGGAATCCAACAAACGCTCGCCGGCGCTCAAGCCGTACCCGGATTTCAAGCGGTCGAGGAACCTGACGTCTGTCTACCGAACCAGAGCCGACGACTGCGGTAGACTCTGGATGGTTGACACGGGGCTACTTGAGATACCAGGTGCGTTAACTAGCTTCCAATATCGGGAATTTTCGTTTTTTTTTTTCATTGACGCCGTGTGTTTTTCGAATTAATAAAAAAAAATTATATTTTTTTTCCATTAGCGCCGTGTTTTTTTCGATCGAAAAATTTTATTCGGTACAGATAAAGTTTTTGTGGGGTTTTCGACGCCACAAAAAATTTTATTCGGCAGAGGAAAATCACTGATGAAATAATCGCCAAGCGGAAGTCTCCGGCCGCTTATAGTTATTGAGAAAAAAAAATTAAAACTTGTTATTTTCACTAAGGAATTCCGCCATTTTACTAATTCGACTTCGAAAACTCAATACACAGTACTGCCAATATAATAAATAGCCTTCGTGGTTGTTTTTTTTTTTTTTTGACCACCAAGAACGTCAGTGTAACAGTAATTTTAGTATTTTTAAAAACACTTTTTCAATATGGCGGATTTCTATAGTGAAAATAACAAGTTTTAAATAATTTTTTTCCTCGAAAACTACAAGCGGCCGGAGAATGCTGCTTGTTGATTATCTCATTAGTGATCTTTCTTTACCGAACAAATTTTTTAGGTCGAAAAGCACCCGGCGCTTATGGATAATTTTACATGATAGAATGCCTTTTTAATAAAACCAAAAATATCCTCAGGCGCTCCGCAGCAGGTGCAAACGCCGGCCATTGTGATATACGACCTGAGCACCGACCAGCAGATCCTGAGGTATCCGTTCAAGAGCTCCGACACCCCGGCAGCGAACACGCCGACAGGTGACTAAAGTGAATCACCGCTGATCTCCAATGATATGACGTGCCGATTTAAGTTTAACAGCTATTCCAAAGAACACAACAAATATATCTCGTTGACCATAAAAAAAGTAAAGTAACAGCCTATACATTACGTACGTTGGCCATACGAAACGCAAAAGTAACAACCGGCCAGCCGGACGAAGGGATCCGTACCATTATCTATAAAAACTGCAAAAAAAAAAAAAATCATGTCTGTTGTATGGAAATCCCACTTAAATATTTTTTTAGTATTTGTTTTTATAACGGCAACATAAATACATCTTCAGTGAAAAATTTCTACTTTCTAACGATTCAAGAGATACAATGAAAAATGTCTACTTTCTAACGATACAGCCTGGTGATAAACGGACAGACAGACAGGTGAATCTTAATAATAGGGTCCCGTTTCACCCATTGAACACCGCCACATCACCAACTAAACAACCGCCCATCCATTGGCGTATCTAGAATTATTTTTCAGGGTGGACCTGGGACTTTACTACAAAAAAAAATCGGACACTATGTGTCGCATTAAAAAAGTCACAGTTCCTTATTGTTCACATATAATAGTAGTATTTACTTATTAGTATGTTGTGTATTCACAAGTAAATAAACGGAATGTATTGTAAAATAGTATGTAATAAAAACTAAGTATGTTCATAGATTTCTCGGCTATAGATAATTATTTGTTTTCAATGATTTTTTATGAAGTTTCTTCGGTATCCAGCCTAAAGATTCGAATCAGTAACCCAAACAGATACTGGGGTGGGCATGACCCACCCGCCCCCCTACTATATACGCCTATGCGCCCATCGCTCCACAGGTCTGGCCTCCATAACTGTTGACACGTCGGAGGGCTGCGCCAACGCCTTCGCCTACGTACCGGACCTCACAACCTTCGGCCTCATAGTGTTCTCCCTGCGGGATAACGACAGCTGGCGTCTCACTCACAACTTCTTCCATCTCTCTCCCACGGCCGGTAACCTCAGGATCGCTGGTGAGGCTGAATTCGTCACTTCAAAATTTTTATTGCAGTCATTTATTGGCATAATTCCTTTGTCCGTCATCGTTAAGAGAGTTACTAGATTTTCAGTTCACATAACATAAAAAAAGTAAAGTAACATTAACCGCCTATAAATGTCCCACTGCTGATCAAATGCCTCCTCTGTACAGAGTCCACTACGCGGCCCACTGCAGATTGGAAAAAATCAAAACCAAAATCAAATACCTTTATTCAATATAGAAGCACTACACTTTCTTATTGATTGTCAAAACGCTACCACTGGTTCGGAAAGAAAAGCCTGTGAAGAACCGACGAAAGAAACTCAGCGGGACTTTCTTTTTTTTTTTCTTTTTTTTTTTTTTTGGCGGACATCACATCTCTTCGAAATATTTATCAAAATACGCAGGTTTCCTCGCGTTGTTTTCCTTCACCGCTGAGCACATGATAATTCAGCACGCATAATTAACAATTACATTGAAGCCGGCACCGGGGATCGAACTCGGGTTGCTCGAGTATATGGAGTTAAAAGCGACCGGCCGGACAATGAGCTGTCACGGCTCTTAAATAAAGAGAAAAATAATTTTACAAACAAAGACTGGCCGTGGTTGGGCCACGAAAGTTTTCACTGTTGCACTAATGGGCAGGTCCGTCCGGGTAGTTACCACGACCTCACAGAAGACCGGCTTGAAGTAGAAGTGTTACACTTCTGCATTTCGTCTGGTGAGTGAGATAGCCGGGGCCCGCTTTATTTAAAGTTGGCAACGCATTTGCAACACTACGGGTGTTGCAAATTTCTATGGGCGGCGGTTTTTACCTAACATCAGGTAAATCGCCAGCTCGTTTGCCACTTTTTCACATAAAAAAAAAGACAGAATTCCAACTATGGCATGAGATAAATATTGGAGAAGGCATTCCTCCTTAGTTCAAAAGCCATTAAGCCTTTGCTGTAAGCGTGTGCCATCAAACAGGTCAGAACTTCCAATGGAGTGATGGCATCTTCAGCCTGACCCTGACGGAGGAGGGCCGCGACGGCTGCCGCACCGCCTACTTCCACCCGTTGATCAGCATCGAGGAGTTCTCCGTCTCCACCTGCGTGCTGAAGAACCGCACCGCCAGCCAGGACAGCAGATTCTGGACTATGTTCTCGGTGAGGGCTTCATCGATTTGAAAGAAAGAAAGAAAGAAAGAAAGAAAGAAAGAAAGAAAGAAAGAAAGAAAGAAAGAAAGAAAGAAAGAAAGAAAGAAAGAAATATTTATTTGGTACATAAAAAACAACGTTAAATTAGAAATAAAAAAATAACAAGTATTTAGACAACAATGTACCAAAAAGGTCACCACTCAGCATTACATCGCGAAAGTTGGTCACACCAACGCCCGGTTTCTGGAAGACAGATCATCGTAGATGTCAACTAATCAGCTGTCAAATGGCTTTTCAAATTTCATTTGAATTGCCAAAAGGATGGTTGAACTCTTTGAATTGCTCATTATGATCATTAAAAAGATCATTGTTGTCTTAAGTTGTCTTTTCAAAGACCGGTGGAGGTTCTCAATTAGACTGTGTTTTCTTTTTCTCTTATGTTCGTTACCTCAGAACTTTCGACGGAGTGAACCGGTTTTGGTGATACTTTTTTTATTTGTACTTTCCACGTGATCTAATTTCATTGGTTTCCGATCTTGGTCGTCTCTTAATATGGGACCGCGTGGGACACACCAGCTTACAAATAAAAAGAGAATCATCGAAATCGGTTAATTTTTTTGGTAAATTTATTTTCTTTCTTCTTTCTCCTTTCTTCCCAATTTAGACTCATTCTTTTCCGAAATTTAAATTGTTTATAGTGCTAATCTTTGCACTTAAGACTGAACATTGAAATATGTAGAAAAAGTGCGAAAAGATTATCGCCGCTGTGGGAATTGAACCCACGTCATCGGCATTCGCGGCCTGACGCTCTAGCCACTGAGCCAAACGGCTGATGGCCACGGCGACGAAAACCTTAACGCATTCTTCCACATTGTTTTTCTTAGCATTTTCCAGCATACAAACAATTTCGAATATCGTTTTACAACATTTACGTTTCCTTTCCGTTCTAGAAAGTGGGCGACCGCGGCGAGGACAGCCAGTGCACCATGCACGGCTACCACGCCGGCACCCACGTGGTGTTCTTCGCCGAGATCGGCAGAGACTCCGTCTCCTGCTGGAACACGGGCCGAGTTCTGAGGCCGAGCAACGTGGCGATCCTCGCTCAGGACCGGCAGGCGATGAGCTATCCGTCGGGTACGATGGTTTGCGAATATGTATTCGGTTCTAACTCTTTTTAGGGTTCCGTACCTCAAAAGGTAAAAAAGGAACCCTTATTAGATCAATCTCTTGTCCGTCTATCTGTCCTTGTGTCACCACCGATCTTCTCAAGAACGGATGGACCTAGCTTATTTCAATAAATGATTATACTACCAAGTCTGAACCTCCTGTGTAAATTTGGGCTCCATTTGATACTCAAAAAGAAGATTTGACGCCGAAGGATTAGTAAAACGGAAAAAATTATTCAAAAATAAAATCTATTGTTAGTATTAGTTAAGCAGATATAAAATAATATTATGAAACATATTAAATACGGTGTGTTAAAAATTATTGACATTTTCTCGATGAATGTCATCGAGAAAACGTCAATAATTTTTCCCACTTTTATTCCCAGATCTCCACGTGACTGGCGATGAAGTATGGGTGATGGCAAACACTTTACCGAGATTCGGTTATTCAAGGTTGGACGTGAACGAATACAACTTTTTCGTTTATAGGTTAGTTTCAATCTCATTCTTTTTTTTTTTATTAGAGACTAACAGTATTCGTAATAATAGCCACTTACGAAATGTTGTGTATGTAACCCTTTCTAAATTATTACGATATCTTTATTATTATCACTTAGTTTTTTATTACTTAGTTATTTATATAGGTATTTTTATTATTTAGTTTTAAAATATATAATGATTAGACAAAAAATATTAATGATAAGACTTATTAATAATTTCTAAATTTTTAATGGCAATTTGCCAAACTTTGACGTTCTACCGTCGAATACCTATCGCAGGCTTGGCAACTTAGGGCGTTTAGCCCCAAATTTAGCGCGCAAATATACATATTGGGCTTTTTGTAGGGTCCAAAAAAGTTTAGGGCAATTTTAAGGGCCATAAGTAATATCTCAGATATCACTATTTTGATGAACGAAACTGAAATAAAAAAGCAAATTACCTATTAATAAATGTAGTTAATAGAATTTTAGTTAATATTGTTATGAACACACAAAGGAACTAACGCCATCTAGCGTCAACTATTAAAATCACTAAAGAACAAAGACGACATAAAACCCCCTATTCAATACTAGATGGCGTTGGAGGAACTGCTGTGGAACTATAGTCTCGAAAACCGGGTACATTCGCGAATTTTCCGGAATCACGAACATGTTCGGGCGTGTCGGGTACGTTCCAGGAAGGATCTTTCTGGATTAGTCTGGAACCGGTCTCGGCCCATATAAAAAGCCTCGGGGAGGCGAGCGAATACAGTTCAGTTTGAGCTATCTTCGAGGCGACTTCGGAGTGAAAACTAGTGATCAAGAGCGATACCAGTGAAACCTACGACTTGGCTACAAAACAGGACACCGTTAGTGCTTTGTGTTGGACCTAGTGCTATTGAATAAAGTCTTCAAAAGAGTCAGCAGGTCTTTCTATCCAAATCCTTCGAACCCCTAACACGTAACAACTGGTGTCAGAAGTGGGATTTGGAGATGCCATTGACTCCGAGAGAGGACTTCAAGGAGGGTGTCATGACAAGGGCACGAGCTGCGGAGACCACACCCACTGGGGACCAAGCCCCGCCCACTATGGGTCAAGCCCCGCCCACTGGCCCCACCAACCAGGCCACGCTCACCGACCACGCCCCTCAGACTCCGCCCACTCAGGCCCAAGCCCCGCCCACTTTTGTGCAAGCCCCTCCCACTGACTCCACCCACCGGGATACGCCCACTCGGACCTCGCCCAGTGGCCACACCCACCTTGCCACGCCCACCGGCGGCACCACAGCTTCTGCAGCCCCTGAAGTGGCTCTTCAATTAGGAAGTTTAATTAAATTAATGGAGCTGCAAAGGGCTGAAATTCAGGCAATGAAGGAGTCACAAGAACGCAAGTTCAGCGCTTTGCAAGCGTCACAAGAGCAACAAAAAGACCTTCAAGAAAAAGCACTTTGGGCTATAAATGATGTTAGTAACACGGTGATTAAGCTTCGAAGTGACATCGACGTAGTCGAAGAACGAGTTACCGGGTTAGGATTTGATGTTGAAAATGTGAAAACCGGCCTCACTGAACTGCAGAAGAAAGTAGTGCGCCTTGAAACCACGGGAGTCGCGATGTCTAGTGGAACCACTGGAGTGGCGCAAGGACCAAGAGTGAAAGTGCCGCCATACGACGGCACTACTTCTTGGCACGCTTATCGTCGGCAATTCCAGACTGTTGCTACTGCCAACGGATGGACGGAAGAGCAAAGCCTGACCACTCTCACTGTTGCGCTCAGAGGGCAAGCTTTGTCGGTCCTGGAAGCACTGCCAAATACAGGAAATGGGTTCCAAGACCTGATGGAGGCACTTGAATCAAGATACGGGGAGCGACACCTGGAGCACGTATTCCGTGCCCAACTGCGTGACCGAGTCCAACGCTCAGGAGAAGGACTACAACAATGGGCGTTGGAAATTGAAAAACTCGTCAGGGAGGCACACCCAGTAGCCGATACCAAGATAGTAGACACGAATATTGTTCAAGCATTTGTGGACGGAATCAAGGACCTCGAGGTCAGAGCTGCAGTGAGGCTTCGTCACCATACCTCGTTAAAGGAGGCATTGGCGCACGCTTTGGAGGTCGAGGCTGTTCGCCATGACATACGGCAGACCCATAAGATCCGCGAGGTCTTTGAGGAAGTGAAGGGAGGTTAAGGCCCCTACGAAGAGAAGTTCTGGACCCATGTGCTACAAGTGCGGCGAGAGGGGCCATCTTCAGCTCAACTGCCCGCAGAAGGAGACCCAGATGGAAAGGATGAAAAGGATTGAGGAACAAATAAAGGACCTGAAGAAGCAAGAGGCTTCAGGGATACGAATAAAAGCCGGGACTAAGGAGCGAGTACTGGCTGACGCGGAGGAAGCCCCAGTAAATGGCCACAACTACGGATCAATGACTGAGCTACTCAATGACTTCAAGACGGAACACCGCAGTGGAAAGACGCATGGGAACGCCGACGCACTCTCACGAAGGCCGTGTTCAGAAGACTGCAAACATTGTGTTAAGCAGGAATCTAATGAAGTTACATTAAAGCTAACGAGGACAAGTCCTTTGGGTTACTGGGAGAATGATGCTATGTGAGAGGCTCAAGAAAGTGACGACGACCTTCGGCACATCATCACATGGAAGAAGCGGGGCGATGTAAAACCAAACTGGAGTGAGGTTGCACCCACTGGCGCTGTCACTAAGGCGTACTGGGCGCAATGGGACAGTCTGATACTTCACAACGGAATACTCTACCGGAAATGGGAGAAGACTAACGGCAGAGAGTTCCATCTTCAGATAATTGTCCCGAGAACGAGAGTACCAGATGTTCTCCGTGAAATACATGATGGCGTATCAGGAGGTCATCTAGGTGTCAAGAGAACGGTAACAAAAGTGCGAGAACGATTCTACTGGTTGCATTGTCGAGATGATGTACAGGATTGGTGCCGCAAATGTACTACTTGCGCTGCTGTAAAAGGACCACAGACCAGAAGCCGTGGGAACCTGCAGTTGTATAACGTCGGTGCACCGTGGGAACGAATTGCAGTTGACGTAGCTGGGCCATTTCCTGTACGGAATCGGGAAACAAGTATTTTATGGTCGTCATGGACTACTTCACCAAATGGCCCGAAGTGTTCGCCATACCAAACCAAGAAGCTACAACAGTCGCTTCTAAGTTAGTCGAAGAAGTGATATGTCGTTTTGGTGTGCCTCTAGAAATCCATTCCGATCAGGGCAGGAACTTCGAATCACAAGTATTCCAGGAAGTGTGTAGAATTTTGGGCATGCATAAGACGAGGACCACCGCGTGCCACCCCCAGTCTGATGGAATGGTTGAGAGATTTAACCAGACCCTTGAGAGGCATCTGGCGAAATTGGTAGACGACAAACAAAAGGATTGGGACAAGTATATACCACTCTTCCTTCTGTCGTACCGAACCGCCCAGCATGAGAGCATAAAAGCTACCCCGGCGTATGTCAATTACGGTAGAGAACTACGATTACCAGTAGACCTATTGACAGGAGGGTCACCGGAGGGACCACAGACCGTACAAGACTATGTCTGCAATTTAGGGAAAAAATGCGCTATATACACGCCTTGGTTCGGGAAAATGGGTTACAGTCAAGTGAGAACATGAAAACCAGATACGACCGGAAATCGAACACGGACGGCTTCGAAGAAGGGTCACTGGTGTGGCTGCATAACCCAACTCGTCGGAAAGGGAAATCCCCAAAGTTGCAGATCAAGTGGGACGGTCCATACAAAGTGGTTACCCGACTGAATGATGTGACTTATAGGATTCAAAAGCAACCAAGAGGGACATTCAAAGTGGTACACATAGACCGTCTGGCGCGTTACCATGGCAGTAACAATGATGCTCGGGACGAGCATCTCTAAGAGGGGAGTAGTGTTATGAACACACAAAGGAACTAACGCCATCTAGCGTCAACTATTAAAATCACTAAAGAACAAAGACGACATAAAACCCCCTATTCAATACTAGATGGCGTTAGAGGAACTGCTGTGGAACTATAGTCTCGAAAACCGGGTACATTCGCGAACTTTCCGGAATCACGAACATGTTCGGGCGTGTCGGGTACGTTCCAGGAAGGATCTTTCTGGATTAGTCTGGAACCGGTCTCGGCCCATAACAAAGGCTCGGGGAGGCGAGCGAAGACAGTTCAGTTTGAGCTATCTTCGAGGCGACTTCGGAGCGAAAACTAGTGATCAAGAGCGATACCAGTGAAACCTACGACTTGGCTACAAAACAGGACACCGTTAGTGCTTTGTGTTGGACCTAGTGCTATTGAATAAAGTCTTCAAAAGAGTCAGCAGGTCTTTCTCTCCAAATCCTTCGAACCCCTAACACGTAACAATATTATGTTGTTTTTTCAATTATTTCATCAATGTGAAGTAATTAAAACTAAGTTAATTATTTACCTTAACTAAGGTGATGAACTACACTCATTTACTGAGTTTTGTACTCTTTTTTGCGAACCGTACTCTTTTCAAATCCTGTACTCGACAGTACTCATTTGTATAATTTTATACTCATTTGTGTTTCTAAAATATTTTTTTAAACATTTTTTGAGGATCAAGAAAACCAACAATTTTGTTCTTTTTGTTCAAGTTAACAAGATTTGAGTTGTACAAAATAAAATTTTATTTTATTTATCTAGTGAAGGTGACGTTGCCTATAAGTTTTTATCTTTTTTTTCACCTATGAAATACTTGCAAAGTGTACTCTTTTTGAATAAAAAATCACCTTAACATAATTTGAAACTCACTTAAACAATATCTTTTGAAAATTACATTTTTAGGGTTATTTCGTCTTGATTTTAGGGAAATTTTTTAAAATTATTTGGCAGCACTGACCTATCATAAGTACCAACCATAAACCCCCTTATCGAAACAAACCCATAACCAAATCGATGTAAAGAAAATTGAAACCACTCTTAAATCAATACTGTTTTTTTTCAGGGGTAACGTGCGGGAACTGATCACTGGAACCGTTTGTGACAACGGATTCAATCGATAAAGGCGATAAATCTATTTAAAAAACGTGATTGTTAAAAATGTTTAGAATTATAATTGTTATAAATAAGTTTAATCGATTGTGATATCTACAAAAAATAAAGGAAATAAAAAAATATCTATAAAAAAATAATCAGTTATTTTTAAACACTACCCAATATATGTCCTCACCATTCTCAAGACTAACTTTGTTCATACTCACGTAGCCTAAAATAAGACTACCGTATTATACCTTTATGTTATATTGTAAACTGATATTTTTGAAAAAAAGCAACTGTTGAGTTTCTTGCCGGTCTCTTCTCAACAGATTTAGGACAAATAATTTAGGATTAAAGGTATGGGTTAACTAAATGAATGAAAAAGAAAAATAGTTATCTTCAATCATAATTCATAATAATAAGATATTTATAAATATGTAAGTAAATAAATAAATGTGTATACAAAAGGCTAACAAAATATATACATATAAATACACATATACATACATATACACATCAATACATACATATAAATATATACATACCATATATTATTTATTGTTAGGGAATAACATTACAGAGATAAGTAATGATTTTTTACAAGATTCTTGAAAATATTTAATGATTGAGCACGCCTTACTTCTGGTGGTTCTACTTACTTTAATTTAAATTTCTAAAAAGCAATTGCGACATCTCTCGTTCGAATTATCGTTTTAAAACGATATTCGAATTGTTTGTATGCTGGAAACGATATAACAATGGATGTGCCAAGCATTGCATCAAATGCTAAGAAACAATGTAAGATAAGGACAGAATATATAAATATAAAAATATATAAATATTCAGAAATTTAAATTGTTTATAGTGTTAATCTTTGCACTTAAGATTGAACATTAAAATATTTAAAAAAAGTGCGAAAAGATTGTCGCCGCTGTGGGAATCGATCACTCCAATCAAATCGCCACTGAACTAAACGGCTGATTGCCACACCGACGAAAATCTTAACGCATTCTTCTACATTGTTTTCTATCTATATACCTAGAGAATCTTTTATGGTCGGTTTTAAAAATAAAACAAAGCAAGCTTTATGGTATTTAGCTTCAGCAGCATCTAAATCGTGCTCAAACCCGATGCGAGCAAAAATAGCTTTTGCGACGTCTCCAGAATGAGACTGAGATACTTTCATAACTGAGTTTTTAAAATTAAATTAAACTTGACAAATACGCCGGGATCTCTGTGCTTGTTTATTTTCGTATTCTTCATTTAATTCATCCAAAATCCACAATTGCCGCAAAACAAACAAGAAAAAAAAAAATATGATCCACTTAAACGTGCTGTATTACTCGCTGGTTCCTCTTCATATTGCCGTTTTACTACTGCAATTATACTCTTTCGAATGTCTATTGTTTACGACACCGCATATGAAATGTAATTAATCTTTTCCTAAAAATCCACTTTTGCAAACTTTTACCTTGAATATTTTTTTTACAGAAGTTTTCACAATTTCATCACAATGGTTAGGGATACCATAGATGGGGATACCATGGAATACCATAAGTCCACGCAAATTTTCAGGTTTAACCCATATTTGACGACTAAATTGAATGGATTAATTAATATATGTGTGTATCCATCCATCCTTCACAGCATGGGAGGATAAAAGTTACATTATTAAGGTTACCACCAAGCCAACCATAAGCCAACTACGGAAAATGAGCTAGACCATTCGTAATAAGAACTTACCACAAATTTTAACATAAACGTTTTTAAAAAGAAATTCTAAAACTATGGAACACTTCTTAAATTTTATTATATATAGGTAAAATACAAATATGTACCCAACAGAATCTATATATCTACACACTTTTCGCACTTTTTCTATATATTTTAATGTAAATATTCAGTTCAATAAAAAGTAAAGGAAATACGTATATCACTGCTAGGCAGAAGCCTCCTGTTCAAAGAGGGGTATTAGGCAAAGAGTACTTTTATATATGTGGTATTAGGGCATAGTCCACAAAGCACCACTGCGGATTGGCGGATTACACATCGTTGAAATTTCTTTCTGTTATTGTTTCTAAAATAATATGCGGGTTTCTTCACTATGTTTTCCCTCTCCGCTGAGCACGTTTAAAGTCAGCACTTAAATTAACAGTTTCATTGTTGCCGGCACCGGGGACCGAAATCAGGTTGCTCGAGCTTTCACGGCTCACTGTAATTAGATATTAATTATAAAATAATTAGCAATTCAAATCACTACATGATACAAAACAAAGTCGTCCCGCTGTCTGTCCCTGTGTATGCTTAGATCTTTAAAACTACGCAGCGGATCTTGATTAGATAGATCTAGATTAAGGCCCATTTACACGATGCCATTTTCTTGAACATACAAGAGCAATAATTGAATGCAATAAATTGCGCGCAATAATTGTTTAGACCATTTCTTGTCTAGACCATGCAACTCATTTATTGCTTCAATTTAATTGTATACAACAGGCAAGAAACTGGCACCATGTAAATGGGCCTTTAAACCCGTGCGAAGTAGGGGCGGGTCGCCAGCAAGTAATAGATGATGTTATTTTATTAGTGATGTCATTGAATTAGCGCCCTCCACTTTATCCCTCATCCATGGCCGGCTGTAATGCGACATGCGATAGACGAACGAATAAATTGAGGCGATGTAAAGAAAGTTTCACTTTAAAATGCAATTCAGTTTTATTGTTTAAAATACAATTTCATTAACAAATCATTATCAAATCATAATATTGTTCGTAATACAAATAAATAAATCAACGATGGGAAGGCATACTAACAGCGTCTAAATTAAACTAACAGTCTGACTTATCACAGGCCATTAGTTTTGCCCCGTGCTAAAATATGTGCCAACTAAAATCGCAGGTACACCGAAATGACGGCCGGAAGTCAAATGTAATATATAAATGAGCCAAACGAGTCAACAAAATATCGATATTCCAGCCAGAGATAGACTGCGTTAGTTGTGGTTTCAGTCTCCCAATTATAAAATTGTCCCAAACGGGAGCGGTATTTTTATTTTATTTTTTTAAGACACTAAAAATAACTGGCCTGTAATGCTGTTATCTCTGTCTTATCTCAAACCTTCCGCACGCCAATGGAACTTTGCTCCAAAAACACAAACAAACAGATCGATATCGAAATGAAATTTCTTATACAGCTAACCTATACACTTAAAATATTTTTATTTAAGTTTTTCTCCGCTGTGGGAATCGAACCGCGCGTTTTCCGGATTCACGCACATACCATACGCTTTAACTACTAAGCTAAACGGCTGATTATTAAACAGACGAAAACCCGAACGTCTTTTACCTACAGTGTTTCTTGTTGCTTAGTTGCTAAAGCGACTGGACGCGAATCCGGAAAACGTGGGCTCGATTCCCACAGCGACGAGAAACTTTTCGTTTTTTCTAGAAATTTCAATAAAATCGATATTTAGAACAATATCGATTTCATTAAACTTCTCGAATGAGGCTCCGGACATTGATTCGATTGTCGGGTTTCGGCCGGTTTTAATGTTCTATCAATCTGTAGATTTGGTTCTAGTTAACATCAAATATAGGCATTTCGCTAGTTTCCAAATCTACAGATAGATAGAATATTTAAACCGGCCGTAAAGACCGATTTACATTGGCCAAGGACAATGGCTAGTAACAAGTACAGTAAGTAAATACAACGGCATTTCTCTGTCGAAATGGACAAGCAACAATATTTTGTCGCCTGTTCCGGCCACTGTACTAATTTTATTTTTACATTACGGCAAGTGAAGAGTCAAGCGCCCCGCGGGGGTATAGCGTTTGCACACAAAAAAATAGAAAGCGATACAATCTGGGTCTAGATGGCATTAGGGATGTCGAAAGCGAAGAAATATATAGACATTTATAAACATATCTATATCGGCCTCGGTATATCGAAGTAAAAATATAGATATATAGATATATCGATATTTTCTCTTAAGGCCATGTTGTCCAAAAACAAAAGATGTCATTTAATATTTCCGGACTCTGTGCAGGATTCGAATTTGATAAAATATCGTTTTTTGATACGATTTCGATATCGAATATTTTGTATTTGATATTGAATATTTTGTATCCGATATGTTGGCTAAAAATATCGATATATAAAATCAAATATATCGATATATCTATATTTTTTCGACAACCCTAATTGCAAGGCAGCATGCAAGCCAAGTTGACTCGCCACTGTCCAATGGTTTACACCAAGGATGAGCAACGCGCGGCCCCATAAACATTTATGTGGCCCGCAAAGCATTTCTAAAATTGAATTTATTTTATCGAATTTCTCCCATCAATATATTGTTATAAAATTAATTATAATAAAATGGTAGTATATACTGAACCGAAATATTTTTTTGTTCGTTTTTCTGTTCTTTTCTTGTTTGTTTTACCTTGCATTAAAATTTGTACATGAAATCTTTACTTTATTTAATTTTTTATTTTTTTATTCTAATATTTATTATAGATAAAGTTTCGTAAATTATTATGTGCGGCCCGCCAAAAAAAATTTAAATTTAAATTGGCCCATTGATTAAAAAGGTTGCTCACCCCTGGTTTACACCACTGTACTTGTCTACTTCACTAAACACTAGACCAGCGTAAAACGGTCTTTGTGACGTCATTCCCACAGGAAGCTGTCCACTGAGTTGGCGGCGCGTGATAGCTTGAGCGCGGCCAGCCTGCCGTGAGGGTCTGCGAGCCAGTCGTAGCCAGCAGTGCGAGCCGTCACCAGCTTCAGGAGCATCCACCGCATCAGCTCCAATTTCTCCACCAGCTTGCGCAGTTTCCTACGCAAAGGACAACGTCAGACACTCACAGCCCCAATCGTGGACGGTTTCGTGTTAATAAAAGGAATATCGCAAAATCAAAAGATAAAAAAATGTAAATCATTTGTTCATTGACTTAAGAAATTCATTAAGAAGTATAAGAAACTTGCTTTCATTTATTGATAGTCATTTTTTTTTAATCTACCACCGTTTCGTAATGAGGTTCCTCTGCTCCTTTGCAAAGATTATCACCATCAAAATTTGTATATTTTTTCCCTCTCTTTCGAATTATCGTTGTAAAAAAATTGTTATGTTAAATTTTTCGTGTGCTGTTGCGCGGTGGAAACAGAGCAGTGAAGTGGACGGTCTCAGACAATGTAAAACTATTTAAGAATCTTTGACCCATGCAAAAAATTTTCACAAGTACTGTCATTTACATAATGCGTAAAAAATTATTTACTAATAAACTTTATCTTATTTTTAAGAATAACGTCTTTCGGTCAACTTACTTACTATCTTTCATTTAAACAAATTGGTATTAAAAATAATAATTGAAATTAGAAAAAAAAAAACAGTTTGGAAACAGTACGTTGAGATTTTCGTCAGTGTCGCAATTGGCAGACTCAGCTTAGTGGTTAAAGCGTCTGTGCGCGAATCCGGAAGACATGGGTTCGATTCCCACTGCTGCGAAAAACTTCTCGTCTATTAGTCCATTATCTCTACAACATTTTTAAGCAGCGTTGGTCTAAAACGATCCGCTACTCACTCATATAGCGGCCCATCGAAGTCTTCTTCATCGGTGTCGACAGCAGACGCCCTGATAGTCCTCAACTTCCCCAGTTGCTCATGCCATTGTGCCTGCACCGAGGCATGTTGCAGTTCCTTCTCTCTTAACCTTGCGTGGAGGCTAATAACCTGCCCCTCCAGCTGCCCATATTTCATAAGTTGCTCCTGGATTTGTCTGAAAACATTTAATACCTTTTCAGTATGCATTTGTAACTGTATTAATTTTTTTATTTTACTTTAAATCTATACAGAACCAACACAGAAATACATTTATTATACACTCATTTGGTGACTTGAGCTTCCTCATATGGCCACCATAACGTTTTAAAATTAATTTAAATTAAATTCACTGTTGATCAATTAACAGTCTCTATTCAAATAGAGGCACATAGTAGAGATTACTCACAGTTTTAAAATTTGTGAGTGACTTTTTAAAAAAATGCTTATTAATTTTCAACCACTTCCTGACCATTAGTAAATACAAGTGAGTGGTGTTTCAATTTAATTGATAAAATTAATAGTGAAGTAGACATTTATATTACAATTTCTATGCAACTGATCCTGATTGTCCAAGCAAAATAAGAAACCACTGCATGACGTCTTCACGGTAAATAACAATGGCGAAATCTTATTTGAGTAAAATTCTAGTGTCTGGAAAAGACACATTAACCAAGAATATAAAAAAAAAATATACATTTTATCAAGTTATCATTTAAAACAGTTAAGGCCGGAAATAAAAAATAATTATCTAGGATACTAAATTGATTGTAATGATTAATTATTACTTTAGTGTTACCATTTAAAACTTTTATCCTTAAATATGGTAGATATATAATCGTTACATTACATCGCTTTCTTAAAATACAACTTTAAAGTCTATGAATATATCAGTTTGCCTGAATATAAAGTAATAAGCTTTTGATTTTTTGTTTTTATATTATATAGTGTATTTTATTAAGTTCCGTTCCGTTACAAAATCTTGTTGCGAAATAGCAAGTAAATGAAGAAATGTTATGGCAGCACTGAAACTGTGCTTTAGAGTAGCGTTGGTATTTGACATTGTTTTTGACATGGTTTTTGACAGATCTACAAATATGTATTGTATATAACCTTCCTTCATTATTATACACAATACATAATTATTCACTATTTTCTCTTGGTCCGTGTAATACTTGAATTTTCGTAATAAGTAGATACAAAATATAGAAGTGACATTAATAACCTACAAAAGTTCAAAACTGAATATCTCCTATTCTCGTCCTCCTGTAAACAAAATTCTTGCACAAAGAAATTCGTAATTCATTGCAGAATTTAATAATATATTACTCATAGTCGTATAGTCGTAAAAATTTAATTTGAAATAAAACTGTGTATGGAAGTTCGCCATTGTTCTTTAAGACTTACGGCGGGTTTCAATATTCAATCCACAGATAGGTTTGGTTACTAACAATAGACGTTTGATATCAGGTCCTTAATACATCAAAATTATATCCAGTAACCAAATCTATCTGTAGATAGAAAATTGAAACTGGCCGTTGATTTACTTACATTTTTCTTTCTCTCATCTCAGAGTCCAGACTGTGATTTGACGCTATAAGAAGGCTCTTTACCGCATGTGTTTGTGTGAAAGATTTCACTGTATGCTGGTCAAGGATCGCCGATACAGCTGTCTCTTCATAATTGCTGATAACATTTGTTTTGTCCCCCTCAGATATTTGTGGTGTGGCTTAAAATATTAATATGATATTGAGTAATTCTCAATCCTAAAAGACTATTATAATCCAGTTCTGTTAGATTTTAAATTTTCTAAAGACAACTTTTAAATATATAACACTAGCGATCAATATCCAGTGATTAAATCTCAGTAATAAGTTTAAACTGAACTTGATAACCCACATGCAATACTCTTAATCAATCGGTTTATTTATTCCCCCCTAAACAGTTGTACTGTTTTGAAATCTATGTTGCGTAGTAAAATAAATTATCACTGATATAAATTAAGCTGATTGTACTTACATGCTAACGGCTTCGCTCTTAGTAAACGAAGTTTGGACGTAAACAAGGTTATATCTCGCAGTTTCTTAGACAAAATATCTTCGAAAGAATCTCCCGCTTTTGCTGTGAATAGTTCAGTAGATATTTGTCGCAAGTCATTCTCGAATGCATTGCTTACATCGCGTAAAGCCGTAAACCCAGTCATTTCAATACTTCACTTATTTTCCTATCAACAACAAATTAAAAAACTCATTCAATCAAAACATTAGTCCGTTAACTCCGTTAAATTCAAAGAGAATGTAATCACTACGTTTACGTGTTACGTGTTGCCAACTACTAAAAAAAATATATGGCCCTAAAATCAAGACGAAATTTTCAAAAGCCCGGTATTATATTCAAAGATATTGTTTAAATGAGTTTTACCTACGTTTTTTTAAGGTAAATAAAATATAACTCAGTTTAAATTACTTTTCATTACACATACTTGAAATAATTAACAAAAAACACAATATTCACTAACATTTCTGTACGTAATAATAAGACGGCTGAACTCACGTAAACCTGCTGTATGTACCGACTAGTTTCAGACTCATCGGAGGTCCTTCATCAGGGTGAGTGAGATTAGTTAGCCGTCACGCCCCGTCTCACAATGCGCGCCTGAACTCGCATCGCGCGCGTTGACAGGGCGATGATGATGACGAGTCCGGTGAGATTGGTTTAGTGTTACTATTGGTGTTTTGGGTGTGCGCCCCAAACATGTGCCGCAGACGTGATGCCCCCGTGACGTCTGCATGCCCCTCAAAAGGCAATGTAGAAGACCCCGATGAAGATGACGACTATTCCGTGCTTTTTTCCAAATATTGCCATATTTTGTAACCCAATGGATTTAAGTTTGAACTGGAGAAAAATTTTTGCTCTATGAGCTGGATATCTGCAGAATCTCGCTAGAGTGTCTGTGATTGAAGATGGTACCTATTAGATAGAGGTTCCACGAAGTTTGTGAGGACATACCATATTTCGATACATAACTGCATTCGTTTTATTTGCACTAATTTTCAAATATCTTTATCCTTTTTTTGTTATAAGCAGATAATTTTCCACATAATGTTATGGACATAACATGCTTGATTGAGATGGCATCCAATTGATTCTGCCAGTTGATTTTATCCTTGTAATTGTAAATATAATTGTTTTCGGAATCTAAGAATAAAGAACATTCTAGGTTCTAGTAATCAGTACTTGAGTAGCACGTTTCTTGACAAGGCAAAAAACATTTTAAATATTTTTTACATAAGGTAAGGCCTCTTGACTGTAGTTCAATTAAATTTTTATAAATTAATTTTTAGATTTTCGTAAAATTTATTTATTTTGTAAAATATACTAAAATCTCACATGCCTGTGATGTGAAACCTTTCTTTTGAGACATTATTTTTCGGCTATTATTTTTGCACTTAAGGAGGACAGTGTGACAGCGTGTACGTCTCCAACCGCGTCAGAATTCTTAGTTGCCTTCAGACTTCAGTTATTCAGTTAACAGTTAGTGACACTTTCTATTAATTGTGGTTGTCCGGTTACGCCCACTATACATGGCACTATACATTAGGCATGAGATATACCTGCAACATTCTATACCCGGCCTCAAAGGTACGGGTATCGCCGTATACCCGGTGCTAAAACCCAGTATCAAAATACCTTTTTTTTTTTTTTTTTTTATGCGAAAAGTTGTCAAACGAGCAGACGGTTCACCTGATGTTAAGTGAATACCGCCGCCCATGGACATCTGCTACACTCGAGGGTTACAGATGCGTTGACAACCTTTTGAAAATTGGGCTCCGGCTACCTCACTCACCAGACGAAACGCGAAAGTATTTGTCATACTTCCACTTTACGCTGGTCTTCTGCGAGGTCGTGGTACTTACCCGGACGGGCCTGCCCATTCGTGCAACAGCCGAGGCTGCTGCGTGGCCCTACCACCGTAAAATTACCGTACCTATAGGTACCTATAGGTATTAGTTTTGTTCAGGCCTCCTAATGGAGACCCGGTATGAAATTGAACCTTTATTTGGTTGGAATTGGAACATTTAGATGTTTTTTAGTAATCATTTTTTTAATTGAGATTTAATCAGTCTAAATAAGGCTCCATCTTTACCAACGTAAAGAATCCTATTATAAAAAAAAAGTAATTCAAAATAAATATTACTGTTTAATCTTATTACGCAATTATTTATCTACCTAATTGTCATAGAAATAAAGAATAAATTTATCTCAAGGAAATATTTGGTATAAAAGCCTAAATCATACGTTTCAATTCGGTCATGATCGGAAAGAGCCGCCGTAAGCGTTCGGGGAACTTCATACCTATTCGGCCGGCGGGTTGTCGCGAGCGTATATACCGCCACCGTCGGACGAGGCGGCCATAGCCATACCTATCGGGTATGAACGGGCCTCTGCCGTACATACGTCATACCCGGTATGCGGGCGGCTTGTCGCGAGCGTTATATACCGCCACCGTCGGACGAGGCGGCCATACCTATCGGGTATGGAACGGGGCTCTGCCGTACATACCCGGTGTGCGTACTGGTATGTTCATACTGGGTATTTATACCTGTTCCAGTATGTACGCCTCATCCCTACTATACATTTAATTTCTCTAGTCCGTGGTAGCTGCAAAATCATAGATGTTAGTATTACTATTACTCTATGGTATTTGAGAATCAGAATACGTCAAAATCAAATCTCAAAAGTCAATTGGTCAATATGTTTCCAGTTTCCACGTTAAGTTGTTATTCTTTCAGCTCACAGCTGATGTTACATAAATAAAAACAATGAAATAATCTCCTATGAAATGCATCCTAACTGACACGTTCTCAGCCTATTTTTGACAATTTTCAATTTTTTTTACAAACATTCAGTGCCATGAAGGAAGACGTAAATGGTTATCCTTATCTCTGTGTTCTGCCTGCTGAAATCCTCCTCTATATTTTCACATATTTACCGGCTAAGGACTTGGTTAGGTGTCGACAATTGTGCTTAAGACTAAAACAGATAGTCGACGAGCTAACTAGGGGCGATGCGTTGTGGCGGGGTCACTGCAAAATCGACTACCCAAATATTTACAAAATAGCACGATACAAATCCAAGCCTGGCTTGTTATGGTGCAATATTTACAGGTCTTTGACCCTGTGGCCAAAGTTGGCGAGCGCTCGCGAGGATTGGGATGAGTTTGCCTATGCGTCGAATGTGAGCGAGGAAGTAACTGACTTCAAGATTCTGCGCGACGGCGTTATTGCTATTCACAAGCAGAGCGCGATTGTATTCTACGACATTGAGACATTGAAGCCGACGGAGCGTGGGCCAATCACCGGCAACTATCTTCAGTACACAGAGAATGACGATACCATAGTAATACTGGGCCATCACTTACACCTCTTCATAATACGCAAAATCATCAAGAATCACCGATTAGAGACGAATGTTACCTTTGACAACGTCAAAATCTTTATTCTAGTAGATCGGGAGGTGTACTATGTGACACTGAACAATGAGATTTGCGTTTGCAACCTTGAGAACTTCATTAATAGGGTTATAAATCGCTCGGATGATGGAGTTATGTCGATCGGCTTCAGCCACGGCAAGCTCCACGTGCTCACTTTCCATCGGAACATTTATACGGTGAATGGGACTGATCTAACTTTTACCTGTGAATTAGGCCCCGACTCTAACCTACTTCACCTGTTGTATTACTATAATTTTCTCGAGACACTTGATTGGAGAACGTACCATCAGTGGATGTTTGTGTTCAACCACAGGGTTTCCGATGGACCGCTGCAAAATATCATTCACGTCCGAGTATACGGAGAAGTTGTTTTCGTTGGATGCAACTTTGGCGTTTTGAGGATCTACAACTCCCCATTTACGGCTGGTGAATTGGACATTTACAACGCTCATCCTACTAAACAATACAACTTCATGGAGCGCAATGACTGCCCCGTTCTATCATTATGTCCAGTCTTCAAGGTAGATGTCTCAGAGTCCGAAGACGGTCACACTGTTTTTATAGGGATGCCGAAGAAGTTAGCAGTTCTTAATTTTACTCACAATTTTAATAGATCTGCATCGGTAGCAATGTTGCCATATAAAGAAGTATGAAAGACGAAAACATTGTAGACCGAAGATTTTATGTAAATAAAGGAATCCTCCGGGGAGTAAGGTAAATGATTCAATATAAAAGAATCCTGGACTATTAATGCTAAAGTCATGATCAAACTATGCATGCCTCATTGCAAATCATATTCAAACACATTTTATAATTGAATCTTTCTACTAATCATTCCTTTATTCCAATAACCTGTAATAAAAAATGTAATCAAGGAAATGGCCAATTTTATCTTAATCTATTAGAAAGAGAGCTAATAATCATTAATTATTAAAGAGCCATAATAAAGCACTAAATCTTTGCCTTTATCTCTATTTACTAGCACTTTACTTTTTGAATAAATCTAGATTGGAAGCTATGCACTCCCAAGATGGCAATAAGCACTTAACAGGAATTATATTATTATTTATTCACGAAGTGCAGTCTTAAAACTCTGAATACTGGTTGAGAAACAAATATGAGTGAATACAATTAATGCCAACAACTGCATTCAATCTGGGAGCGTGTCCTCAAGCAACATTTTTTTTTTTTAATTTTTCATTTCTTTCATAAAATATGATTTTCATAATCAAATTTAAATAATAAGACAATTTCCACTTAAATGTAGAACTGCTACTTTCCTTTAATAAATCATAAATTCATCAATGACAAAAGTGAGTACAAATTCTTGAATGAAACATTTTTTTGATATAAAGTGTGTTATCCATTATAACTAGCATTAATTATTATAAAATACATTTACTAATTACATTAGTATAAATGCAACATGTTGCAGTTTTATGCAATATTAAATTTTATTCATCTATATATTAATATGGATTTATATAAGTAGTTTTTTTCCTCAGTATAATTTATAGCTTTCGCAGCCAACAGCTAACTCATAGAATTAACATATTTCATTTATCCTAAACCTTTAGAATGTGTCTAAAATTTTAATTATCTAAAATTTTCACATTAACCGTCCTATAAAGAATTAAATTGGTAATGAACTGTTGTTCATTAATGTTGACTTTACCATTTTTTGAGAAAAATATGACATTTTCATTATAATCATTTCAAAGCAACCAAAAAGAATGCTTTTTGGTGTCCTTCACATTAGTTGAATCTCTAGTTTCTATACTCTGAATATTACATGTTACCATTTCAATCAAAACAGCATAATTTTAACTTTTTAACCTTTCTTTAACAATATGTTCTGATAAGAAAAAATACAAACTTGTAGCCTTTAATATTCTAAAGTATTGATAAAATATTAAGTATTGGAACAAATATTTTATTCATTACAAACAATTTATATAAATCAATTAATAAATGGAAAGGAGTGGAAAACTCTTGTCTTCTTTATTTCAGCATAGTACAGATTGCTGCTAAATAGATCTTCCATAGACCATCATATCCTGGGTCACTTGTAGATCCTTTATCGCATCATGGATTGCTAATATGGTATGGTTGGCAGTACAAGCTTCTACGGTCGTCATATAGCAACATTTATAATGTTAGCAATTTTATAGGGGGTTATTAGTGATTTAAGTTTCCTGTAAGTGGTCAAGTGGTGGTTGGTAATTTATAATTAGATATGATTTTGATACAAAGTGGCTCCAATAAACTAGAATCTGGAAATCAGTCAGTCAGGTAACAACAGAAAATTGATTAAGTCATATTAAAATTTCGAATAAAATATTTTAACGATGGGCTTGTGAAACAATCTTAGTCTTTCTTTGACGAAGAGCGCGAGGTTTACAGTTTTTTTTATTTCTATATCGTGTTTGCAATTTAATGGTTTCAAGTAAATTTTTAATTAGTAAGTAGAACCAAGGTAACCGACATAGCTCAGAGGATTAGCAAGCTGAAGTGGCGATGGGCCGGCCATATAGCTCGTAGAACCGATAACCGTTGGGGAAGAAAGGTTCTCGAGTGGCAGCCTCATACTGGCCATCGCAGTGTAGGACGACCCCCCACTAGATGGAGTGACGACCTGTGCAAATGTGCGGGAAGTCGATGGATGCAGGTGGCTCAGGATCGTACTTCGTGGCAGTCTGTGGGGGAGGCCTATGTTCAGCGGTGGACTCAAACAGGCTGAAATGATGATGATGATGAAGTAAATTTTTTAGGATATTCATTTGTAACTCTGAGTTAGGAGTAAAAGTAATATAATATAATTTTTATATTTATGATATTTTAATTACTAAATTATAATATAAACTATGCATTAATACTTTAATTAAATTATGAAAATAATATTTTTATTGTGATATTTTAAAGCGAAAAGTGCTTGTAAAACTAAAGATTAAAATTTTTATTAGTTAGGTTGTATAAAAATGGAAATGGAATTTGGAACTTTTGAACTTTGGAATTTGGACTTTTCCCAAAAAGGTGATAAAAATAGGATCACATAGGGCACATCACCTTGATGTGGGATGAAGTCTGGGGTCGCCAAGTCGCCAATTCGTAATTTAAAAGAAAACTACATGGAAACATTAGATATTTAATTAAATTACACATCGCAATACTCGCTAAACCTTTACAAAAAATATATTAGCTTTCAATTTGATTATTGAATGGTATTGTATATTTTGCGCTAAAACAATGAAGCACCTTTTTTTTTCAAATAAACGATTCAGCTGAGACATCGAAGTTTTATTTACCTATAAACTATAACTCATCAAATTATTTAAATATTTTTTTCCAATGTGATTAATATTTATTTATCGTATATTTACAAGATTAAATCTATCTAAAATTACATATGTAATAAACCCACGCGGCATGGTGCCAAGAACGCTAGCTGAATTTCCTTGCTGAATAGTTATGCTTAACTTTTCAATTTTACTTTTTAATTCATCTGTAGGGTCATCTTTTAACCGCGCTGAAAACATTTACAATTGTCTTGTAATGTAAATGAGGTTATAAAAAGTTGGGCTCGGACAAGACGACAGACCAGTGACTGATTAACCATATAGCAAGAGTAGCGATTGAAAAATGAAGGACTCATTTCTGGGCGTAATTTTTTGAGTGAAACTTATTAAGTAAGAGTTTTTAATTTTTTTTACCACTTTATACTTGAATTGCTGATCAAGGTCTGTTTGAAAGAATTTGCTACGGGCCCCGCGTTAGACTCATGGATATTCCGGCACCATTGGTCAAATACTTAGGTGTCGTCCTCGACTCTAAACTCAACTTCAGCACGTGATTCTGGTTAAGAATCGGGCGGCCTTCCTACTTGGCCGCCTATAGTATTTACTCAAATAAAAAGAACGCCGAAAATTTCCCTTTTATATAAGGCAGTAGTTCGTCCTAATATGACGCACACTTGTCCAGTTTTCGAGCATATTGCTCCGAAGCATACATACTGACTTCGGGTCATCTAGTATCGATTTTTGCGCAGGGCTACGGGGGCGCCGTTGTTCAAGCGCATCATCACCTACGCGTAGATTTAGAGCTGCCCACCATCGCTCAATTCCTGAAGTCGGTCGCGTCGCTATTTCGATGCCGTCGCCGAGCATCCCAATCCGTTAGTCGTAGGTGCCGTCACCTACGGACCCTTACCGCTAGGTACGTTCCACCGCAAATGGCTTAGACCGTTCTGTTAGCAAGTTCGACGGATGCTTCAACATGTAGAGGAGCTTCCTCAAATATTTACTCTTTGATCGCTTTGGTGTGCGTCGAAAAACCGACACGCAGGAATAACAAATGAAATAGGAAATATTTGTCTTTTGTTCAAATATTTTTATACATCACACACACATAGCATTTGAGGATCTTTACAAAGATTCGCACACATGCCTGGAACCGGCGTAACAATAGCTTAAGTTCGAGTTACATGATTTTTGTTCAACCAAAAAGTGTTCAACGCGCCGAAAGATTTCACTCCAATACTTTTTTTTGAAGGTGTAAATGAATTAATTGAGACTGAAAAATATATCAGATATAGAAAAGAATATAATGAGTAAGAAAGATAATTATGAGTTTAATTTTTTATTCTTTATCCTCCATTCCGCGAGTGTTTTTAAAACACCTTTGTATAGGTATAGAACAGTAATTTCAATTTAAAGGTGAAATTAGGTAAACCTCAAGCACTTGACTCAAGAAATACTATAATAAAAACTAATAAATGTATATACCTGTGACTATTCATCAGACAAAAATCGTAGAAATTATCGATACAATTTCTACAATTTTTGTCTGCCTTGAAAATGTGTTTAATTTATTGTCAGACTGGTTTTCATGACCGGAACTTATGTTAACCATTTGCAATTGTTCAAGAAGGAAAAACATATATTTGATGATTGTATTTAATTCATTGTGTAATCTTATAATATATTTAATTGTAATATATTTTATGGTATTAAACACATATAACTTTTCACAGACTTCTATAACTGCGATGTGAATATTTTCGTTTGTTAATAGTCATTACCTCTTTAGGACTGCTCTCGCCTGAGTTCCTGTTTAAGGAGACCACAGCATTCGTTTATGCCACCGAGTCTTTGCCTTGGTATCTGCTGGGCAGTTGGCGCTTTTAGACTTGAGTCTGTTCGAGTATCGCTTTACGGTGCGTATGAGCTTGGGCGATTGGAGATCGCAGTCCGTGTCACTTGGGTCCGCGCGGGGCCAACTTCTGGTCAGCTGTTTGTTGCGTGCCACCACCTTCAGGGCATCAAACATATTCCGCGGTGCTTCAGCCTCCTCCTCGCACATCTCCAGCTCGCGCCTGATGATGTCCAGGAACTCCTTCTTGGTGTTCCTTCTCGTACCCTTGTCGGTGGAGCTGGAGCTTCGGGTCTGCGGAGACGATCTGTTCGTCTTGGGAACTGGCCTGACTTTGTCGCCTCTGCGGCGCTTGCGTACCGACACTTCGTCGAATTTACGAGCGTTGCTCTCGGTGATGTGAAATTTGCGCGACACGTTGAAACGCGGCTCGGACAGGTCTGAGTGTTCGGATAAGTCGAAGGTTATTTTCCTTACGCCACTGTCCGGAACGGTATCGATTGGTTTCACGGCTTTAGAACACGAGGGGAACTCGCGAAGGTTCCCGGCGATGCTTCCGGCTGTTGCTGCTAAATCGAGCGAAAGGTTATACAAGTATCCGTCCGTTTTGTCAACGCAGGTCGGACTCTCGAGATTTCCGCTGAGCTTTGCTTCTTCCTTCTCTTTCCTCGACATCCAGCCTTGCAACACCTCCGCGGCGATCCTGTCGATGCCGCTCTCAAAGCTGCCGCTGGGGATGTTGCCCATTCGTACCCCTTCGTCGCGTTTGTATTTGAGACTGACAGTGGAGTCGTAGAAGTCCGAGCTCCGTTTGCTTCTGAAGGAATCGGATGGCGCGAGGCCTCCTTTATCGCTCCTGGACTGCAATACGTATACAACGTCGTCTTTTGTGTCTTCTTTTGAGGCTTTCGACTTGCTCCTCTGTTCGCCTTTGGGCAGGTCGACTTTACTTTTCTCCATGATCGTTCCCGCTAGTTTGCCGACTGGTCGGGCCCTCCTAACCCGTCTCCTGGTCTTGATCACTTCGTGCGTGAAGCTCTTCCGATTACCGACTATGGAAGTCGTCAAAATGGACGAGGAGTTGTCGCGTTGGCTCGACATCGAAGAGGGCGTCTTGAAAAATACTTCTGCAGACAAAAAGTGGCGGGTATACTTCTTAAAGAAGACTCCTGGTGGTCATCGAAAACTGGGGGTAGCTGAGAGCTTGTAGAATAGGACATGGGGCGGAGAAAAATGCAAATGAATGTGATGCGTGCGCCCCTGGGTGAGAAGTGCGAAAACGCGAAGTTTGTCCTTATCTACATGGTGCCGTGATCAAGCTGTGCGTCAATATAACCTACTAGCTGCTGCCCGCGACTACGTCTGCGTAGAATAGGCTGAAGGCATAACATTCAGACAGAAAGACAGATATAAATAAAAATATGTTCATAAATTATAGCCTATGTGTTATTCTTATATATAAGCTATATTATTGTAAAGTTTCATTAAAACCCATTCTGTAGTATTTGCGTGAAAGAGCAACAAACATCGATCCATACATACAAACTTTCGCCTTTATAATATTAGTAAGGATGATTGTTTAATATTACTACCTGTAACTAACCAACATGTACTATACATGTTGGTTTCGTTTACATTTTCGGTGTAAGGTTATATTATTAATGAACGAAGTTATCTTCTGACTGTCGTTATCGTTGACGCACTGGGTGGCCCTCGATCCACCTGCATTTTTTTATGTGAGAACGTGGCAAGCGAGCTGGCGGTTCACCTGATGTTAACTAATAACCGCCGCCCATGAACATTTGCACAACCGTAGGAGAGGTTGGAGATGTGTTACCAACTTTAAAAAACGCCCCGATTTCCTCACTCACCAGATGAAACGCAAAAGTATAACACTTTCTATACACGCCGGTCTTCTGTGAGGTCGTGGTACTTACCCAGACAGACCTGCCCACTTCTTCTGATCTTCGTGCAACAGCGAACACTATTGCGTGGCCCTACCACAGTTAAAAGAACACCTGGGACAGAGGTTCATACTGGCCGCCCGTAGACAATACTAAAGATGTTGCGACGTGTTGCCAACTGTATTGTATAACTGGTATTAAGCTTTCAGTCCTTAGACTATTAAAGCTTCATCGAACGCAGAAGCCGGTGAGCTAGCCAGAACCCACGCGTTTGAAGCCCTCCTCAATGGGTAGGGCCGTGCATGTACTCATGCGTGCGTTAGTTACGGCATGTCGTCTACGGACCATCGAGGTTCGGTGCGGACAGTCTGTGGCTGAGGGCGGGCGAGAAATAACGCGTATTTGGCGGGACCCCCGATGCAACCAACCGACCAACCACTGAGTACGTACTACCTCAGACAGCCGCAGAGTCTAGCTCTAGTTACAAATAAAAGTAATCATGAATAACTATATAAGTACCATCAATTTCTAACTTTGCCGGATTCCTCTCGACGTATAGACCACGCCTTTTCACTGATAGTTTTCTCTGGGCGGTCTTTGCTTTTTCTTTGCAAATGAAACTGTCTGCATTGGCCGTGAACTTTCTATTGGAGCGTTTCGACTTGATGTTGTCGGCTTTGGGCTTCGAATCCATGGTAGTGACACTGATTTTTTCACATTTTTTTAATGAAAGGTTTACTAGAATTTTGACAGTCGCTCCATTGAAATTTATGAATTGACAGAAGCTAAGACAAAAGACAACGGCCTCGCCAACCTAGACTCAACTAAAGACTAAATATAATACAAAATACATTATTAGAGTAGGGTGGGGCAAAGATCCGCAATGGGAAATGATCCGCGCGGATGTTTGCCCCAAGCATAGTGTATTTATATTCACTGTTCTAATTTTTGTTTTACGTTATAGGAACTACAAACGCAAAACTAATGTGAAGCCGTTCACACCAGAACTGTACTTGCAGGCCCAAGAAATGCTAAAACAGGGGCCATCCATTAGAAAAATTGGGGCGGAGTTAGGTTTCGATGAATCAACTGTACGGAAGAGGTAGGTTACTCTCTTTAGTAAATTATGGAGTTACCAGTTAGGAATTACTAACCACTTAATAGGTAACTAGATCTTTTATTCTGAACGCTGATTTGATTTCTTACAGGTTGAAAGACGAAGGCGGCGCCCCAAAAACTGGGCCGGTTCCCAACAACATTCACTAATTTGCAGGAAAAGGATATTGTAGAACACTGCCGAACCTTGAATCATATGTTTTATGGTGTTTCCTTCGAAACGCTCCAAATTCTTATATTCAAATATGCTGAAGAAAACAAAATTCGACACAACTTTAATAAAGAGAAGGGAATGGCAGGGAAGGACTACACAATTTCTTTCATGAAGAGACACAAACTAAGTCTGCGAACTGCGAGGAAAACGTCAGTGGCCCGAACAATGGGTTTTAATCGAAATCAAGTGGAAGGTTTTTTTGTTAACCTAGAATCGGCTTATCAAAAATACAAGTTTGCTCCTGGTTCCATATACAACATGGACGAAACTGGTATTCAGAGTGTTCCAGACAAACTTCCGAAAATTGTATCCGACCAGGGCCAGAAAGAAGTAGCTAAAAATGTAAGTGCCGAACAAGGCCAAACAGTCACAGTTATCTGCTGCCTCAACGCCAACGGTGGCTACATTCCGCCCTATTTTATATTCAAAAGAAAGAGGGAAAACCCTCTTTTAATTAAAAATGGCCCGATCGGCTGTAAGATGGCGGTCACTGACAAGGGGTATGTTGACACACCTACATTTATTAAGTGGTTAAAACACTTTGCAGAACATGCCAAACCCACTCCGGAAGCTCCTGTCCTTCTTATCCTGGATAATCATGCCTCGCATGTTTCAATCGAATCAATATCTCAGGCTGAAGCATTGAATGTGGTTATGCTCAGCTTGCCACCCCATACGAGCTACAAAACTCAGCCACTCGACCGGGTGTTTTTTAAACCCCTCAAAACCTACTACAGCCAGGTCACGGATTCGTGGCAATCGTCCCCCCCCGGGCAGGTAATAACAGTTTATCATGTCGCTGAGCTCTTTAATCGGGCTTATGAAAGAACAGCTACCATTGAAAAAGCAACTGCCTCCTTCCGCGCAACGGGATCTTTCCCCTGGACCCCGGGGTTTTCTCAGATGCTGATTTTCTTCCGAGCCAGGTGACGGATCAAAGTCGGGAAGAAGATGATTTCGTTCAAGAACCAATGGTAGATTTTGGCGACGATAACTGTGATACCGTTTTCGACTGCCCTGCTCCTGAGCCTTTAGTGCTGCCTCAGGCTCCTACGTCCGTCCTTGACCGATCCCGGAAGAAGATTTCGTCCAAGAACCAATATTAGACTTGGGCAACGATAACTGCGATTCCGCCCTCGACTTCCCTGTTCCTGGACCTTCAAGGCTGCCTGATCCTGTTCTTTCTACTATGTCTCCTGGACCTGTCTCCACGTCACCTCTTGTGTCAGTTGTGTCTCCAGCAGATATACTACCTCTTCCCAAAGCAACACGACGTAAGCGGAGCGGAAGAAGTTTAAAGTCGACACTTCTAACATCTTCTCCGCACAAGAAAGCCCTTCGGGACAAAAAATTACAAGCTGAAAGATCGGTCCAAGAAAAAGTTAATAAAAAAAATTTATAAAAAAAATCAAAGAAAAAATTAAAAATGCAATGAAACGGAAAGACAAGCTCATGATGGCAGCAAAGCAGAACTGGAAGCCACGACGTGGACTTCAGTTTGATTCAGATGACTCATCTCAGTCTCAGCCTATTTCATCTGGAACTTCTGTCTACAACGAGTCAGAATCTGACAGTGATCAGAACATGGAAGAATCGTCAGAGTGGATGGTGCCTCCAAAGAGGTGCATAGGCGAATTTTGTGCCGTTCGCTATGAAGAAAAACTGTTTCCAGGAGTTATTACTGGCGTTTCAAAAACCCATGCCACTGTATCGTCAATGGTGAAAGCTGGAAAATTATGGAAATGGCCCGACCGGCCTGACATTCTCGATTATGAATGGGAATCAGTCGTTTCTAGTATAAAGGAACCAAAAAAAACCAGCACAACTCGAAATGTTTATTCAGTCAGTGAACTGGAATGGTTTTACTCATAACTGTCAGTAAATAAACGGATTAAAGTTAATTTTTCTATTTATTTCGTCTCAATGGGGCAAAGATCCGCAGCTGCGGACATTTGCCCCGCATCTGCGGACGTTTGCGGACCTTTGCCCCAAACAGTGGGGCAAAGGTCCGCAAAGGCAAGGTTGTCTACCTTTCCTTTTTTTTTCTAAATGGTGCTTATTTCGCTACTAATAAAATGGTACATTGTAGCACATAAATTAAGCTTTCCAGTGAAGCCAAAACATGTGGGACTTTTTACTTATTGGGTGAGAAAAAAAGTTAAAACCTAAAATTGCGGGTCTTTGCCCCACCCTACCCTAACTATAATGTATTACCTACACTTAATTATTTTTAAGAAATTTGCCGTTTCCTTTACATACAATAAGCTGAATATTACTAATAATAATAAAATAAGTGTTTTAATTTGAAACAATCTTTGCAATTGTGTTTTTTTTTGGAAGAGGAGACAGGTACCTTAGATCCTCTAAGGTACCATTAACAACGGCAGAGAAATCATGGGGGTCCAGGGACGGCCCTTAGATGACACACCATAGTTAAACGCACGCCTGAGCACATGCGTGGCCCTACCCACAGCGGAGGGCCCAAAGCCGTGGGTTCTGGCTGGCCCACCGGTTCTGCGTCCGATGAATCTTTAATAGTCTCGGGACTGAAAGCAAAAACATCAGTTAATACAAGAGAAATCATAAAGGCAGTCTTTAAGGGTAGGTTTAAGCTGATTTTCGGGGATGTCCCAAATGTAATATTCTATAAGACATCGAATATTACACTTGGGACAATGGATTTCACAGTATAAGAAGAACTATTTTTTTATGTGACAAAGTGGCAAACGAGCTGGCGGTTCACCTGGTGCTAAGTCATAAGCACCGCCCAAGGTCATTTGCCACACCCGTAGGGTTGCACAAGCGGTTCTTCCTTTAATAAAGTGCGCCCCGGCTACCTCACTCACCAGACGAAACTCAGAAGTGTAACACTTCTACTTTACGCCGGTCTTCTGTGGGATTCGACATGGAGCTTGTTGATTGCTTGCAATTATAAAAAGTATGAACTCATTAATATGTAGATAAATACTTTTTCACTCGTCATTCAAAACTGAAATGTGAATTTGAAACATTTAAACTATCACTATGGCCTATAAATGTCATTCGAGCTGTCATTTCCGTAGTGTTCAAAAATTCCAGTGTAAACTATGTAAAATCATAAAGTAGCTATGGAGAAGAAAATCGCAAAAACGCAAGAGCAAACGGACAAAAACATCGAAAACAGAAAAGATAGGGGAGACAGCCCTCGAAGGATAAAACATAAGTTCGATAAACCAAATCCTATTGATAGTTTAGCGAACAAAAAAGTTTTACACGACCGAGGTGACTCTAAAAAGGCGAAATTCGAAGAAACACAAATTAAATACGACGCGACAAAGTTAAACAAAGCGGTGGAAGCCAATCCGAAATCAATTAAGCAGACGATTAGTGTTGCCAGCAAGAACGGGATACAACCCAAGAGGAACGACCAAAAGTCCCCCTCGAACAGCACCGATTTCGCTTTGCACGATGACAAACCCAAGACGTGGACAAATTCCAAGCTCGCTGATGGTAGAGCTACGTGTGGCAAGAAAACGTTGGAAAAGGTTGAGGGTTCCTCACGACAAACGTCGGACGTAAAGAGCGGTATGTATGGGCGTCACTTTAACACACTAAGAGGTAGAGAAAAGCTAAGGTTGATACATATCCTAATGCAGTCTTCACTGTTGCACGAATGGTCAGATCCGTCCGGGGTAGTATCAAAGACTGACAGACGACCGGCGTCAAGAGGAAGTGTTATACTTCTGCGTTTCGTCTGGTGAGTGAGGCAACCTGGGCCCACATTATTAAAAGGCCATTCTTAACCCTATGGGTGCAAATATCAATGGGAGGCGCTTATCATTTAACACCAGGTGAACCTTCGGCTCGCTTGCCACCTTCTTACATAAAAAAAATTGATGATATCACCTCGGCTGGCTCCGTCTCTGGAAATTTGTGACACCAGAGGAGTCGCAAAAAGTGCCTCTGAGGCATGAATAAGGCCTCTTCTTGAAGTTCCTTCAATCTTTCACATGAATTGGTAAATGAAGAGTCAAGACAAAATATTTTCCAAAAGCGCGCTGCGGTTTACTATCGAGCGTCAAGGCATGTTTCTTAATCAGAATAGCCCGAGTAAGTCTTAATGAAGGGGAAAAATGTTATTGTTGACACCACTTTCAGATCACGAGGCGGGCAACGGGGCGAGGCAAGGTGGTGCAAACAGGAGGAAGGTCAAAGAGGTGATCACCATTCCCTACATGCCAGCCGATGATCCGCCCTGCCAAGAGACCGACAACGAGCCCGCACCGGTGACGGAGCCCAAAACCAAGCCGAGGAACGTCGCAGCGAGGCACAAAGCGGTCACGTTCAAGGAGCAAGGCGAGATGTCACCGAACCGGCAGAGGACAGTCCCGAGGGGCCCGAGAACGAGGCACGTGGAAGCGGCCCGAACCAAAGCGCAGAACCCCCCGAAGCAGAAACGCCGCAGGAAGCCGAATAGCTCGCCGTCCCCTATCAAGGGGGCTATAAACGAGTCCCAGCCAACAGAGGTGGTGAAGTGGTCGCCTTCGTGCCTCAGCAGCCAGACCAGGCCCTACTACGAGGCGTGGGTGGACACCAGCCTGACCGCCGTCTCCAGGTGCAGCGAGCGGGAGAGGCTGAGGCTGGAGCGGGAGATGGAGACGCTGCAGAGGTCGTGGAGACCGGTCACGCCGGAGCTGTTATACGAACGGCACGACGACGAATCATACACGGGGAGGATCAGAGTGAGGCTCGGGTAGTGGTAGACTGTGCCCCGCGCGTTGTCCCATGATTGGCATATTGAACTGTTTCATTATACGTTTTCGGCGAGAACAGGTGTTAATAATAGCAAGTTAAATAAAACGGACGTAAAAATTTGTTAGGCATATTATTTATCTTTCTATTACCTTTTTTTTTCTACGTTGCCCTTACTTTAGAATAGCACTGTCCTGTGTTGCAAGGACGTTTTACATACATAAATTTCACATGGACAAACAGCCAGATGCGAAACAACCATCTGTGGGTCGCACAAATAGTTGTCCCGTGTGGGAATCGAAACCGCGACCCCCGACGCCGAAGCCAACAACTTGGCGACTGCGCCACGTTGTCATCACTATTCATGTCATGTCATTATTATATTAGCATTGATAAATTCCTGTTTCTCTTATCATATATGTTACCTTGAGTATTTTTTTAAGCAAGACAAAAAGACAGTCCGGAGACATCCACTTCTTACGAGTTAAATTGCTATATTTTTTATCTGTGAAGAGGTAAGACCATAGACATCTAGAATAAAATTCCAAATTTCAAATTCAAAGTACCTATCTATCGAAAGCTAAGCCTCTAGAGAGTATATTTATGTATGTTGACCGGTTCAGAAAGCACTTTGTTGAAAAGAGACCGGCAAGTATCTCAACAGTTGCTTAAAAAGTTCAGTTTACAATATAACATAGGTATAATAATAGTATTAGCCCTAATAAGCATTGGCAAACTTCAATAGAGGTTGCCTTGCCTCACTCACCAGACGATATAATTATAAATAATAAAATTATTAACAATATAAATTCCCACTTAACGCCGATCTACGGCAGTGGTAGGTACTTACAACACAAACTATTGCGGGGCCCTATCACAGTAATACATACGAAATCCATTGCGTTCATAATTTTCCTCGTACGGTAATTCCTTTACAATAGACATTTTTCTTTTGTGTTATTCTTATCTTCATATTGAAATGCTTATATTCAGATGGCTCAGGATCGTACTTCGTGTCAATCTTTGGGGGCAGTCTATGTTCAGCATTGAACTCAAACAGGCTGAAATGATCATGATGGTTGAAATGCACGTCTTAAATGAAAATACCAGATTTTTTCTATATTACAGCAACATGTACCTGTGCTCAATTGTCACTGCAATATAAATGCAGACTAACTCATAAGCTATATCCCAGGTTTGATCCAGTTTATTTACCATAAATTGTATTACCTAAGCATATATACATGATAACTAAGATATCTCAATTGTGACCACAATGGGGTTATATATTAATATATACCAAGTTTATAAATCTGTATGAAGAAATCTGACGAGGAGGAGTCTTTAAGGTGAATAAAACTCAATATATTACTACAAGGGTGTAATATTCTAAAGAATCTTATAACTATAGAAAGAACAATTTATAAGTAACAATCAAACATATTGAGTTACAGATAATATACATTACAACATACATTACTCTGTTTCAACAGATTATTCACTTTAACCACAAGTGTAATTCTAAACATTAAAAGAAAAAATAATAGAAAATTTAGAAACATCATCCAACATTTGGATGGACAAGGTAAAAAAAATTACATATATATTCAAATGTTAATCACCACAGCAGAATCAGCAAAGTTGACTATTTCAATGGCTCAAATAGAACCATGACTAAGTCATCTCGGTGAGAAAGATAATTTTTAAAACAATAATCCATAGATAAATGGACCGTTCCAAACTATTCGGGAACGGAAAAAGTTCCAGAATTCCTAGTCCTGGAATAGACAAAAGACTGAAAAAACACGTAACGAACGGGTAAATCTCCAACCCGAATGTCTATATGAGACTAGCGTCAGTATACCGAAGGGTACTGCAGCGAGGTTTCGTATCGAATTCTTCTTCCTTTAAAGAAAGGAATGGGTGCCAAACCATCAATTGACTGACCTCAAGTCAAGACCGAGTCACGAAAGAGCCCTAAACGAGTCAGACCACGTCTGAAAGCGCCCTAAGCGAGTAAGACCACGTCTGAAAGCGCCCTAAGCGAGTAAGACCACGTCTGAAAGCGCCCTAGGCGAGTAAACCACGTATGTAAATGCCCTAAGCGAGTAAGAATACGTCTGAAAGCGCCCTAACGAGTCAGACGGCGTCTGAAAGCGCCCTAAGCGAGTAAAACTAACGTGTAGGACGTTCTCGTTATACACCCAGACGTACCTCTGTAATACACCCAGAAATAGGACAAAGGTTGTTTATTTAACTTTAAGGAAAATAAAATCTTTAGAACAGATCGGAATGACCTGACAAATATTAGTCTGAAAACAGTTCTTGCGGAAACAGGGACCAAAGAGCAAACTCTAGTACCTAGACAATCCAGGGAAAGATATGTCGAAAGAGCACATTTGCGAGAGCGACACAACGATTCTAAAGATCATATGTCTCGCTCTTACAAGTCTCTTATCCGCTCCGGAAGAGATCTTGAACAACAAATATCAGAGGAAATATCCTACTGGAACGTTGACACATGAAAATGTACCACAACTCGTTGGTTTTATAACGTCGGCCAACTGACGTCTCAAAGACTGAAGGGGATTGTGGAAATCAGCCAAAATAGTGGATGACTATTTTGGCTGATTTCATCATCTAGTTTTTCCACGATTCTGTCGTGCACAGAGCGGAGAGAAGCATATCATTTCGACAAGTCACCACAAGAGGGCGAGAGGAATTGGTCTTAAAGATGCCGCGTCGGGCTTCCACTGCCACACCTATGGCATGAAAGAGATGGTTGCAGATTCGCCAATCCCAGAATGGGAGAGAACTAGCGACATTTTCCCTCTGAAAGGTAGGAGGGGTTTGCGTAATTCCTAAACGAATTAAAATTATCACAGAGATCACAAAACACAACTCGACATTCGTTAACGTTCGGAGGAAAGAATAGACAGGTCTGGTTAAACGGTGGAGATATCCACCCACGTCAAGAGGACATCAAATCTCAATCTCCCTCGTTCGTTGCGCCAGGATCACGAATGATGGAGACTTTCCCTAATCTCTCATTCGCTGGTTAGCCAAGACACCAGCGCGAACGATGCAGGAAGGGTGAAAGAGACAAATACATAGAGAGCAGGACGTAAAGTATACGCTACGTGTACTTTATGCCTTGCTCCAACATTACCACTCTTGCCACAAAGTTCTAAGTGCCATTATGCACCTTAAGTGTCATAATAATTGGAAGTAAAATAGAATTTATACCCCAAATGTCTGCGGGATCAAAAACTTCCAACCCCCTGGCGAATTACTTCCCAAAAATGCGAAGGTGAACTTCAATGGGTAGCTTATGTACCACTAAATAATAATGCAAACGTTTAATAAGCCTGAATTAATGAAATGATTTTATTAAACTTCCGAGAGAAGTAGTAATTGTTACGGCTCTGAATTCAGCCGATAGAATTATTTGCACCAAAACTGTACTCACAAAACAGCTTAAAAATCTTAAGAACATACAAAATTAGGGAAGCTCACCTTCTCGTGACGAACGTTGCATATTTGCAATACATGCATAATATACACACATGTGGTCATAATATTAATAATTATTTGTATTTTTTTATACAAAGTTTGAACCGAACTCTAAACTTTCTGTCTGTCTGTACTGTGCAGTGAAAAAAAAATCTTATATTTATCAATGTGTAAGTAAAGCCTTAGAAACCTACACACGTTTATTCGTTGTGGCGGTTTTTAATGAAGAAAGGCATATTATGGGAAAGGCGTAATATTTTGCAATATTGGTATATAAATATTACTGTCATCGCCCTTTGGAAAGAAATAATCGGTTTCGTAAAGCGTTATCTCTGTCACACACACGAGACCTCTGTCGGTTGTCGTACAAGTGTGCGATAGAGATAACACTATATACAGATTTACGATATTAATCGCAGAGTGCCGTTTTCCTCTTTCCATTCCCTAATTCCTAACATTAACTTTATCCTGTACCTATTTTGAACCCACTACTTAAACGACACTAAAACTCATAAACAGGGAGTATTACAATCGTATACTCAACTTATCCCTAACTAGAAGTGGAAAATGAAAAAGAGATCTCAAATTAACAAAAAAAAAACTTTACCATCGAATATTATAATTAAAAAAAAAAAAAAAAACTCCTGTCGTTTTTTTTTCGTCGGTACTCGGCGATGAATACTGCACATCGAACTTTGGAAAGAGACGATCGGCTTCGTAGAGCGCTATCTCTGTCGCACGAAGAATAAACCCGTAGCTAGTGATTGTCTCTTTCCAGAGGTCAAAGTGGAATATTCATCGCAGTTTACGTTCGAGTTTAATATAATATACAACTATTTAAAATAACTAAAGTCAGAGATGATCACAACACATTGACCGCGATAGGTCCATTGTCAAAAAAAACGTAACTCTTCTTCAAAAAAATGTTAAATCTTAAAACAAAGCTTTAAGTAATTTATTTAATGGAAACTAATTAAAATTAACCTCACTTTATCTCGGTAGTCGACATTACACTGATTTCTTACAACTATGGAAAACGAATTACAATTACGAACTAAAATGACGTACTATGTGACGTATTTATAGGCAATATTTAAAAAATAAATAACATGTCAAAACCGGCATAAAAGCCATGGAAAAGATAAAAAAAATTACGAAAAATAAGTAAGCTTGCTATATAAAACAAGTGAATTAAGTCCCACAGGAACCCAATTGAAAAATGGAAGCATTTACACATCACGTGGTATACAGGGTGGCTTTTATAAAGGTGCCCAAATTCACCCAGGAGGTACAAACTCGATAGTATAATCGTTTATTGAAACAAAAACACTTTTTTTTTTTTCAAATAAATTTGCCATTCCATTCCCTAAAAACCGGAACTTATTGACAATGCGGTAGTCATTCATAAATGCGTCGTACATATTTGAAACGAACTTGTGTGCGTGTTAGTTATGAATGATCACGCGTAAAATGCCATGAATCACGCACTTTTTGAGATAAGTCAAAATGAATGTAATTAATTAATTACTAGTGATTTTAAATATTTATCATTTTTTATATAACATTATTTATGTCTAGAATTTAAAAAAAATGGATACACTTAGAAAAGCCTCCCTGTATATGCAGTTATGTGTATGTATGGATCATTATTAATGTATTTGTTGTTGTGTGCCGGTATATACAAACTAACAGTTTAATGCAGACACCTGTATATACTTTAGAAATATTTGTAATAATATGCACACATATTAACGCCCGGTTTTCATCAGAATTATTTTCTTAATGATCAGAATGATCAATTAAAAGAGTTTAACCATCCTTTTGGCAACTGATATGATATTTGACAAACTATTTGACAGCTGATTAGTTAACTTCTACAATGATCAGTGTTTCCGAAACCGGGCGTATGTATTTTGAGGCGAGATATTTAAAATACAAAAGGGAATAAGCGCCCATAAAATGTCTACTGACAATTTGTGACCAACAAACTTTTTAAAACACAGTAAGGGATGTGCATGTAAAAGCAAAATAAATTTTTAAATAATAAATAAACAAATTTTTTTAGGACACATTTGTACACAACATTTTCTAGTCCCAAACTAAGCACAGCTTGTACTATGGGTACTAGAAAACTGATAAACATACTTAAACATACTTTTCTTTTGTAAATAAATACATATTATACATATAGAAACACCCAGACACTAGAAAAACACCATGTTCATCACACAATATTTTTCCAGTAGTGGGGATCGAACCCACACCCTGTGGCACAAGAGGCAGGTACACTACCCACTACGCCATTCAGGTCGTCAAAATCTTTTACGCCTCTTGTAGTCTTGAAATTGAACATTGAATATGTATATACATTTCAAGTATTTGTTCAATCTATTGCTGATTAGTTTAGTAAATTGTTTAATTTAGTAATGTGTAATTGTGTAAATACAAGAAATGGTCATCTTACTTTATCTTACTCCATCTTCTTCATATCTTTTTGACAGTTTTTCATGAACACTTAATTCCCAAACATTGTTAATTATCATAAAACATAATTTAACTAGTTAATATTACAGTAACTGCATGATAAAGCAGTACAAAGATTACTTTATTTATTATTTTGGTGGTATGTTGACTATCATAAAACAAAAGTGACACTTGGTGAAAATTTAAAATTAATAAGGTTTACTATGTACTATCAAATGATTGTGACTAATGTAATAATTATAACAATACAAAATTAAAAAGTCCCTATGAGCGAACAATAATGGTTTTCACAAATGGTCCATATAAACCCGTTACATTATTATTAGTTTATGTAAGGGGTCTGCGCTAAACAAATACACTGTTGGGGATTTAAGCAGCTTGTGGACGACACAATAAAGGTTTGAAAGTTATTTAGATCATCAATTTAAATTCCTGGCGCTTCATAATCAGACTTTTTGTAATAAACAGAGTTCCATGGTCAAAATAGGCTCAGAAACCACAAAACACAGTTTCGCGAGCAGTCTTGGAACAACATTATCTAAGTGCAGAGATCACCCCTCAAGACATATTCTATGCAACGGCAACATATAAAATTCAGGGGTGGTGGCTCTATCCCAACATGGCCTTGATCAGGTCCGGAGCATCCACTAGGTACATGCCCGACTCGATCTTCTCGCAGCGGGTTACCCTGAGGAGGCCCTTGGATTCGTCGTACTTCATGTGCTGCAAAGCCCTCGCCAGCATCTCACCCGTAGGCTCCTTCGGGAAATCTAGCGAGAGAAGGAGATGTGGTTGAATATAAAAATAATATACCAATTTATTTATTTATTTTAAGACTTCATGCACATAACTCTGTACATAGGCGGACTTAATGCTGTCAGCATTTTCTACCAGTCAACCTTAGGGTGGTACCGAGATTTTGAGGTAGGTGCGCAAACATTTAAAATATAAATATTATACTAATTACACATAAATATATACATAATACAATACAATTAAATAAAAGTTTACATATACATATATACTGTACTATAAATATATACACAAATACGCATACATATTTTTATCTGATGATGTCATGAAACTGCTGGCAGCTTTCCCAAAATGTACTTCCGTGCCATTCTCTTAAAAGCAAGGCGATTCTTAGTCATTCTGATTTTGGGAGGAAGCTCATTCCAAAGAAGGATAGATTGAACAAAGAAAGAGGAATGGATAAAATCAGACTGCTGAGGAGGACAGAAAAGAAGGCGATTATGTTTAGAGCGAAGATTTTTGGTGTTGACTGAACTAAGGTATTGGAAGTGGGGAGCTAAATAAGAAGGAGTAAATGGGGAATCAAGGTAAAATAAAAGTGTGGTCAAGGCTCTTAAAGAGCGTCGTTGTCGTATGGTTAACCAGTTTAGCTGTGAACGATAAGACGATACATGGTCATATTTGCGGAGATTGAAAACGAATCGAATGCAGTTATTCAGAAGTCGGTAGAGTTTATTGAGATGATCTGCATTCAGGTCGAAGTAGCACACGTCGCCATAGTCGATTAAAGAAAAAATTAAGGACTGTACGAGCGTTACTTTGGTTTTCAACGGCAGGAAATTCTTGAGATTGTAAAGACAGCGCAAGACACTAGTTACTTTTTGGCTGACACCTAGCTATTTGATCTCTCCAATGAGCAAACCTAAATTAACCTTATTTTGTAGTGGGATGGGGGAGCTGTCAAAAATAATTGGTTGAAGGCTAACTAAATTTACTCTATTAACAGTACGGGAACTCCCGACTATTATGGCTTGAAATTTGGTCCGATTTACAGTTAGTCCAAACTTATCTGACCAGGTTTTAATGGCGACTAAATCTTCATTGAGCTTAAGAATAGCCTCATTAAGAGTATCGATTGATGCCTGAGCATACAGCTGCAGGTCATCGGCATAAAGATGATACGCACAGCGAAGATTATGAGTGATAAAGTTTATAAAAACGGGGAATAACAGAGGGGATAGAATACCGCCTTGAGGTTTAAATCCGGATTGGAAAGGACTTAACAAGTTGTTTCTAAAAACAAAACAGGATAGTTGTTTATGTACACAGGACTCAATAACTTTGGAGAGGAAGGGCAGAATAGAAATAGCACGATAGTGGGTAGGGAGAGTAGGGTTGGAACACTTTTGGAGGTCTCACCCAAGCTTTACGCCATATAGCTGGAAATGACTTGGAGTTTAGTGAAAAGTTAACCATATGGCATATAGCAGGGAGTAGATGGTCAAGAATGGGAATAATCATACGTCGACCAATGTTATCACATCCAACTGCGTTAGATTTGATAGCGAGGATTGTTTTTTGATTTCTTCAGAAGAGACAGGAGAAAAATAGAACATATCAATATTGAGACGCGTCAAGCCATTTAAATAAGAAATAGTATCACATATCGCCAAGTGATCCATTGCAGTAGTGATAGAGAAATGGTAATTTAAATCATCCAGAGAAATAGAGATGCCTAGAGTCCCAATGAACTTCCAAATACCGGCAGGAGTTAGCGAATAAATGGTATCGAGGATATAACGGCGTTTAGCATTGCATATCATCTGATTACATCTGACTAATTTATAATGAGACCAATTTTCATCTCTACATCCCATAGCAATCTGAATACCCTTAGTCATCCAAGGTGCCGGCGGACGCTTCACCTTAAGTTCCTTGAGAGGAGCATGCACGTCATACAGCTTGATGACCAGGGCATTAAAAATGTCAACCTTCTCATCAATACTGTCTGCGTTTACCAAGGAGTCCCATTTGATTTTAGCCGCATCCTTTAGAAGTTTGTCGACGTTCATCTTAGCAAAAGAACGTACGTACAAAACCTTGGGTTTTGGCTTAGGAGGTTTTAAAATGTAGGATAGGTAAATTAAATCGTGATGTGAAAATCCAGGAGCGGGATGTTATCCATGAGTTCAAACCACGTCTCAGGTCTTCACCTGAGACGTTATAATGAGTGACTTGGAAGGGTAGAAGGTTTAAAAGAACTTGATTCAACTATGTGTAGGAATTTACGGGAACGTGGGAAATTGGGATCTAGGAGATTGGTGTTAAAATCACCAATAATAACGTGGTGAACATACTCCAAACCCAAAGATTCTAGGACCAATTCAAAATCGGTGAAATAGTCAACACATGGGGGGCAATATATAACGGCAATTATTATCTTGGCACATTTAACCGTGACCTCAAGGAAAAGGAATTCGGCAGAAGTTGAATTATGAGTTGATAATTTACTTTATTTATATGCACGTGTATGTGAGCTATCAACAGCGGAGGCGACTTTGTTTCATACCACGTAAAGAAGCAAGGATAACGGATAATAGTTGGCAACCCTAGCGAGGCGGCGGGCCGGACTCACCGCGGATCTCGAGGTGGGCGGCCAGGGCCGGCCTCCCGCGCACGAACTCGGGCATCATCTTGCGTAGCTCCGTAGCCGCTACGCACTCCACGTTCCCGTAGTCCACGTAGCAGAGGCGGACGGACGCGCCGCCCGCGCCGCGCACCTGCTCGCAGAGCACCGCGCGGAACCACTGCTCGTCTGGCGGGGAGCAGAAACAAAATGGTTATTGCCCGGTTCCTATATTCGACTAAAGGCCGTTAGTTACGCAGCTTCGTAACTTTGCTCGCTTAACAACTTTTCACATTAAAAAAAATATCTTTTTGACGACTCCTTGGCGCCGTTGCCAATACCTTGGTATTGGCTTCGGCGTCGAGGGTCGTGTGTTCGATTCTCGATTCCCACACGGGACAACTATTGGTGCGACCCACCGATAGTTGTTTCGCATCTGGGTGTTAGTCCACGTAAAATTTATGTATGTACAACTAAGGACGTTGTACAAACAAATTTCACGCACGGAACCCATCGCGCGCGAGTCCGACTCGCACTTGGCCGGTTTTAAGCACAATAACTGTGGTAGGGCCGCGCAACAATGTTTGCTGTTGCACAAATGGGCAGGTCCATCCGGGTTAGTACCACAACAGAAGACCGGCGTGAAGTACACTTCTGCGTATCGTCTGGTGAGTCAGGTAGCCGGGGTCCACTATGAAAAGATGGCAACGCATCTGCAACCGTACGGGTGTTGCAAATGTCCATGGGTGGCGGTTATCACTTAAAATCATGTGAACCGCCAGCACCTTTTGCAACTTTCTCATATAAAAAAAACACTTCCGTCTATAACGGGCGATACTCACAGGGCGGACACCGGGCCACGCAAAGCTCCTCAATCTTGGGCAGGTACGGCTCTCGTCCCAGGGCACTGTTGCAGTACGCCTCGAGCTGAAAGTTAAAGATTAACCATTAGTCCAATGCCAGACTGTTAAGACCTTATATACACTGGTAAAGTGTTTAGCGAAGTATAATATACAGAGAAATTGAGGCACGAAAATTACACGAATTGGTGTAATTTGGAATCGAATCCGCGTCTGCGGAATTCGGAAAATCTCAACGTCTTTTATCTACATTGTATTTTCGCATTTAAAGCAATGCTTGACGCGTCCATTGTTGTATACTTTACAGCATACAATTTCGATTATAGTGTTACAATCGACACGTAATATCGAGAGACAGCTCAAAATATTTTTGCAATGAGTCAATTGTGAGTGTGCCCTTCGATTTTTTAAACCAGAAACCGCTATAGCACAAAGCAGTTACCAGTTACATGGAATTAAAACTATCAAAGTTGTTGGTTCTTAACTTCTAGGCCTAGTAATATTTTGCATTTAAAAACTTTGATGCAACATTGCTAGAACGCTATTTTCGTCTTATATTTTTTTTACAGATTTGAAATTACAGGAGTCGCTGAATTCTTGAGACTACAATATAGGGCTTAAACGATTTTTTTACGCTACGAAAATGTCGATATATCGGTCAGCTGGACAGATTATAGCTTAAATCGATATCGACATATACAGATATCAATTTTTTTCTATGCACCTTTCATCCCTAGTCACTCCATGCTGAGTAATAGAGGAGGCTCATGCCCAGCAGTATAAAATATTTTTATATAAATTGATTATTCCAGGCTTTTTCAATCGGACTTCTTATACTGTATTTAATATATTCATGTAACACAATGTAATACATGTTCACACTGGCAAAAAAAAAATTTAGTTTCTTTCGTCGGTTCTTCTCGCGTCAGTAGATTCTCTTTTTCAAACCGGTGGTAGTATTTCGACTATCAATAAGTAGAGTGTAATGCCCTATGTTAAAAAGATATTTGTATTAGGTGATGAAGAATAACTATTTAGTATATAAAAAGCCCACCTCCTTAGGGAGTTCTTCCAGGATGGTCTTCGCAAGTGGCTCCCCCACCTTGTATCCGGACACGGTGCCACCTTCCAAGGGGCTCACGTCCAGCACCACAATCTCGCAGCCGTTCGGAGGCAACTCCAGGTACTCCAGATCGCTGAACATCAACGTTGCACTCTCTGGAAGGTGATCATACTTTATTTCCAGGTTCTATAGCAATATAAATATATACAAAGGACAAGTAATGTTTCTTGAGGCGAAATTGATAATCTCTGAAAATACTGAACCAATTCAATAAAGTTTTTTGTCAATGCAAATCACTAGAATCCATATTCCGAGTATTCATAATATGGCTATAATTCATTTGTAGATAATGTTAGAATATTAGTTTATAATTGACAATATTGCCATGTCATATGATAACCGTGATAGCTTAGTGTTCAGTAGTTTGCTTTTTAAGTCACTTGAGCAACCTGATCTCGAACTATATGTGAAGGAAAACATTGTGATCAACAAAAAAAAAATCAAAAAAAATTTTTTGAAGATATTGCATATATCTTTTACTACCAGCCAATACGCGGCGAGGACGGGTGATGGACAATTCCCTAATAACCTCTGTATAGAGAGGCACTTGCAGTGGGACATATACAGGCTGTTACTTTATTTTATATTGCCGTGCAACATAAAACTCTGGGCGCTCGCGTTGATAAGTACTTATTCTCGAAGCCGGCGAAAGGGATCTAGTCTTATATTAGTCCCAATACAAGCTTTACGGCCTAACCGCTTACAATGTTACGAGGTTTTGAAAATTAAATAAATCACGATAAAATCCGTATTATAAAATTTTTTTCAATCAAAAATTTTAATAAACATTATCATGTTACCCGTAATATACCCTTATTTATAAAATAATATTCTTTGTCATAATGATTTCTTTATGTGAGAAAGTGGCAAAAGATTCAAATTCCCGTGACGTTAAGTGATAACCGCCGCCCATAGACATTTGCAACACCCATAGGGTTGCAGATGCGTTGCCATCTTTTAATAAAGTCAGCCAACGACCCGAAACCTATAGGGTACTTCCGGTTGACTTATAATTGTCAATTTTAGTTAAAAGCAATGTCTTACAGCACAAATAAAGGAAATCCGTAAAAAAAAAGTTGTAAATTAAGGGAAATTTTGGTACTTAAGGTAAGTTTTGACGCAAATCTAACTTTGCCCATATCTTTTAATTGTGTTGACTCAGGGCCTTGATTTTTATACACCTTACATGCTATAGACCTCAGTAGCTGGTATAAATTTCAACATGCTAGGTCCACCCATTCCTGAGAAAATCGGTGGTGACACACGGACAAGCAAGAGAGTGAGAGAGAGATATAACGGTCCCTTTTTTACCTTTTGAGCTACGGAACCCTAAAAAAAACGTTAAGGCGCTCCGGTAGAAGCGTCATTCACTCACCAACAGCATCCTCCCCCCTCTGTTCCATCTTCTTCCACTCCGGCGTGCACATCTCTTCCAGTTTGCGGTTGACGGACTTCTTCGTGTCGGCAACGACCAGCTCGACTTCAGCACCGCTCGGCTCCGTCTCCGCACCGCTGCATAGGCTCTGTGGAAAAGCGATTATGTGCCTTTAAGTTAGACTTACGCCCGGTAACTGAAACACTGATCATCGAGGTCAACTAATCAGCTGGCAAATGGATTTTCAAATGTCTATTTAAGTTGCCAAAAGGATGGTTAATGAATTGATCAATATGACCTTCTCAATGATTAGAACCATGAATTCAAAAAGTTTAACCACCCTCCTTTTGGCAACTCAAATGAGCTGCTGATTAGGTAAAATCTATGACAATCAGTGTTTCAGAAACCGGGTGTTAAGTATATCTCTTTTTTAACAAGTCTACTTTTTTATTAACGAAAAACAAAACCGACTTGAAATATCTCGCTCTGTATTAATTTTATTGATTGATTTTCTACTATTGAACTGTATTTTTTTATGTTCGACTGGGTGAAGCGCTTTTGACGATTTATTTATTTGAAAGCTGGTGCTTCTCATGTGGTCCCATATTAATTTTATTGGTATTGGATCTTGGACTCCGGAGATACTTAGGGAACTCCTGAAAATCAATGAATACAGAGCGAGATTTTTGAGGTCGGTTTTGTTTTTCGTTAAAAAATGGACTTGTTCTTTTCTCAAACTAAAGAAGTATAACTTCATACGTGCGTACGTTAGTGCACACACGCGGTTTTTTTTTAAATATTTGCGTCTCACCAAAATCAACTCCACGGAATCCTTCAGCCGCTCTATGTACTCCGTGGCGGGAGCAGTTAGGGCTGTCACTTCGCACCGCAGATTCACCACGGACGCCTCAGCGGGCATCGCGTCCAGGTCGAACTCCGGTGGACAGGGGTAGATGTCCTCCAATTTCGCGATTTCCACGTTGCCTGTAACAGTGTACGTCGCTTTTTTTTTTTTGATGTTAAGTGAATACCGCCGCCCACGGACATCTGCTACACCCGAGGGTTGCAGATGCGTTGACAACCTTTTGGAAATTGGGCTCCGGCCACCTCACTCACCAGACGAAATACGTAAGTATTTTATTTCCACTTTACGCCGGTCTTCTGTGAGGTCGTGGTACTTACCCGGAAGAGCCTGCCCATCGTGCAACAGCCGAGGCTGCTGCGTGGCCCTACCACCGTTATACTTGATACTATCTTTATATAATTATGTATGTAAGTGTGGACAGTAGTCAAGTTAGTACAAAAGGAATGGGTATGTGATAGTTACATACCCATTAAACCCATAAGGATTACTTATTCCCGTAATTATTCAGACAGATCCCAGTTATATGCAGCTGAGCATTTGAAAGTAATGTCCGTCCAAGAAACACTCACCAAACTCTATGTACTCCAGAAGATACTTGTTCTGTTTGACGCTGGTGCGTTTGCAAAGCGCCCTGTAATGGACCCCATCCGAGAACTTGCTTATAACCAACTGGCCTTTTTGCGGAGGCGCGTTCAAAGGCGTCGCTGAAATAGTTACGATAGACCTTTAAGAAAACGATAAATCATCATCAAATGTGTCTCACAAAATATACGAATTAATGTTACAAACATCAAATAAACTTATATAAACAAGGTAATAGAGGTCTGCCCTTGTGCGCGTAATTAGGATGCTCATGTACTGCTGTTTTGCTGCCGACGAGTTTATGAATTTTCAGATTTAACGCGTAACAATAATAACCTACATAATCATGTCCCACTGCTGGGCAAAAGCCGCCTCTGTACAGAGGGTATTATACAAGGTCAACCACGCGAATCCACTGTGGATTGGCAGACTTCACATATGTTTGAAACACTTTATTTTTGTTATTATTTCTAAAATGCAAGTTTCCTCACAATGTTTTCCTTCACCGTTGAGCACGTGATGAGTCTTAGCAATTAAAATTAACAATTTGATTGTTTTCGGCACCAGGGATCGAACTAAGGTTGCTTGAGTATAATGATTTAAAAGCGAGCTCCTGGACTGTGAGCTGTCTAGGATTTTACGCGTAGAAGACACAATCTCGTTTTTTCTAATCTGACAAACAGCAGAGTGACGCAATCATTAACTATCCATACCCAGCTATCTCTCTTGCTGCAAAAAATAATTTTCGAGTTTTCGTAAAAAAGATACAATGTCCATGCTGTCCTTACTTACTCCTTACTATATAATATACTATAATATTATAAACGCGAAAGTTTGTTTGAATGTAGGATGTTCATTACTATTTCACGCAAAAGCTACCAAATGGATGTTGATGAAACTTTACAATAATATATCTATTATGAATTGACCAAAATGTAATTTGAAGCGGCCCGCTAATTTTTACAGATAGATATTCTCAATCACATTCGCCGGTTACAGTTCTCAATGAAGAATGTAGATGGCGCTTTAATATTTCTGCTCTACTTTTGAACGTTTGTATGCATAAGTACATTATATCTACATAAACTCGAGCTCGCAATTTTGCCAAGGTCAGTTTTTGAAACTATGTCTGGATTTTATTATTTTTCTATTGTTACGCCAAAGAAGGTAATTAAGTACACGCAAACCTTTTAATTATTATTATAGTATGAAATAACAGGCTGTTATTTTGTAGCAGGTGTACGTCACTGTTACTTTAAGCGACGGGTACTCGATTTAACAGAGTACAGTTCACTCTTGGTGTACTCACCCCCCTGTCCGTAGAGGGCCACCCCGTGGAGCGCCTCGTCGTACCTCCTCACGGAGGCGGAGTCGGCACCCCTCACCAGCGCCGCCTTCGGGTCAGCAGCTTCCACCAGCAGCACGCGCGAGCCGCCCTTCAGGTCGGGACGCGGCACCGTAGCCATGCCTACGGCGCCTGTACCGCACAATAATCTTGTACTTACGCGATTACACATTATAAAAGTAAAGTATCAGTCTACTATACATGGCCCACTGCTGGGCAAAGGCCTCCTCTGTACAGAGGGTATCAGGGCATAGTCCACCACGCGGCCATCACATATCTTCGAAATATTTTTTTTTTATTATTATTTCGAAAATATGCAGGTTTCCTCACGATGTTTTCCTTCGCCGCTGAGCACGTGATAATTCAGCACTTAAAATTAACAATTTCATTGGTGCCGGCACCGGGGATCGAACTCAGGTTGCTCGAGTATATTTATATATATATATATATATATATATATAATTGGACTTTGGCACTCACCGCCGCCGGGGAGGGGGGGCGCCGGCGCGGGGTGCTCCACCTCGGGCAGCCACCTGGAGACTTCGCCCTCGCCCAGCGGAGCCCCGGACTCCGCCGCCTCGATGGCCACCCTGCAGCCGTCCGCCAGCTTACACTTGACGGTGCACCTCAGGCTGTCGCCGATCTGGGGGGCAGACGACGTAAAAATAGGGGTGTTATAAGTATATACGAGATCTTCTGTCCATCTGTGTGCCTGTCTGTGGCATTGTAGCTTCTACATTCTTAATGGTGCAGTTCGTTGTTGCACTTGTTTCTTGTTTGTGGTGCACTGCCAATCCACAGTGGTGTCGTTTAGTGAACTATGCCTTAATACCCTCTGTACAGAGGAAGCCTTTGTCCAGCAGCTGGATAAATGAATAGGCTATTACTTTACTTCTTTTTTTTTTTGAAAGCTGACATGATCAAGATCGTTCTTAGCTATAATTTGAGGTTATTTTTGTCATGGGTTATTAAATTTTTTTAGTTTTACATAAACCTTTACATAAGTGCTAACTAGATTCCTCAAATGAATCTTGATGAAGTAAATGTATCTAGATGTCATTTTATTTGTATCTTATCCTTTAAACGAGCAATTCTTGTATATATATATATATAAATATATATATATATATATATGTAATCGGAATCTCGGAAACAGCTCCAGCGATTTTCATGAAATTTAGTATGTGCATAGATTCGGGGGCGAAAAATCGATCTAGCTAGGTTTCATTTTTAGAAAATGTCCTTTGTTATTTTTTTCCATTTTTTTTAAGTTCTTTCTTTTGTGAAAAACATCAGTTCATATTTTCTTATTATTACGTCGGTAAGATCGAAAAATATTATGCATATTTCATTACTCAGTAATTTGTATCGAAATGTAATTTCCAAAATACACGATGTACCAAAAAAAAAAAAACAAACCTCCGGGTACTATCATTTAATCATAGTACCCATGTGATAGTGCTTTTAAATATATGGATATTTCTGAAATATATACACTAATATAATGGAGAGACACTGATATAAAGGGGAGGGTCATGACCCCCTCCCCCAATCTAATTTAAGTTGATAACTCACGAAATTTTTTTCTTTACAGATTCTTCGTAAAAGACTTTTCAGTGACCGGTTAGTGTACTTATCTAAGGAAACATCATAAACATAAAACTCACTTTAACATTATCCGCTTTCAGCAAGCAACAGAACTCAGGCAATTCCGCGAACTCTTGGGGCAGCTTCTTCAAGCTGTCTTCGGGTTTGAGGGTCACCAGTCGAGCGTTGTCGAGCAGGGAGCAGAGCGAGGGTCCAAGACACCTGGCGCGGTACCAGCTGCCATCGGCAGGGTCCCGGTAGGAGAATGACTGTCCCGGGGCCGGTCTGAAATAAAGAAATAAATATATTAACTATTTTGGGACATATTTTCACGCAACGTAATCTAATCCCAAACTAAGTAAATCTTGTGCTATGGATACTAGATAACTGATAAACGTACATAAACATACTTTTATTTATTAAATAAATACATATTATATAAAGACCCAGACACTAGAAAAACACTATGTTCATCACACAATATTTTTAGTTAGTAGTTGGGATCGAACGCCACGAGGGCCACGCAGCAGCCTCGGCTGTTGCACGAATGGGCAGGCCCGTCCGGGTAAGTACCACGACCTCACAGAAGACCGGCGTAAAGAGGAAGTATGACAAATACTTTCGCGTTTCGTCTGGTGAGTGAGGTAGCCGGAGCCAAATTTTCAAAAGGTTGTCAACGCATCTGTAACCCTCGAGTGTAGCAGATGTCCATGGGCGGCGTTATTCACTTAACATCAGGTGAACCGTCTGCTCGTTTGACAACTTTTCGCATAAAAAAAAAAAAAAAAAACCCCTCCAGTGCAAGAGACAGGGTTGCTATCCATTACGAAAATATAATACAAAATATCGGCCTTGATATATCGGTTACAAAATACCGATATATCGATTATTTCTCTTTAGGACCCGTTGTCCTACCGGATTTGAATTTGAAAAAATATCGTTTTGATATGATTTCGATATTGAATATTTTATATCGATATATCTGATCAAAAATCGATATATCGATATTTTTTCGCCATCCCAAACGGAAAGTGGCGGACATTCGTAGACGTTGAACGCTCACTTGTACGCATCAGCGTCCGCCTCGCAGGCGGCCGCGTAGGTCTCGTAGAGGGCCTCGTAGTCGCCGCCGTAGGCCTCGCAGAGGGCCAAACACACGTAGCCCGTAGAGCCGGCGCGGCACTCGGACGCCAGGCCGTCTACGGAGAGCATTACCACGTCGCCGACAGACAGCAGCTCGATAAGGCACCTGCAAGTGGAACGAGGCGGTGTTTGTGCATACATATATACCACAAATGGGCATAGGCGCCGTCCATTAATCACGTGATGATTTTTTAGCATTTTTTAACCCCCCCTCCTGCCCCTTGGTGATATGTGGTGTGTTTTAAAACTAGGACATAGTCCACCTTGCGACCCCACTGCGGATTGGACAACTTCTCATATCTGAGATGTATTTTTTTTTTTTGTTATTATTATAAGAATGTGCAGGTTTCCTTACGACGTTTCCCTTCACCGCAGATCACGTGCTAAGTCACCACTTAAAATATTAACGTTTTTCATTGCCCGCATCGGGTTGGACTCAGGTTGCTCGTGTGTATTGAATTAAAAGCGAACGACCAGATGGTGGGCTATACAGTGATTCTATAAAATTACTATAATTGAGGCTGCACTCAGGTCCAATCAGTGTGTTTACCTAGTTTCGGACCTATTGAGGGTCCTTTATCAGGATGAGTGGGATGAGTTCGCAGTCGCTCCTTGTCTGGTAGAGGTCCTCCACCAGTGGTACATACACTGATTGAAAGTGAGTTCAGCTTTTTTATTATTTCGTTAAATGGCAAGTTCTATTTTGAGATAGGTAATCTTTTATATACAATTTCAGCTTCCCTTTGTTTGTGTCCACAAAACCAACTAGCCGATGGATTGACTTGATATTTGTTCATAACATAGAGATTGAACAGAAGACTTTTTAAGTATTTTTATTCAGAAGTTTCAATGTTAACGAAAAAAAGCCGCACGCTTGACAACTTTTCACAACAAAAAAAAAACTACAAAACTACCGTCAAGTTTAAAAAGCGAAAGAGTACCCACTTCTTGGGCACGATCTTCTTGCGCGGCGTCACGTTGTCGAGGGCCGCCGGTCCGGTCGCGGCTGAAGTGGCTGCCTTAACCTCGGCCTGCGGCTTAATGTCGGCCTTCGGCTTGAGGTCGGCCTTGGTCTTAAGGTCGGCCTGCGGCTTAATGTCGGTCTTCGGCTTGAGGTCGGCCTTGGTCTTAAGGTCGGCCTGCGGACTTAATGTCGGCCTTCGGCTTAAGGTCGGCCTGGGGCACCGCGTGCGGAGCCCGCATCGGCGGGCACTGCTTGTGGCTCTCGCTGGGCGGGTTCGGCTCGTTCGATGGGGGCTCGGCTGTGTACCTACGGACAGACGTACGGACTAACGGTTTTATTCATAATAAGTTATCTGAGGTTTAAAAGCTCACTAAAAACAGATTTTCAAAAAGTCCTATTCATAATCGTTCTATAACACTAAAACGTTCTATAACTCTACAATAGTGTCTTTGAAATAAACAAGCTAGGACCCTACTATAAACTCAATCAAACATTCGTTTAATACGCTTAAGACGTTTTAACTAATATAGGTTTATACCTTCGATAATCGTTTTATTATGAATAAAACAGTAAGTATTTATCGGTTTTCTCATACTTGCACTACAAATAGATGTTGGGGCGCAATTACTGATTTGAGCTTCATTACATAGTATAAAACAAAGTCGTCCCGCTGTCTGTCTGTCCCTATGTATGCTTAGATCTGTAAAACTACGAAACTGATTTGTTGCGGTTTTTTTTTACTAGTTAGTGATTCAAGAGGAAATGTTTTATGTATAATACATTGCACCCGTGCGAAGCCGGGGCAGGTCGCTAGTTGAAACAAACTTTGAGAGGAGTTATAGATCAGTGTCACGGCGCTCGTCAGAGTTCGATACCCGGTGCGGCACCAACGGAATTGTTAATTTCAAGTGCTAAATTATCACGTGCTCAGCGGTGAAGGAAATGGTCGTGAGGAAACCTACATATTTTCGAAATAATAACAGTAAAAAGATACTTCGATGATATGTGAAGTGCGCCAATGCGCAATGGGGGCGCGTGGAGGACTGGGCTCTAATTCCTTGTGTAGAGAGGAGGCCTTTGCCCAGCAGTGGGACATGTATAAGCTGTTTTCTTTTTTTACTTTAGAGGAGTTATACATTTTCTCCTCAAATTGTATATTAAGAACTTAAATATGCATACAGATTGTTACACATTCTGATGACAGTTAAGAAAGAAAGAAAAACAAGGCAAGTGCGAGTCGAACTCGCGCACGAAGAGTTCCGTTCCATTATCCATAAAAACGAGAAAAAAAAAAGCATCCATTAAATATATTTTTATTCTGTTTTTCAGTATTTGTTGTTAGGATAGTGTTATCCTGTGTTGTTAGGACGATTTACAAACAAATTTCACGTGGACAAATACCCAGATGCGAAATAACTATCTGTGGAGGCCACAAAAAGTTGTCTCGTGTGGGAATCGAACTCACGACCACTTACGCCGAAGCCAATACCTTGGCACCTGCGCCACGGAGTCATCAAGCTTTGCTTAGTTTCGGAAAAGATTACAAGTAAAACTAGTCATGAAATTTTCAGTTAGTTAAAAAAACTTAAGACGGCATCCCATTTATCTAACTCACCAATTGCCCATTCCTCTTCGACCCCATCAGCCTGCTGACTGTTTTGATGCTGCCTTGCCGGGGCTCTGTTGTGTTTCTTGTGTTTGTTGTCTTGAAACCTGTCGTTCCGGTTACTGGCCTGTCGGCTGCGGCCGGTGTTTTGCTGGCCAGCGCTGTAGTTCTGGAAACAGAGTACACAAACTGTTGAGCAACATTCTACGTAACTGTGCATAGAAGTGTGACTGGGAAGAGGCAGAAATTGACTGAACTGTGCATAGAAGTGTGACTGGGAAGAGGCAGAAATTGACTGAACTGTGCATAGAAGTGTGACTGGGAAGAGGCAGAAATTGACTGAACTGTGCATAGAAGTGTGACTGGGAAGAGGCAGAAATTGACTGAACTGTGCATAGAAGTGTGACTGGGAAGAGCCAGAAATTGACTGAACTGTGCATAGAAGTGTGACTGGGAAGAGGCAGAAATTGACTGAACCGCGCAGAGAACAAAACTGAACAGGAGGGGTTCTGTTCGCTCGGACTACTTTGTGCATTTGGAACTACTTTGACATACTTCAGCGGAGGTTATTCATAATTGTAATATTTTCATTGCGTAATACTCTTTTTGTACTTTGGTCACGGTGTGTAATTTATTGGTGATAAATAAATAAAATAATTGCTTGTACTAGTTTCCCTGCTGTCAGACCAACCTAAATGATGTTTCTTGTGGTGAACGAAACATTGGTGGTTTCGTGGGCACGGGACAGGCTTGCCTAGTGCGATGCCGATTTACACTTTTTGTTGTATTTTGTTATACATTGTGTTATGGCAGCTCTGCTATTGCGCGAATGGGTACCCTCATCCAGGGAAGGACTGTGGGCTCATAAAAAAAAACTGGCGTGATAAGCGTTATATTTGAGGGTTCTTCGTGTGAGTGAGGTAATCGGGGCCCAACTCACTAGAAGTTGGCCATTACAAAGAAACGTCTACTCACTTACCAATGTCTCATGTAAAGGAACATCTCCTGTGTGTGACGACTGTGCACGAATAACCTCTGTACAGACCTTTGCCCAGCAGTGGGACATATACAGGCTGCTACTTTTACATGCTCTCGTATAAGTCAGACTAAGAAAAGGAACACTACCTTCACTTGTCGGCCATCGGTATCTTCTGACCTTTGGTTCCAGTTGGTCTTCTGGTTGGCCGGAGAATGGGGACGACGCAAGGGGGTGGCCTTAGGTACCCTGGAATGAGAAACAAATTAAGGCTGGGTCATGTATTACTTTATAGACTAGGTGGTGACCTCGTCAAGTGTGTCATATCATAGCCTTGGAATGGACACATGCAAACGTTCAATCCCATATGACGCATGTAATATAAGTGAATATTTAGAAATTTTCCAGGGTGTGTATTTAACACAAAGTTATCTATGCGTGTTATGGGTAGGTAACTGATGAACATTTTGTTTTGCAAATAAATAAATAAATATTAAAGAAAAAAGAAATGAAATGAGCGAGACGAATGTGATTTTTTTTTTACGTGAGGTAGTGGGAGGCGTCACCAGGCGTCGGTTCACTTGATGCTAAGTGATAACGGCTGCCCACGGACATTGGCAACACCCATAAGGTTGTAGATTAGTTGCCACCTTTCAATAAAGTGGGCCCCGGCTAGCTCACTACGAAACGAGAAGTATCACACTTCCACTTCACCCGGACGGACCTGTCCATGTACTTATTTCATAGGAGCACGATTTACCACATAGATAAATACCTAGACATACCCTTTTGATGACTTCGTGGCGCATTTGCCAAGGTATTGGCTTCGGCGTCGGGGGTCGTGGGTTCCATTCCCACACGGGACAACTATTTATGCGATCCACAGATAGTTGTTTCGAATCTGCATGTTCGTCCGCGTGAAATTTATGTTTGTAAAACATCCTTACAACACACAATAATCTTATCCTAAAGTAAGGGCAATGTTTTTAAAAAAAAAAGAAACAAAAGAAACCCTACCTGGACATACACTAGACACCAGAAACCTTATGTTTGTGTCGTGCACAACAGTTTAAATTTTATTTTTAGTTCTAGTCTCCGCTTTTAAAGTGTATGTGCGTGAGTAGTTTTCGCAAGTATCCGCCGATGGGTTGGTAGGTACACGAACGTCTGCCATGCAGCATCAGGGTCGCAGAACAGCCCTAAGGTATCCCATTACCCTTATCGTAAAGTACAAAATATTTTGTATCGATATATCGAATCCCCATCGATATTTTTTCGACATCCCTAGTAGGGGACCCCACATAACCCTGTCCCACATAACCACAAGACAGGGTGTCTTGAATATCCCCCCTCCCTCCTTCCGATACTAAAAAAAGTTACACGTACATATGTACGCGTGTACTCACACAGGCTCGATAACCGTCAAGTCCGGAGCTGGTGACGCGGAAGCTTCTTTAGCGTCAACATTCACCAATCTGAAATAGATAAAGTGTAATGTAAAAAAACAAAATAGTAAAGGTGAGTGGGAGAAACATAACCTAAACTCTACTCCTAAAAATCATCACCCTCTTAGCCTTTTATAGTCATGTACTGCTGAACATAGGCCACCCCCACGGCCTGCCAGGAAATTCGATAGGTAACTTGCGTAATTTGTAAGTACCAAAATTTACTGCAGTCTTAGTAACGGGGTCACGTCTAACCCCTTGGGTACGGAACCCCGGAGCCGTGGAGACAAACATCGGGGGCCGCAGCGCACTCACCGCGCCAGGTTGTGGCAAACAGCCCTGTGCCTCTCGGCCCAGTCGCGCCACTGGCACCGCTCGCCGCAGTACGGCGTCACCTCGCACCGGCCGCAGAACGACTCGGCGCGCTTCCCGCAGGAGACGCACGCGCGTGAGCCGCTGCGCAGCATGGCCGGCGGACGAGCCTGTACAGGGTGGTCCACACAGTACGTTGTGAATACGTATTATTTACGTAAAAACAAATAAAATATAAAGATATATAAATAAAATTATGAAAAGTAATTTATCAACATTGGTTTTTTTTTTAGCATTTAAAGCAAAACACGTTAAGATTTTCGTCGGTGGGGCAATCGGCCGTTTAGCTTAGTGGCTAAAGCGTCACGCCGCGAATGCCGAAAACGTGGGTTCGATTCCCACGCAGCATGGCCGGCGGAGGAGACTGCATAGGCTCCACAAAATACGTTGCAAATGAAATACGTAAATTATCCCACATTGTTTTTTTTTAGCATTTGAAGCAAAACACGTTAAGATTTTCGTCGGTGGGGCAATCGGCCGTTTAGGTTTGTGGCTAAAGCGTCACGCCGCGAATTCCGAAGACGTGGGTTTGATTCCCACAGCGACGACACTCTTTTCGTATTTTTTCTACAAATCTTAATGTTTAATCTTAGGTGCAGAGTACTATAAAAAAATTAAAATTCTAAAAGAACGTTTATTTGTTAAAGGCTATTATAAATACACTGGAGCCTGCAGAGTTTCTTTCGCCGGTTCTTCTCAGTACAAAGAAAGCCGTTCTTTTCCGAACCGGTGATAGTATTTTGACCATCAATAACTGAGTGTAATTGCTCCTAATGTTGAATAAAGATGTTTAAATTCGAATTCTATCATTGTCCAGGCTGGGTCCTCAACTGCTGGCCGTATTTTTTTATATGTGCGACAGTGGCAACCGAGCTGGCGGTTCACCCGATGTTAATTGATGACCGCTGCCCCCATGTGCCGTTGCAAATGTCAATGCAAAAGAATGTAAATGCTTAATACAATTTTAAAAAGTTATTCTCTATATGTGTGTTCATTTATTGTCGCGGTTGTAACGACACGCTGTATAAAGACGTGATAGCTCAGTGTCCGGGCGCTCGCCTTTAATTAACAATGTACTCGAGCAACCGGAGTTCGATCCCCGGTGCCGGCACCAATGAAATCGTTAATCTTAAGTGCAGAATTATCACGTGCTCAGCGGTGAAGGAAAACATCTTGAAGAAACCTGCATATTTTCGTAATAATAAAAGATATTTCGAAGATATGTGAATACCGTCAATCCGCAGAGGGGCCGCGTGGTGGACTATGCCCTGATACCCTCCGTACAGAGGAGGCCTTTGCCCAGCAGTGGGATATGTATAAACTGATACTTTACTTTTTTTTATATACTGCCACACTTTAAAAACTGCCGCTTTCCGTGGAAGCTTTCGATACTCCGCCACAAGGAACAAAATTCCACCACCCATTAGAAACTCGTCTTTACATATCTTAAAGCGAAATACACAAAAACTCTACTTAATTTGCAATAGACCGAGTAAATCCAATCATATCGGTGTTTGCCTATATAATGGCACCATCGGATCTTTCCGTGCACGTGTCGAGGATGTTTAATTTCTTTTTTATCTTTATCATCATATCAGCCGCAAGACGTTCACTGTGGAACATAGGCCTCCCCCTTAAAACGCCACAACGAACGACACTGCCATTTGCATCCACCGGTTGCCCGCGACTCTTATAATATCGTCGGTCTAGTTAGAGGGAGGCTTTACGCTACGCCTTCCGGTTAGCGGTCGCTATTTTAGAACCTTTACTCGCCTTTATATAATTACTTTTTTTTATATAATTTTTGTTATAAATACTTTTGCTCTTACAATTTATTATTGTTGGCTGTGTGCATGGAGACGAATGGCAATCTTACAAGGCATTCGCAGAAAACCAGTGTCAAATCAACTCTTGCAAACTCAACGCTTACTTCCGATCCTTCCTTTATATAATTACTTTTTTTTTATATAATTTTTGTTATAAATACTTTTGCTCTTACAATTTATTATTGTTGGCTGTGTGCATGGAGACGAATGGCAATCTTACAAGGCATTCGCAGAAAACCAGTGCCGTCAACTCTTGCAAACTCAACGCTTACTTCCGACCCTTCATCACCAACCATAGAGTAAGAATAACTTTTCCAGTGTTGTAAAGGAGTGTTGTTTAAAAAAATAAACGGTTGAAAAGACGCAGCCACTACTAGTGGGTCTCGACCCGAGAGATGATACTCCGTACCACATTCTATCCGAAATCAAACCAAGCAATAATATTTATCAATTTATTCAAATAACAATCGAGTGATATTAACAAAATCACTAGAGTCAAACTTACCACGGAATCCATTATAAAACTAAATCATTGTTTCATTATAAAAAATAAAAAAAAACACAGAAACAGTATTTAAGTCACAAAAGCGCTTATATTAATATATATGTAAAAACTTAACCATAAAAAAGGCGGGCAGTTTAAAAGTGAAAGTAAATAAATAAATACCTAAATAGAGACAATGCCAATCAACAAGTTATGTGAGAGCATCAAATGCTATTCTAATATAATTAACAATATTGAGGGTGGATCAAAGATTTAACATTCCTAGGTGACCTACCGGCATCAAGAAGAGAATAGAACGAGAGAGAAGAAAAGAAGAGAACATGCACGTAGTAAGGTATAGACAGGTAAAAAAAAAAAACAACACTACCTGTCATAATATATTAAATTCTAGTGTCATAAGTTTTAGTGTTTATACTCCTCCGAAACGGCTTGACCGATTTTGATGAAATTTTATATGTAGTAATAAATTTTATATGTATTAGTAGATATGAGCATACGTTTGTAACTAATTTTTATACCCTTAAGTGTTAAGGGTGGCTCACCCTAAAAACATTTTTTTTATTTTTCGAAAAACAACGTTGCATAAAAAAATTGTCAACATCTTAAAAAACTTCATAGTATCACAAAGCAAGAGTACTTCAGTGGGCGGATTCAGTTTCCATCGTCTTAAGGGACATTATATCACAATTCGCGTGGATTAAGGTCTAAAATGGTATGAACGCACATTGCTAACTCTGTGTAATACCAATCCATTCAATTAAGTCTTAATTACAACGTCTTACGATCAAAATATGAAATGGAGCATTGGAATGTGACTCAAGAGTTAGTTACTCAAACAAATTGGCACAAAGTTATTTTGTGCAGAATCGTTCACTTAATAACGGAACCCTTGCCCCAATTATTTATTGAATTATTTGCAAATATAAATAAAAATTTTACAACCCTAATAATGGCGCTATTTTACACACAGGTTTAAATCATGAGTACCTATAATTAACATTATATTATATTATTTTTACAGTCTCGACATAATTTACGTCAATTTGGTCATTTTGCAATTTTAAATACAACCGATTTGTGGTGTAAATTGGAATGGCATTGAACGCTGGAATGTTCGAAACAAAATTATAGAAACAACTAATGTCACACGACAAAGTACGAGTAAAGTCCAACCGTAATCTTCCTGCCGTACGCGCTTAAATCTATTTAGCACCCTAACGTCGTACATTTAGGGGATAAATTCGACTGGCCATGCGGGAGTCGACCGATTCGTTCCAGTTACCACCTTAACATCGAAGGATTACGATCTAAAATAGAATAGCGACGCAAGAACACGTGTAATGACAAAAGTCGTGAGCAGAAACTTGAGCTGTGCTCAGTAAAACATCAGGGATGTATCTGTCGTCGTTTATTATTTGAATTGAGTATTCAAATAAGAAACGACGACAGACACATCCCTCCGATGGCGGTCAATCTATTTACCACCCAAAACTCTACATGTACAGTCTGAAATCGAGCAATTTACCACCCAAACGTCCAGTCATCAAGGTCTAAATTCCGCCAACAATTCAGGAACGTATGGACTTTGAGGTCCATCTATTTACCACCCTAAACTCTACGTGTACAGCCTGAATTCGAGCAATTTACCACCCAAACGTCCAGTCATCAAGGTCTAAATTCCGCCAACAATTCAGGAACGTATGGCCTTAGAAGAGGAACTTGAGTTGCTCCCCGCCGAGGCTGCCGTCGAACCCCTCGCCCTTTATCACGGAGGCGGACTGCTTGTCCACGAGAAGGTTGAACCTCCCGCCGGAAGGGTAGGCGCCCTCGCACGCGAACCGCCACAGCTCCGTGTTCAGACCGGGGTTCTTATCTTCGAGGAGGTCCAGGATCACGTTGAAGTCGTCCCTGCGCTCGGGCAGAATCCCGGCGGGAACCTTCAGGGTCATGCGGCAGTAGTCCGTGTCTTCTCCGTCGAGGGCGCTGATGGTCTTCGCATCGTCTTTGTCACTAGCTTCTGGCTGGGGCCGTCTCCTCTCGATGTACGCTAGCGCGGTCTTCGGCCGCACGAGCGACTGCAGGTGTCCCAGCTTGAACTGCACCGGCTCGCCGCCGATGCGGCGCTCGAACCGCGGGTCGGTTATCACTTGGGCGGAGAGCCTGTCTATCTGCAGGACGGCGTCTAGCCTCCCCTGCGAGCGGACCACGCTGATGGTCCTCCAGAAACGCGTGCGCAGCCGCGGGTTGAGCGACTGCAGCGTGGCAATCACCTCGTCCGTGTCTAGGGCGGTGCGCGCCTGCATGCTGACTATGCCAACCGCGCCCCGGTATTCGGTGGAGCGCAGGTTCGAACCCAGCCTGGCGCCGACTGTCTCGAGTTGCCCCTCCAGCCAGCTCTTCGATTCGAAATCGCCGCAGATCGCGAAGACGACACCGTCGAAGAGGTAGAGGTCGTGGAACTGTGGTATTGCCTCGTGGCCGCTTCGCAAGGCCTCCAGAACGATTGTTTTGAGTTCGCCTTTGAGCTTGTAGAGGGCGGCCTCGTCGAGCCTCGACTCTGGATAGTTGGGGGGCCCGATGTAGAGCTTCAGGTCGTCAGCCACCAGATCGGTGTAGTGGTTGGCGCGCGTACGGCTTAGAGAGGCGCTCGTCAGGTCAGCGCCTATAGGGCGAAACATCTCCCTGGAGATCCTCTCCCAGAGGGCTTCGTTCTCGTCTGCCACTGTAGATTTTGGCTCGGTCTCGTTAAAGCTCGCGGCGCGCTTCTTCCTGTCTATAACCCTGAACTCTATCGTCTCCCCCTCGTAGCTGAACTCGAACCCGGGACTCCTGATCACGTCCAGAGATTCGGGGTCGACGCCGAATTGCCTCTTCTGTTTGCCGGCCACGTCCGAGTAGCACTTCCAGCGCTCGGGCTTCAATCCCGGATACCTCATTGGCAGTTGCGCCGTAATCTTGTTGGACTCCAAATGCGCCAGCGCCTTGGGGAGACGCATAACGACCCTGGTGTAGCGCAGCAGCTGGCTAACCTCTTTAAAGGCCAACTTCAGGCCGGTGGAGCTGATGAACTTGGGCAGGATGCCGGTCAAATAGTCCTTCGACTCCAGGCTGTCGCACACGTAGACCACGGCCCCGTTGGACAGGAACACGTCGTGGAACCGCGGGAGGATGGGGCTGGCCAAGCGGCCGGCCTTCACGTCCTTGTTCAGTTGCTCCTTAAAGAGCCTCTTCAGCCGCCTGATGTGGGTCCCGTCCAGCTTGCTCTCGGGGTAGTCCTCGAGGGTTATGGCCAGCTTCAGTTCGTTGTCCACGTGCAGGTAATTGGTGCGCCTGTGGTAGGCGACGCCGCGTCGGCTGTCCACGGTCACCGCGCTGTCCACCAAACTGTCCATGACAGAGTCGGCCCTGTCGCGTGTCAGCGAAACGGTGTCAGCTTTGTCATGCTTATCGTCGGCGACCTCGGCCTCGCTGGCGGCCGACCACGCGATCGGCTCGTTATCACCGCTGCGGTACTCCACGCCTTTGAGTTTCTTCATCGCGTCCATGTTAAGAGAGTCTTCTAAAGCCCTCTTCACCTCGGCCGCGTGTGGGATTTCCTCCTCTTTATGTTCAAGACGAGTCGACGACACGTCCTCCGTCAGCGTGCCAGACCTCAGCTCGCCCAACAGCCGGGCCCTAGACGCGACACTGCTCAAGTCGTCGCGAAGCCCGCTAGAAACGCCCTCGTAGTAGATCTCCGCGTGGCCGGTCAACTCGAAATCCATGCTGGCGTAGTCGATCACGTTCTTGAAGGCGTGGCCGCGCATTATCTCGCCGGAGACGCGGTCCACTAGGAGCGAGGTGCACTCGGCGCCGTCGGCACTCTTCTTCTGGGCGTAGATCCGCCAGGAATCCGTCCTCAGCGACGGGTTGAAGTACTGGAGCAGCTTGAAGACATCGCGCGCTGTCGCCGGCCAGCTTTCCGAGGGTATCCTCAGCGCAGCCAGGCAGATCCTCTTGACCTTCGTGCTCAGCAGCATCAGTTGGCAGCCCATGCGCTCCTCCATTCCGGCCAACACGCGCACCACCCAATCCCTCGTCTCCGGATCTTTGCATACGCACACGATCGCGCCCCTGTTCAGATAGCAGTCGTGGAACGAGGGCACCCTCTTCAGCAGGCCCGCCTTGAGCTGCATGTCCACTATCCCGTCGATTGCCCTCTGGAACATCTCCATCTGGCGCAGCCGCATCTTAAGCTTGGGGTAGCCGTCCGGTGCTATGGCCAGCTTGAGAAGCACCTCGACTTCGTCCCGATAGTCCGTTGCGCGGGAGAGTATCAAGCGCTCGGTCGCCTCGTCTTCCTCGTCGCCGGTGCTGGCGAGATCGCTGAACTTAAACTCGTAGAGGGTGCTCTCGTGTTCGTGTTCGCTCCCCTTCCTCCCGCTGCCCACGCCCGCCCTAGATTCCCCTGGCGGCGTATTCGTACCGGCGACCCGTCGGGCAGTGTGCGACTTCTCCCTTCGCTCCTCGCAGTGGACGCACGTGGAGGTGGAGGTAGAGCTGCGGCCACCGCTGCCGCTGCCGCTTCGGTCCCAAGAACCACCGCGAGAGCGGTCGCGCCCGACGTTCTGCAGACAAACGTTTCTCGTATCGGTATGAGAGCGACTGCCAACGACTGCATTCAATTCTCTACTTCTAGAAGTACGGGGACGTCCGCTGATTGGGTCAATCGGCAACGGTTGCTATACACTGAGTAGTCGTTGAATGTACGTATACAAATTTTCGCCGCATCAAGTTTTAATCCACCATTCTGTAAGATCTGTTTTTAAGTCTGACCGTCAAGAGACATGGAATCTTTTTGAATTTTTAGGAATGTTGAGCATTGGCACAAAAACACGGGGAAAAATAAAGGAACACATGGGGCTATTACAGAAATTGATCTGGATAAAGATTCAAAACAGAAAGCCATAGCCCAGTGTACCCGCCATTGAAAACACGATTCCCTGAAAGATTATCCTAAACGAAATCAATGTAAATATCGCCATATTTAAATTTGTTTCAAGCAATGCATACAGTAGCATGAATACAGAATTATATTTATTATGGGTCGTGGAAAAAGGTATACTTATTTTATTTAAATATCCATATCGTGCTAACATTCAAGAATTTACAGTGGTAGGGCCACTGGGTAAGTACCACGACCTCACAGAAGACCGGCGTAAAGTGGAAGTATGACAAATACTTTTGCGTTTCGTCTGGTGAGTGAGGTAGCCGGAGCCCAATTTCCAAAAAGGTTGTCAACGCATCTGCAAACCCTCGGGTGTAGCAGATGTCCATGGGTGGCGGTATTCACATAACATCAGGTGAACCGTCTGCTCGTTTGGCAACTTTTCACATAAAAAAAAAGAATCACATTCATCTTCCTTCCACGTCTACAGTACTCAACACAAATGACCTCTCTCGCTCCCTTAAATTTTTAGCTATTATTCATGCCACACAATCTCCTATCTCTGTTTATGCCCAATCCACATCTCTCACTATCGAATCAAACTATATCTATTAAGCAAGAACACAGCGCAGAATTTAAGATGTCATTGAAATGTGTAAAATATACACTGTGCAAGTGGTAATTTTTAAAATTTATAATCTTAACCGTCTAAAAACCTACAACATGTAGTACTTTTGGTATTAGTGATATAATTAAAACACTCGATTCTAGTTGGATGATAAACATACGCCTAGTTTCTAAAACACTGATCACCATAGAAATTAACTAATCAGCTGTCATATGGCATTCTGATCAATTCAGAGTTTAACCATCCTTTGGGCAACTCATTATCACTGAATAGTTAATTTCTATGATTATCAGTGTTTCAGAAACCAGGCGTGAGTCTTTGAAAATGTATTGAAACCTTTCCTTCCTTCGGTTACTAACGCGCCAAAAAGCAATATTATTTATTCTTTTTACATTCGACCTATTGCCGTTATTGCTCAATGTCCGAGCGATCGATTTTAATTCAATAAACTCGAACAACCCGAGTTCGATCCCCGACGCCGGCACCGATGAAATCGTTAATTTTAAGTTTTTCATTTTTTTATTTATTTAATCTTTATTGCCAACCTTCAGTAAAACAAGGTAACAAAGGGCGGACTTAATGCCCAAAGGCATTCTCTACCAGTCAACCCAGGATGTGGTGCTGACGAATAACATGCTAAGCGGTGAAGGAAAACATCGCGAGGAAATCAGCTCAAATTTCGAAATACTAACAATATGCGAAGTCTACCAATCTGCAGTGGGTTCGCGCAGTGGACTATGGCGTAATGCCCTCTGTACAGAGGCCTTTGTCCAGCAGTGGGACGTATACAGGCTGTTACATTTAAGTACCGCTGTGATTGCCTTGCAGGTGCCTTTCCCACCCAAGAGAACATCACCGCAGAACATCAATGAAATTAGTTGTGAAGCCTCAGCCTATATAAAAAACTTTTACATTATCAATTTAATTTTTTACGAGGATTACCCCTGATGAATTCATAGAAACAAAGGCAAATGAAATGAGACCATGTGAGTTGGTCGACCGAACCAAATGCAAAAACATTTTATAAAATCACTCCATAAATGACACGGTAATGGAAGGTATCCCGTACTATTATCATATCTGTTGTATGGCTAGCCCCATTTTTTAGTATTTGTCGTTATAGCGACAACAGAAATACATCATCTCTGTCCAACTATCACGGTTGATGAGATACAGCCTAGTGAAGAAAAAGAAAGAACAGACAGACAGCAGAGTCTTAGTAAAAGGGTCTTGTTTTACCCTTTGGGTACGGAACCCTAAAAATTTAATCTCAATAAATCGACGCTGTTCATATTGGTTACACAACTAATAATAATATATATATATTTATATATATATATATAAAGAAAGGCTTAGCTGAAATAACAAGCTACAAAAAAACAAAAGGCAACTCACCATATCGCCGTCACCGAAATTCTCACTCGCCTGCAACTCTGTGTCCCTGTTAATAAACAATAATTAATATTGACCATTTAAAGGTTGCTCCGTGTTTGTATTTAATTATTATATCAATACGTGAAGCATAAAAGGGACGGAGGAGTATGAAATTTCTGACGCATATAATAGTGAAGGAATTCAGAATCCTCATGTTTTTTTTAAAATTAGGCATACATATTACATAATACATTAACTCAATAAAAAAAAACATTAAACTACCATACCATGTATACCATGTATAATTAACTAGCTGCTGCCCGCGACTACGTCTGCGTAGAATAGGCTGAAGGCGTAACATTCAGACAGAAAGACAGATACACATAAAAATATGTATATAAATTATAGCCTTTGCCTTATTCTGATGTATAAGCTATATTATTGTAGTTCCATTAAAATCCATTCAGCAGTAGGTGAAAGATTAACAAACATCCATCCGTACATACAAACTTTCGCATTTATAATATTAGTATTTGTCATTGTATTATATCAGTTTTGAAATAGCAAAGTTCAGGCTCAGATATCCGGTACCGGTATCAATTTCATTATGGCGGTATAATGGGTAGGTACGAAATCCTGGGCGGTCTCACTTGACCACTTTTTATTACTTGATAATTCTATTGTTATGTTTCTTTATAATTTTTTAAGTGATACTTTTCCAGTAAGAAAAACAATTTATCGCCATTCTAGAATTGTACCCCATTACCAGTACTTTCCATACTCAATAAATCAAAACATTAACATATGACAGTGCCACATGTTATCCTATCATATAAATATGTGTAAGCTAATTACCTGTTAACATTCCTCACGATAATTCTTCCATCGGGCATAATGCACCTGTTGCTGCCTCCCTGAAGCTGCTGGAAAAAAAAACAATTGCTTAACTTTAATGGAATAGATAGGATGCAAGTTATTTAGATTAAAAAAAAACCCTTAATGTAAAATAAATAATAAATAATGCTTTACATATACTATTATCATACAGACAAATATCCAGATTTATAACAAATAGTTGTTATATATTGACAACATGTCTATGACCCGCAGCGCTGATAACAATAGCTTTGATAAAATTATATGATACAATTTATATGATACAATTATATGATAATATACATAGGACTGAAAGCGCCCACCTTTCAGTCCTATGTATATTTGAAATGATCAATTGATATGGATTATTGTTAGGCTCTGTAATGCCACGGTTTTATTGTAACAGAACAGTTGGCAAGTGTAATATTGCAGTCTTTTCCTTGGTAGTGATTTCGTATTTGTTAAATCCAAACATTGTTCAGCACAAATTTTATATCAATTTAATTAAAAAAAAATTTCATAAAATACTTAAAACATTAAATCCTCTAGATTACATATTATCTATTATATAAAGAGGAAAGATTTGATTGTTTGTATGTATTGAATAGGCTCCGAAACTACTAAACCGATTTGAAAAATTCTTTCACTGTAGAGAAGCTACATTATCCCTGCTTGACATAGGCTATATTATATTTTCAAAAAAATTAGGGATCCTTACTAAAACTCCAATAATATTACTCAAGGTGTACAAAAATTACCTAGAATATTCATTACATCGCGTGCGCTGCGAAAACTATTGATGATAGAATAAAATAATGTACTACGACTTTGGAGACCACATCATTATTTACAAAAAGTGTCGCGAGAGCATATGTCTAACTATGATAGCTATGCCACAATAAGTGTTCTTTTATTTTAAAATTTTGATTGAAATGCCACCGCTAGAAAAGGCTCTTTATTTGTACCTTGGTATTAATCCTTATAAAAATAAATTACTTCATATTTAAGACTGTTTCCATATCTTTATACAGCTTTTTGAATTATTAAATTCGGACATTCCATAATATATTGGAATTTAACTATCCAAACAGCTTAGTGACTGACTTAGTAGTTCTTATAATTTTTCAATACTGGTAATTCCTGTTCGATAGTTAGCAATTTATTAAATACAAAGGCAGTTTAATTTTTTTTGTCATTTTAAAGATCTCATCTTTCTAGAAATAGTTCCCAGGCGTCAAAAATACCTCGTAATGAGGAATCTTTACCGGAAACTGAAAATAGTCAGAAATCGGAGAGAGTCAAGAGTGTTTGCAGCGGCTTGAAGAGCATAATAATATAAATATACAAATTCACACTAGGGAGTCGAGTTCTGAGCGTTCCCAACGCCTACGAGGTTAGAGGGAAAGACGACAAACGTCAACGATTAGAGGAATCAAATCGGAGCCATGAATAAGATCTGCTCTAAGTGTTCTGCCAAAAAATGGGTCGATGAACCAAATGGTATGTGCTGTGCTTCTGGAAAAGTTAGTCTCCCCCATATTAAAGAGCCGCCACTGCCAATAAAAAAACTTTTGACGAATAATCATCTGGACATTTTTAACCAACATTCGAAAGTGCAAAAGCCTCTTTCAAATGATTTCGTTTAGCGTGAACTTTTAAAATAGAGGGCCAAGTATACAAGTCATCATTATCCTCCTGCCCCTATCCCATCTAAGTGGGGTCGGCAACATCAATCATTTTGTAAGCGGTTTTGGCTATATTTTTACAACCAGCCGCCTGCTTGACGTCAACCCTCCTTGAGAAACAAATACCCAGATCAAATTTCAACCGTGTAACTATCATGGTTCATGAGATACAGCCTGTTGACAAAGGGACAAACGGACAGCGGAGTCTTAGTAATAGGGTCCCGTTTTACCCTTTGGGTACGGAACCCTAAAAAGGCCCTAGAGATATACTGTTGCACGGTAGACACGGCCAACTTAAAAGGGTCTCTGAGTTACACCGATTGTATGATCCACTAAAGTATCTCTTAATAGTCGTAATAGGAGAAAACGGTTAATATTTGACTATTCCTCAGCAAGGTACTGTGTGTAACAAAACTGTGACATGCATGCAATTTTATGCATTTAGGTTGATGGTTAGAGCTACCTGTTTTAATCCATTACATTATTACTGGGACTTATTAGGGTTCCGTACCCAAAGGGTAAAACGGCACCCTATTACTACGACTCCGCTGTCCGTCTGTATGTCCGTATGTCTGTTCATATGTCACCAGGCTGTATCTCATGAACCGTGATAGTTAGACAGTTGAAATTTTCACAAACGTAAAAGTATAACAATTCTATTTTACCCCGGTTTTCTGTGAGGTCGGTAGAGTGGCAAACGAGCTGGCGGTTCACCTGATGTTAAGTAATAACCGTCTCCCATGGACATTTGCAACCCTATAGGTGTTGCAAATGAGTTTGCCATCTTCAAATAAAGTGGGCCCCGGCTACCTCTCTCACCAGACGAAACGTAAAAGATTCTATTTTACGTTTTCTGTGAGGGAGGGAGGTCGGCTCTTCGTGTGCGAATCCGACTCGAACTTGGCCGGTATTTATTCAATACATTGTCGATATGATGGCAAAAAGATATCAGAAAGATTGAATTACATATGATGTCGTAATCACCATAGATTGAAGGCTGGTGAAACATTTACAAGTCATATTCATTTACAGGTTCTCCGAGTTATCTGCATTAAAAAACCAAAGATGAAATGTTGTGTAAAAATGTGTCAAAATATTTATATTTATTTATGCCCGAAGCTATGGGAGACCAGACTTATTTGTCACTTTGACGTGTTACCCCGAATGTCCCGTAATTAAAGCGGAACCAATATCTGGTCAGCGATCTTTCGATCTTCATGACGTAATTTCAAAGGTATTTCATTAAGAGATTAAGAAATTCATAAAATTATTCACCACAGACGAAACAATCGGAGGGTTTATGTGTGTGTATGATAATTTTTAATTTTAAAATTTTTTGTTAAAAGTATTGTTACCCGTGCGAAGCCCGGGCGGGCCGCTAGTCTACAATAGTTAGTTAGTTAAAGAGGCATGGTGCTAAGAACGCTATCTGCATTTCCTCGCTGAATAGTTCTGTTCAACCTTAACGAGAAAAGAACCAGCCCTCATGTCACCAGCCGTGGCTTTAAGCCTAGAATGTAAACCTTTAAAAATTTTCGATGTATAGAGATTATTACAAGTGAAGTTATCTCGATGTTCTCCCAGACAACAATTGAAAAATCACGACAATATAATATAAGTGATAGTTTTTAATTCAAAATTTGAAGCAACAAAAAAAAAGACCAGCCCACCTCTGTATAGAGGAATGAGATGGTAATATCTTCCTCTTCCATATGATTTCGTACATTGTAAGTGACTAGCTGATCTGGCAAATGGGAAGTATATATATATATAAGTAAGAAATCATCTCACCTGTTTCTTTCCGACATGATTCAAGAGCAGCATGCGTTGCCTGCACTGCAGCTGCGCCTCTTTCAACTTGAGTTGTTCCATTTGTAGTTGTATCATTTCCAAATTCATGTGCGGGTCGGGGCTTGCCAAGGTCTAAAGCAGTTGGCAACACAAATGAATTAGTTATGATTCAAAATATATGTGAGCATGTTCATAATATTAAACTATAAACTTGTGACCTATAAAACTTGAACGAGTCTTGAATGTTCATCAAAGTCACTGCTCAGTTCTTGGAGATTTATCATTAATCAGATGAGTTGACATTATATGGTTATGTTTGCTTGTATCAATTTAGAATAGTAGTTTAGATAGTTTTTTTTATAGAATTGGAAAACAAACAGACATTGATGAATCCGTGGTAAAATTGCCAAGGTATTGGCTACGCCGCCGGTGGTCGTAGGTTCGATTCCCACACGGGACAACTATTCGTGCGACCCACAGATAGTTGTTTCGAATCTGGGTGTTTGTCCATGTGAAATTTATGTTTGTAAAACGTCCTTACAACACAGGATAATGTTATCCTAAAGTGGGGGCAGTGTTTAAAAAAAATTAAAAAAAAATGAAAATGTATTGGTTGTGACCAATCATTAGGTATATGCCCAACCAAGCACAAAATATTCAAATCAAAGAACCAAAAAAGTTCTACTCACAAAAATAATAGGCTGGGGAAAGTTTCTTTGCATTTTATATGGAAATTCAAAACATTTTTTAATAGTTTATTTACATTTAACTAAAGTATGTGTAGGTGTAGGTGCCATTTTGTTCGATAACTTTCTACCATCTTGTAGGTAGGGACATGATCCCATTGCTATAGAAATTCTGGGGCTTCTGACCAAAAAAACCGCGACAGGTGGTTTTGGCAGTCCTCTCGTGATGTTAACCTGACACTGCCGATAGAATTCTGAAGAGACCAAAACAAGTGAAACTCTGAAGGTCACCTCCCAGTCAGTCTTAATTTTTGCCGAGTGTCTAAAGATGTGTGAGGTCTAGCATTATCATGATGAAAAACCACACCCCTTCTGTTGATTAATTCTGGCCGCTTTCTCTCAACTTCTTGCTTTAATCTCATCAGTTGTTCCATACCATTCAATTTTTCCATACCATCAAATTTTTTTTACTGTAACAAATTTTTATTAACATACTTTATATACGGTGGTAGGGCCACGCAGCAGCCTCGGCTGTTGCACGAATGGGAAGGCCCGTCCGGGTAAGTACCACGACCTCACAGAAGACCAGCGTAAAGTGGAAGTATTACAAATACTTTCGCGTTTCGTCTGGTGAGTGAGGTAGCCGGAGCCCAATTTTCAAAAGGTTGTCAACGCATCTGTAACCCTCGGGTGTGGCAGATGTCCATGGGCGGCGGTATTCACTTAACGTCAGGTGAACCGTCTGCTCGTTTGACAACTTTTGGCATAAAAAAAAAAAAAAAAAAACTGTTTTTCTTCTATTTTTCCTGTATTTTAGTACAATGTTTGTATTATTATAATGTTCTTATTTACATTATACCTTTTGTTTTGTAAAAGTTTTTTGATTTTGTCTCTACTGACTGTTTAAAAGTAGTTTTTACCTATAATTAAGGTACCACTCATCAATTTTTTGCAAACCTTGTTTATTTATTCTGTTATGGTGTGTACTTTGTTGGTGATAAATAAATAAATAAACTAGTTTTTCCCCAACCTAATATTTTAAGTTGAGCAGCAAAAAGGTAAACAGGGACTATCTTTGCAGCCTCCTTTATCCTCTTCGGTCTTGGTAATAGAATAATTGCTCTATCTACTTATGTTACAAGTCCATAAACAAAAAAAACTTGATTGGAAAAATTCATTACAAAAAGCTACGGAAAACTCACCAAATCATCATCCATCTTCAATTGATCCAATTCACCATCTCCATTAAAACTAAGTTGAAAATCATCTTGTTTTCTGTATAAACATAAGGAGTAGATTAACATGCAATCATTCCACAACTGTAGAAACGAGCAGAAAGGAAATTTTGGTAAATGTTAAGCTAATTTCCAAGTTGATATTTCTTGTTTAATTGGAAATTATTTATTTGCTTGAATACAGCAGGGTCAAAGTTCAATCAACATTTTTATACACTTCATAAAGTAAGAAGACTTTACTAGCAATGAACAAAGTAAATCTTATAAGAAGATGTATTATGTGTATAAATCAGTAGTGTTTTATATTTAGCTGTAAAGAAAAAGCACCCATTGAATTCAATTCTTAAATAGTGAAAAGTAAAGAATAAAGACTGATCTATATTGTAGTAAATTTTAATTCTTACGAAGTATGAACATAAAAAAAATGTATGGACCACAAATATTTACTAAATAAAACTAGGTGATAAATAGGATTATTGTGGATAGTAAAACAGTTGATAGGTAATAATAATTGATTCTCATTTATTAAGACAGATAGTCATAGCGTAATATAAAAAAGGACTTGTACTTTAAAAGTTTTCCATCTACCGACTTTACAAAAGTACTACAGAACTTGATGGACATATGAAGCAAATAAAGTTTTACTGAATGTTCATTTAAGTAATTTATTCTAATTATTGTATAAAACAAACTTAAATAAAGAAAAACCCACGTTTTATCTTCCTTCGTTTCGCCCTTTTCCAAGGAAGAAAAATATTTATTCAGAAGCATTGCGCTGATCTATTTCACCGGGCAAATTTCACTTTTATTTCACGATCTAATGAACTTAATTGAGATATAATATTTGACAGTAATTCAGAAATAAAAACTGTATGTAGGTACTACAATTATATTCAACTTAAACCGTAAACCTAAGCGCACGTCATCCCATGTGTGTGTTAGTGTTGGCTTGGGCGTTATTCGTTATTTAAAATCGGACTGACAACGTTTAAATTTAAACGAACATGCGTGGCGAACAATTTAAAAAAATAAAAGAAATAAATACTTCTTTTAAAAGTTTGTATATCGTACTTTATCTCTATCTTGCACAAATAATCGCATGGGACATTTACTAAACAGTGCCATTTTATCCATATCCAATAACAAAAAAAAAGGAAGTCAATTAAAATAAATGCGCGAGTGTAGTTGAAGACACGGTTCTCACGGTTGGTGTACGAAATTCATTTTGTAGTTTATTAATGAACGTATTAAATTTCCAATAAATAAAAAAAATCTCCTGATAGCAAGTATAACTTTTTTGTGGAAAAGACATTAAATGCAAGTGATAACGATTTAACTAAATAACTTATGATTTTATGTAAATGTCAAAAAGTTGTTATTCGTTGACACTTTTTTTCGGCTTGCCTGGCCGTGTCTCCGACACGGTAAATACCGTAGATGCACCGTTATCCGGTTTATCTACCGTCAAGGTAATAACGTATTACCGTCATAATTATATCACCGTATTACCATTTTACCTTACGTAATTAAAATTTTTTCATTATGTACTCTGTATAAAACGAATTTCAGTCCACTCAATATTTTTTAATGGCAGCACTACTCCTAGTTGCCGAGAATTTCAGGGGGGAATCACTAATATTTAAAAGTTTATCTCCACGCAATCTACTCTCGCTCTCGTCCTTATTTAAATATTGGTATTGGTAGGAGTGAAATTAGTAGTGTGATGGATGAATGACGTAAAATTTACTACGTTGTCTTTTATTCTAGTTACGACGCGTTACAATTACGTAGTAAACATTTGAATATATTATTTAAGTAATAGAGAGCGATTTTACAGTGTTTTGTTTTTAGTAAGTGAGTTGGGTTCGATGTTTCATATATTATTTAAAATTTTCTTAGGTAATAATTAAAAAAAGAAAATTTAATCAAGACTTGATTTGGTTATAAATGCTGTTTTAAATTACACGGTTCTTTTTATAGCAGATTCACCGTTTATGTCTAAAAACACCGTATTTTTAGCCTCGTAACACGGTAATTCTTGATTTAAATATGGAGACGCTGGCGTGGCCCCTTTCCGCCAAATCGGCACAGTGCGATAAGTTACTTTATTCCAGCAAGTACTTAATGTTTATGAAATCTTACTCTTACTACTCTTAGGTATGATCGATACATGAATCATATTGTACTCTTGTGCTCTATAAACACGTCTTCGTATTTTTAAGTGAAGTAATAAAACAAAATTATCAAGCTTCTAAGAACTTGCCAAGCATATTATTATAAACATCGATAACCAATGTTAAGTATTGACACAATTAATATACAAAAACTATTAGTCTCCGAGAACACGAGGTTCATGATAATGATAGATTGGCGGCGATAATTAATTATTAGAACTAAAAACTTAATTTATTCGAAGAATTCGCCCGCGGTCCAGACATATAAAGGCTATGACTTTACTTTTTTTACTTGTCTCTCTTCAATTATATGCACATTTTTTACAATCAATAAGCTTAATGTTTCTATAGTGAATAAAGATATTAGAACTTATCACGCTCATGTTTACTATGTTAATACTAGAAAAAGCAACAAATATTACTACTCCGACTTGAAAAACAATAAAAGTAAAATAACAACTTAAACATGTCCCATTTTTATCGGCAAAGGCCTTCTCCGTAAAGGGGCCTAGTCCGCTCCAACACGCGACCCCTTTGGTGGATTGGATTTCACATAATTATTTTTTTTTTGTTATTATTCCTAAAACATGCAGGTTTCCTCAGTGCATGTGCTAAGCAATAACTTAAAATTAACAAATTCATAGGTAAATATACTTTTTTAATGTGAAGGTGGCAAGCCAGCTGGCGGTTTAACTGATGTGATAACCGCCGCCCATTTTTGCAACACCCGTTTGGTTGCAGATGCGTTGCCTAGTAGCTTTGTCTCCGTTTAATAAAGCTAATCTGACGCAACGCAGAAATGTAACCCTTCCACTTCACGCCGGTCTTCTGTGTGGTTGTAGGACTTCCCTGGATGGACCTGCCCATTCATGCAACAGCGAAGACTCTTGCATGGCCCTTTCATATTCAATAGAAATAAATAACAAGCAAGTGTTGGGACACAAGCTATCACGCATCAATCAATAGGAAAGATATAATAGTCCCACAACTTTGCTGATGTAGGAAACTTACCTGCTTATTCTCCCTCTACTGCACTGGCTTCCACTGTCATCTCTGCAACTGTAAGCGGGGGCGCGCTCCTCTGACTCTTTCTGTTTACGACCAGTTTTCTTCTGCGCATGGTGGGAGAAATATTCTCGTTTCAGATCCGAGAGGCGCAATTAGATATTGCAGTCATTTATCATGCCTTAGCTAGCTTAAAATTAATGTGCCACAAGCTTACAAAGATTCATTAGTTATTTAGCCTCTCTCTGAGACTTGTCTTCTGAGGCTGTCGGTATACAAAAGGCGAAGTAATTTTTTAACATCTCATGCCAAATTAAAACATTGAGACAAATGAAGCAAACAAAATGTTCAGCGCTTATCAGGTGGACGTAGAAAAAGTAAGTTTATGATACATAAAATTAGTGGTTGAACAAAGACTTTACATGTGATCTTAATTAAGATCATAGCTATGAATATACAGTACCCTACACTGTTTGCATCACTTGAAACGGTTCAGTCTATTTGCCAGTTGGACAACAAACCTAAGGGGTGACATTTGTCTTTATTGGCGAATTCATTAAAACGCCATAAAGGAAAGAAGAAGACATTTGTCTTTAGCTAGCAACTCCATCAATCTCTGTCTACACAACATACAGGTTTGCACGTGTTCTACCGTCATATTACTCTATAAAAGTACAAATAAATCCACTGTCTGTTAGCACAACAACATTCAATATAGTTTTTAATATTGTTTGCAGTATTTCTTTTAAAACCCAACTAGGCAGCCAGCTACCAGTCTCACCAGGTTAAATGCAGAAGAATAAATACTTCTTTGTTGCTGTGGACATCCATGAGTGTCCATGGACACTCATGACATTTTCAATTGTTTTAATCCAATGAAGCAAAAATACAGAACATTTATTTACACACCTTGTGAGCTATGCAAATATTCAAATTGAGTGGTTCAGTCCTGTTGAGTTTCATCATTGCAAGTTTGGCTTCGCTGAAACATAATATAATTAAAGGTTTTTTCCAAGTCTAATCCAGATATTTATCAAATTGTATCTATTTTACATAGATCATATATATACATAGGTCTGTTGCATATTTATTCTATTTTTTTTCTGCACTTTAATTAGCATGTCTGTATGTAATCTTAAAATTGTAACACATAAGACGCATATGAAGCATTGCTGATAAATATTATATGAATATTTAGTCTCGGAAATGCAAAATAGTATTATTGGCATTGAATTAACAAGTTCTTGTATCACTAAAGATACCATAAAAAAACTTATAGCTTACCCTGGAGATTCAAAAGTGACAAGCCCAAACCGCTTCTGGGCATCTTTACTAAGGAAGGCCGCCACATTCGTCCCATATTTGCTAAATAGAGTCCTCAGGCCATCTTCATTCAAAGTCTTTGGTATGTTTGTAATATACAAACGGCATTGATCCAACTGAACTCCACCTCTGGTTAAAGGAGGGATTTTTTAAATGCCAGCTCTTCAATGAACCTTTTATGTTCTCGAAGACTCACAATTGATCCATTTGTGCAATGGCAAATGTTTCATTAAAGTTGTTGGTTGGCTTCGGCACCACAGTACACAAAACTAGTGTTATTGTGTCCTACAATTATTTGTTTGAGATCTGGGTGTTTGGCCATATCAAATTTGTGTATACAGCTTTGTTCATTTATTGTCGCGATGGCAACGACACGCTGTATAAACACCCTTGGGGTTATGTTGTTTATTAGTTATTTTTCGACTTCTATATCTAGTTTTTAGTGTTTAGCAAAATGATGTGAATAATCCATAGAATATTTTTTTACAAAATTGCACAATTGCAATCTTTTGACACAATTGTACTGAAGCTAAAAGCTAATATTATTATCAACAAATAATAATATTAACATCAAACAATATTGTCTTGATCAAATATTACTCTTGTTTAGCAAAAAAATTATGAAGGTTCACTGTAAACAACTGGCATATTCAAAGTACTTAGCTAGAGCTACTCTTGGAGTTATCTTCACAGTTGTTGCCAGGCCTATTATTCATGGCGATCAAAGACCGTAGAATGTACATCGATACAATAGTAATATAAAAAATACCCAGAGTCATCATCAGGATATTGTGCATCATATGAGGTGTCATTGTAATCATCACGCATTGGATCCCAATCTTGACTGTGGTTGTTCCAGCTCTTCCTTGCCATTTAACTGCAATTAATAAAATAATATTTCAATGTTAATAGTATCAGAACTGACCATCCACATCTTAGTCAGATTTTTCTCTTTAGTCATATTTTTCTCTTCTTCATTCATGTTAAGTGATTTCTACCACCCATGAACATCTACAACAACTGAAGAATTGCAGATGCATTGTCAAGCCTTAAAGACAATGGGCCCTAGTTACTCACCTGCCAGAGAGAAAGCTAAATTATACTTTTATATTGGCCATACTTTTACGTTACGGCTTTGAGAACTCAATAATATAATAATCTATATATTTGCTATAATCAACAGATAATCAATTTTATCATAAATTTACCATCTTAATATAACAAATAATTTTTGTTTATTACACTATATTTTACCAAATACATTGAAAAATGTCTTAAGTCACTTTTATTTTTAAAAAAACCAAGGTAATAAAATGTATGGTAAATAAATGGAAACAATTGGCTTAAAGGTCTTGTTACTAGGCAATAAAATCTTTTCTCTTTTCATTAAAAAAAAAAAAGAAAAGAACAAAAAATCGTTTAAAAGCTTGCTTCGATTCTAAAGGTAAGCATGTAGAGCAATGCAATAACACTCATTAATTTAAGCCAAAGTTTAAAATGTTATTATCATTTTGGTTTAAAATAACATCCTATATAATATTGCAGGACTGATTTCGCGCTGTACGTTCCAGGGCAAAACCAGTATTTCAAATAATTTTTACACGCGTGTGATTAAGAAAAATAGAGCGCCTACATATAAAATGTAGGCGCTCTATTTAAAAGCGCAAGGCAGTTCTTTGTTCTTAAAATACAAGACTTATTATACTACTTACTAAGATAGAAGTATTCAATAAACGCCGGTATTAATTAACAAAGAAACAAAAATCTTGATAACTCTGAATTCGCGGCTGTCTCTCTCTGGCAGTGTCTGTGATAGCTCTACTAAAAATTATCGCAGTGTTGCAACTTGAAAAACGCTAGAAAATCTGCACAATTAGTGACTTTGATGGTCTGAATCTGAAAAGCGTGGGTGAAATATGGAAGTGGGGCGTGTGAAAGGAAAAAAATAAAAAAATAATTTAATAATAACAACGGGTGCCACAATAGGCTTATTAAATTGTTATCAAAATAACAAAAAGTTCCATTATGTAAATGTATTTCGATTTGAACTCCAAAACTAGTTCATTAGGTCTCTATCTCATTTTCATCGTCAAAATTTTGTGGTGCTGCTTTGCAAAATTATTCTTGATTTGATTTCTAGCAACTTAATCGTTAAATTAGTTACATTAGTAATTATGAAATGTAGAGATAAAAAAAATCTTACATGGGAATTAATTGAAAAAATGTGAATAGAGGTAATTGATAATAACTGTTACAAACTCACTATTACGGCGCTAACTTAGCAAAGATATAAGATCGTCGTCGATATGATTATCGACTTAAACGAGTTACATTTTAGTAGGAGGTAGCCATGGGTAACTATTTATACAGCACCTTGCCACTAGGCATCCACCTACTACCGTAGCATCACCAATTTAACGGCGGACATGTTTAATACGCAGAGATTGTTCTGCTCACAGAACACTATACCCTACGGGTTCCGGAGCCTGAGCTTGGGCCTGCCTCTTCTCTTGCGGCCTTCCAGAAGGCATTGTAGAGTACCCAAACTCTGGCCTCGTCCATTCGCACCACGTGTCCTGCCCATTGCAGGCGTCCGTTCTTTATGAACCTGATGACTTTTGGCTCATCATATAATTGGTAAAGCTCGTGGTTATAACACTTTCGTTATCTCTCATCTTCCATTAAAGCTCCAAAGATACGTCTAAGTATTTTACGCTCAAATACCAACAAAGAATTTTCGTCTTTTTTGCTCAGTACTCAGCATTCAGGACCGTAGATAAGTATGGGCCTTAGTAAGGTTTTGTACAGTAGAAGTTTTGTTTCTTGAAAGAAGTTTCGAGCGAAAATATCTTAGCAGGCTGAAGTAGCCCTTGTTAGCGGCCATTATTCTCCTGCTTATTTCTGAAGATATATCGTTCTTGTTAGTTACTAAGGAACCAAGGTATTCATGAACGGTAGAGGTGTTATTACCTATGTTGATTCCTTGTACTAGAGCTTGCTGGTCTTTTGACGCTTTCAGGTACTTAGTCTTGGCCATGTTAACCTGAAGACCGGCTTCATCAGGTGATTTCTCAAGAGCAAGGTATGTACTCTCTTTTGCAGGCTGCATAACCCAGAATTTGGACGGATTTCTGATAGATAGTCAATTTGGTCTCGATTTTTGAGTCGCGGATATATTTTTCTAGATTGATATTGAACAGTAGACAAGAGAGTGCATCTCCTTGTCGTTGGTTCTGAAGGGTTCTGATAACTCCGTTTGAACTCTAACAACTACGGGTTTCTACTTACCTCTTTTTTTCGTGCAAAAAATCCTTTATGGATCCTCTGCCACTTGTACGGGGGAGTGGCAGGGGTATGTGGGAGTCCCAATAAGAACGGGCACCCACTAAAAACCCACGTTGCACCTGTCTCTGTCGCAACGGGCGGGGACATGGGATCACGTGGACGCAATCTTCCGCCACCCCGGCCGTACTATGGCCTTTTTAGGCCTCTACTACATAGTGCTGTGCCGATGCAATTGGCACGCACACGTCTCGAGCCCCATATTGAGCAACAGACACCCCCATGTCTGCCGCTCAGGGTCTCACTATGAAGGTGTAAATTTGCGCGCGTAGGCCAGCCTCCTGCGCGAATATCCAGAGTGGCAGTTGGAATATTATATATATAATATTAAAATTGGAATATTATGGTATTCGCAAATCTGCCATTGACTTAACTCGTATCTTACTGACAGAGAACAAAAAGTAATCATAAATGGTATATTGTCAACGGGGTCAAAAGTAAAAATGGGCGTTCCTCAAGGATCGATCCTGGGCCCTTTTCTGTTTTTAGTTTATATTAATTATTTGCCATATATATTGGAAAAAAGGTCTCAAACTGTTTTGTTTGCGGATGACACTTAACTGTTGTTTAGAGTTAAAAGGAAAGATGATGTACTAGAACAACCAAATGAAGTACTAGATGTGTTAGGCTGGTTTGCTACCAATAACTACTTCTGAAGTCCACGAAAACAAAATTAACACTCGGTTGTAGCAGATGTCCATGGGCGGCGGTATTCGCTTAACATCAGGTGCCTGCTACTTGGCAATTTTTCACATAAAAAAACTTAAATATTTAAAACTCATTCACATCGCCTTTGTGTACCTACACTACAAAATGTCTTTCTCGGATCGATGACGTAGCTTCTCGAGATTTCCTTATTCGAGGAATCTGGAAATATATAGGAAGTTTCGAGGAATGCCTTAACCTCGAGTGAGCGCGAGTCGTGGGTGCTCTGAGAAAAGGGCTAAGAATATGGGTTGAAGTGGATGCGGTGTATGTTTAAGTTGTCCCGTTCCACTTACTAAGTTGGACTAATCGAGGACTATTACTTGGGCTATGTTTTCCAATGAATAACACTGGGACTATAAAGCAAACTGATTTAATTAGCGGAAGATAATCACAATACATTGACTAGTCAAACACAGGTAAAGAGAGAGAGTACGAGTATGAGTATAAGTATGAGTATGAGTATGAGTGAATACATTACAAATGATGCGAGCTATTTATACTAAAAAGGGTAATCCTTACTAACATCACAAAGGCGAAAGTTTGTATGTATGGATGGATGTTCACGCAAATATTATTGAACGGATTTTAATAAATATTACAATAATATAGCTTACACATCAGAACAAGACATAGGCTATAATTTATATACAATTTCAATGCAGTCTATCTCCTAGTCTTAATGTTACACCTTCAGCTTATTCTACGCAGACGTAGTCGCGGGGAGCAGCTAGTTAATTGCAATTTTGACTCCCACTTGAGAATGCGTGCGCGCAGTGGGGGTTAAATTATGATGGCCGCTTAACTGAAAACAAAAGGCTCGTGCTCGGCCATCTTGCGATAATTAGCTAATACAATAGATGTACCAGCCGCCATACTGTCGCATCACCGAGTGGGTGGAGCTACTGTGCGTTAAAAAATGTTGATTCGTGCAACAGTAACTACGTCGTGAAATTCGGTAGCCAATAGTAGCTTCGCCGCGGACGTCGACAGCACTCCGTCGTAAAAAGAAGGATCGTTGTAGCGGTCGAGTTGACTAGCATGCTACAGGGTGTTAGCCGTCCTAAATATAATCTGACACTTATATGGAGGGGTACTGTTAATTTGACAGTTTTAAAAAAAAATATACGAAGCCAACTTCAAAGGTGAATCCATTGAGGATTAAGTTTATCAAACTATGTTTTAATATTCTTTTATCTACCTTTACATATAAATATAATATAGAATTTTTTTTTAAATCTGTATTTGAAAGGGATCTTAATGTATATAATCTATAAACACTGGACTAAACTAGCAAATTAAATGCATGGGCGTTCTATACTTACTAAACTTATTTAAAGAATAGCAGACTCAAATTTAGCTTAAATAAAAAATCATTTGCATGTAATAAAGTGCATCTTTATTTAAGGATTCATGAAATAATAATAAATCGTTACCAGTACATTATAATTAGTTATTCGGTTATAAGTATTGACCTTAAATTACCTAAATACAGGGAGGTTTTTTTAAGTGTATCCATTTTAAATTAAACATAAAAAATGATCTAGACATAAAAAATGATAAATATTTTAAATCACTCGTAATTAATTATATTACATTCATTTGAACTTATCCCAAAATGCGCGTGATTTATGGGCAACTCATTTATTTTAAGCGCGATCGTTCATAACTAATACGCACACAAGTTCGTTTCAAAAGTATACGACGCATTATTGAATGACTTCCTCATTGTCAACAAGTTCTGGTTTTTTGGGGAACAATGGCTATTTAAAAAAAAAAAAGTTTGTTGTTATTTCAATAAACGATTATACTACCGAGTCTGAACCTCCTGTGTGAATTTGGGTACTTTTAGAAAAGCCACCCTGTATAATGCAACTATTAGATTAGATTACATATCACAATAAGAACATGAAAAATAAAAGATTGCAAGGTGCATAGTTCAAATTATTTCATTTAATAAAATGAAATTCTCAACCAAAACTGTGAATTTATTTTAAGTAAGAACCTCTCTTCTTCTTGTTCTTCTCATGTTTGAAAAAGTCTTGATTAGCACGCTCACCCCATGATCCGCGAGTTCCGCTCTGTTGACAAACATTTTAAATGATATTTCCGCTAAGACAAAAAGAAACTTATTAGTTAGCCCAGCAATAAAGACTAAAATTATAACAATTAAAGTTGGTGTAGTAAACAATTTTTCTTTATAATATATATAAAATTGGAGTACCTCTTTGTAATAACGGTGGTAGAGCCACGCAGCAGCCTCGGCTGTTGCATGAATGGGCAGGCTCGTCCGGGTAAGTACCACAACCTCACAGAAGACCGGCGTAAAGTGGAAGTATGACAAATACTTTTGCGTTTCGTCTGGTGAGTGAGGTAGCCGGAGCCCAATTTCCAAAAAGGTTGTCAACGCATCTGCAAACCCTGGGGTGTAGCAGATGTTCATGGGCGGCGGTATTTACTTAATATCAGGTGAACCGTCAGCTCGATTGTCAACTTTTCACATAAAAAAAAAAAAAAAAATAAAATAAGCGCTTTTTATTAAACGCCTATGGATGTATACACGGTACATGTACCAAAATAACATTTTTCCTCTGTCTGTCTGTTTTTTCCGGCTAATATCTAAAACGGGTGCACCGATTTTGACGGGACTATCACTGGCAGATAGCTGATGTAATAACGAGTAACTTAGGCCACTTTTATTTTAGAAATTTTATTTATTTATAAATTCCACGCGGACGAAGTCGCGGGCACGGTTAGTGTTATCATCAATTTATAAAACCGCCCTTACCTAATTAGTCGAATGATTCCTTCTTGTTCCGGGAGATCTCCACCTGGCACTCTGTCTCCACCTCAAGAAAGACGGTCGCCTCGACCTCTGCAACTGTCCCATCCACTGTCGCCAACCACGGCCACCCCTGTCTCCTGTATCACCAAACCCTTCTGTACCATCGTACCCTCCTCTGCCACGATCAAATCCTCCTCGTGCCCGATCTTGCCAACCGCCAGATTTGTTGTTTTCAGATTCATCGTCCCCATCCTCACCATTTTGTTCTTCGCCCTCCTGATAGATATACAGCGTATCGTTACCATCGCGACAATAAATGAACACACGTCTAACGCTACTTGCCAATAATCATAAAAAAATATTAACGTTAAACAAAATCCATAATTAAAAAAAAATATTTTTCAAACAAACTAATTAAGTAAAAAAGAACCAAAATTTGTAACATCTTATACAACTTGCGCCACAGCGTCGCATTACAAGCCTCTCCTTCTAACAGTATGTTTTGTCTCTTTTAAATTCATTCAACCCATTCATATGCTTTGTGACCTTTACAAATGAACTTTACGTTACGCTTTTATAGGTAATGGTGTTCTAAAATTCTTTTTTTTTTTGGAAAATTTAATAACTATGTGTGTTCATTTATTGTCTCGATGGTGACGACACGCTGTATAGGTTTATAAGCACCAAGAAACCTCAATCATCATCATCATCAGCCGCAAGACGTAGAACATAGGCCAACCCTTAGAACGACAGAACGAACAACACTTTGCCATTTGCATCCACCGGTTGCCCGCGACTCTGATGATGCCATCGGTCCATCTAGAGGGAGACCTTCCAACGCTACAATCTCAATATTGCACTAAATGTGATTTATAAAGATATATTTTTATGTATATCTGTCCTCCTGTCTGAATATTAAGCCTTCAGCCTATTTTACGCAGACATAGTCGCGGGCAGCAGCTATTGTAAAATGTTTTATTAAGTGATTTCATTAAACTATCAATACTTTTGCATTTTATGCCTTTATTGTGCTGGTCTTTGTAATTAAAACATTGTTATAAGCAGTCAGCAATATTATGGGGTACTAAACTTTCTAATATCTTTATCCTTACTTATCCTTACTTAATATTATAAACGAGATAATTTGTATGTATGGATGGATGTTTGTTACTTTTTCACGCAAATACTACTGAATGGATTTTAATGAAACTTTACAATAATATAGCTTTTACATCAGAATAAAACATAGGCTATAATTTATATACATATTTTTATGTATTTCTGTCTTTCTGTCTGAATGATACGCCTTCAGCCTATTCTACGCAGACGTAGTCGCGAGCAGCAGCTAGTTATGGACCCTAAAGACGTTGTCCTATACACACGACTTAAATCCGACAACTTATAAATAAAAGAAATAAAAAAGTTCCAAAGTGTCCCGAATTGTGAATCTAAACCATTCTCGAGTCGACTTGAAGGCAAATAAAAAATTTCATTAAAATCGGTTCAGTCGTTTAGGAGGAGTTCAATGACATACACACGTACAGAAGAATTATATATATAAAGATATTGAAGGAAAAAATTATTACTCTAAAAAATATTATTAATCAGATGGTTTCCTTTTTTACCTGCTTTGAAATTATTTTTAGAATCCTGAAAAGAACAAGGATAAGAAATTTAATCTTAATGAGCATTGATTATGTTTATTTATACAATTTGTGTTTATTACAGAAATAATGCAAAATGTTCTAGGATAAGTGGAAGAAACTACAATAATTCTAGAATGTAATCATTGGACATTATAAAACTAAAAGCTGGCATGGGTTGGGCTACATGTCAGGTATGTGAGGAAAGCCTATCTTGAAGTTGTAGCCTAAATCATTGCTAATCGATTTTGTGCAGTGTTTTTAGATTTTCAGCATAACATTATTTACTTCATGTATCTTTGTGATTTTTCAATAAAATACATACCTACGTATTAAACTAGCCAACCCGGTAAACCTTGTTTTGCCATATAAATTATACAAATAATTTACAAACACAGGGTGGACAAAAATGTTTGGAATGGACCAACGTTATCACTTAGGGATATAAAAATTAATTATAAACCAATGTCCATACCTACTGAACATACATATAAAATTTCATCAAAATCGGTCAAGCCATTTTTTGTAAGTTGTTTAAATATGTATCTTAAATAAAATAAAAAAAAAAAGCCGTTTCGGAGAAGTATAAACACTAAAACTGTGACAGAAGAATTTTATATATTAGATAACTTACATTTTGTTTTGCTACCAGCAAATCAAAATCTTTTTCATCATTTGGCCTTTCATCGTCAGAACTAACAAAGTTCGAGGTCTCCTTTACGTTAATATTTAACGTTATCGTAATTTCTTCATCACTAGATTCATCAGAGATAAAAAAAAAATTGGTTGCATTAAATTCTTACAAAAATTTCCATTCAACCTTTATCCGCATTTAAACGTATCACTATATTACCTTTTTTGAATTTGTACAGTGTTATATCTTGTATTCTTATAATCTAATACAATTTTGGTCATACTTGACAACTTGTTTGCATTCGGTTCCTGAAATGAATATAAAATGGAACTAAAACGAGGGAAGAATTATAAATTATTATTAGGAATAGTGCCTGCGTACAAAAAAGGGAATCGAGATAATATTGTCAACTATAATATAATATAGCTAATATATCAATATAAGCTGTGGTCTCTAAGGCCTTCGTGTCTTTGATTTCTCCTGTATTGTCACGGCACGGCCGACACGCTATCTCAGATACCCAACCCGTATTTATGACATCTCGATCTACTGTGACAAACCTTTCATGTTTTATGAATTCTACAAGTCTACAAGTAGATGCTATCTAGATTGATTTCTCCAAAGCCTTCGCCAGGGTCAACCACAAGTTGTTAATAGCGAAACTGTCGTCACTTAGAATCGGAGGATCATTACTTTCGTTGTTTGCTTCATATTTAAAAGACAGATTTTCATACGTTGCGATCGGTGGCCACATATCTTAAAGGTATGAGTGCATATCGGGAGTGCCACAGGGATCCATCTAAGGACCCCTATTATTTTATAATTTCGTTAATGATGTAACTAATTGTGTACATAATTCTATGAGTGCATATCGGGAGTGCCACAGGGATCCATCTAAGGACCCCTATTATTTTATAATTTCTTATTTTATAATTGTAGGTATATATTTATTAAAATATAATATTAAATAACTTACATTTTGTTTTGCTGGTGGCTTTTCATCATCGGAACTATCAAAGTTCGGGGACTTCTTTACGTTGATATTTAACGGTACCGTCATTTCTTCATTACTAGATTCATCAAAGATAAAAAAAATGTGTTGCATTAAATTGTTACAAAAATTTCCATTCAACCATCATTATATCATTATATTACCTTTCTTGCTTTGGTACAGCATTACAATTTGTCTCTTTACCATTTACTATAATTTCGCTCATTCTTGACGAGTCGTTTGCACTCGGTTCCTGAAATGAATAAAAATTTAAACTAAAACGAGACAGAATTATACAACATTAAATAAAATATATCCAAGTATTAATTTGTTAACCATATCAATTAATATAAGATTATAAAGAAAAGAGACAAAATAAAGAAGTTAAGAACTTTTGTATTGGTTGTACAATTTCTTATATTTGGGGACAATGTGTGGAAGTGCTGAGCAAATATGTGGTAGAGGTTTCATACTGACTTACCGACTAACAGCCGTTCCCATTATTCAATCTATCTCTGGATTTGCCCTACTAGAGAAAGAAATAGTTATATATCTTTAAATTTTTTGTCCCTATAAACTATCCCTAGATGCTATCTGTCAATCGGGGGACATCGTATATTTGGAAACAAAAACAAAGTTCAAAAAACGTTCTTGGTAAACAAAACATTGCTGTTACAGGAGGGGTTTGCCTAGTGCGATGCTGTAGCGATTTACACTTTTGCTGTTTGTACTGTGCTATGGCAATGAAATGTCTTGTTGTTTTTGGTGCCACTGTAATGGGGCCACAGAGCAGCTCCTGCTATTGCACGAATGGATGCCCTCATCCAGGGAAGGACTGTGGGCTCATAAAAACTGGCGTGAAGAGGAATCGTTATGTTATACGAACCGAAAAGTTTTTGCGACGAAATTTACTTCAATTACATTCAATTAATTTTAATTCAATATACACGAGCAACCTGAGTTCGACGCCGGTGCAAATATAAATGAAATTGTTAATTTTAAGTCCCGACTGCACGGTTGATATGTAGATTTATCATTATTCAGGTGTATCAATTTAGAAATGAAGTTTAGACGGTTTTTTATAGAAGTTGCAAAACTAGCAGACATGAATTGATTGTGACCTATAATAGGTCCAAATGACCGGAACACCTTCACACAAAAGAACCAGAAAAAGATCTGCTCACAAAAATATTTTAAGTAGAGCAGAAAAACGGTAACTATTTTTGAAGCCAATCAACTGCTTCAGTCTTGGTAATAGTTAATTTCTCCATAACTACTGATATTACGAGTTCATCAACTAAAAAACGGTGGTAGGGCCATGCAGCAGCCTCGGCTGTTGCACGAATGCGCAGGCCCGTCCGGGTAAGTACCACGACCTCACAGAAGACCGGCGTAGAGTGGAAGTATGATAAATACTTTTGCGTTTCGTCTGGTGAGTGAGGTGGCCGGAGCCAAATTTTCAAAAGGCTGTCAAGGCATGTGTAACCCTCGGGTGTGGTAGATGGGCGGCGGCATTCAATTAACATAGGGTGAACCGTCTGCTCGTTTGGCAACTTTTCGCATAAAAAAAAAAATTAAAAAAGCCTTGTTTGGAACAATTCATTACAATAAGCTATGAAAACTCACCAAACCATCATCCATAATCAAGTCATCCTGTTTTCTGTTTAAAAATAAGAAGTAGATTAAGATGCAATCATATGAAAAATGTAGAAACAAACAGAAAGGAAATTAAGGTGAATGTTAAGCAAATTTCAAAGTTGCTATTCGTTTTTTAATTAGAAATTATTTATTTGCTTTAATTATGCAACATTTTTATATACTTCATAAAGTAAGAAGATTTTTACTAGCAATAAACAAAGTAAATCTTATAAGATGTAAGTACTATGTGATAAATCAGAAATGTGTTTTATATTTATCTGCTAAAAAAAAAAGATATTCTATTCAATTCTTACAGACAAAGCGAAAAGTTAAGAATAAAGCTTTACATACATTGTGGTGAATTTTTATTCTTAAGAAACGAGAGTGTATGAACATAAACGATATTAAAAAAGAGATGGATGAATATCCTCAATGCCATCTTAAGTTTTCTTCCTAAATTTAGGAAGAAAAAATTTTACAATGGAAGTTTTTTAGGAGGAGAATGTTTTTGGGAATTATTTTAGGAATAAAATTTTATTCACATTTTTGAAGAAAACAAAAACTACACAATTTTCAACACGAAATATAACATAATAGTAGCATAGTATATTGTACATAACAGTGACTAGTGTCTGTTGCATTGGTTTATGTAGTATTAAAAAGGTAACTTTTCATTTAGGAAGTTTTATTTTTAATTTTTTTGGATTTTAGGAGGTTTTTGAATTTCTCGAGGAGAATTTTTTTCAACAGTTGGTAACACTGTCCTGGCGTTTTTCGTGTCTGAGATATCGATCAACCTACGACTAGGCGATTAATTGGATTATTATGGGCAGTAAAAAAGTTGATAGGTACTAATAATTGATTAATTATATACAGATACTAGCTGGCCCGCGGCAAATTTATCTGCGTCTGCTATACAGCGTGTCTTTACAATCGCGACAATAAATGAACACACATATAGGGAATAACTTTTTAAAATTGTATTAAACATTTACATTCTTTAAACATCAATATTTACCGAGTTATTAAACTGTAACGTAAAGTTCATTTGTAAAGGTCACCAAGCATATGAATGGGTTGAATGAATTTAAAAGAGACAAAACATACTGTTAGAAGCCGTTACAAATTTTGTTTCTTTTTTACTTAATTAGTTTGTTTGAAAAATATTTTTTTTTAATTATGGATTTTGTTTAACGTTAATATTTTTTTATGATTATTGGCAAGTAGCGTTAGACGTGTGTTCATTTATTGTCGCGATGGTAACGACACGCTGTAGAATAATACTTTGTATTTGTATAACTGATGTTACGATTTCAGTCCGTAGACTGTTAAAGGTTCATCGAACGCAGAACCGGTGGGTAAGCCAGAGCCTTTGAGGCCGCCCTCAGTGGGTAGGGCCGCGTATGTACCCATGCGTGCGTAAATTATGGCTTGTCGCCTACGGGCCATCGAGATTTGAATACAGAGAAGGATGTTGCAGCGAAAATGTCAGCGAAAAAGTGTTTAAACAAAAATTGTAGTAAACTGTCTTTACACAACCAATATATTTTGATTACTTTTGGCGCTTTCTTTTAAGCCCGATCTAAATTGGCACGCCATAAATTGTCAAGGACAGCGACGAGTAGCGAGTACAAGTACAGTGGCCAGTGGTGAGCACTGGACAAGTGCCTGTTCACACTACGGCAAGTACACCCGCGCGCGCGCTCGCACACACACACACACACCCACACGCGCACACACGCGCGCACGCGCACGCACACATGCACGCACGCACGCACGCACTAGAATAGAAATAATAAAAAGCAAGCGCCTTGTCACACAAGCTATCACGCCTCAATAAATAAGAAAGAAATAATAGTCCCACAACTTTGCTGATATACAGCGTATCTTTTCCATCGCGACAATAATCGAACACACATATAGAGGATAACTTTTTAAAATTGTATTAATGATTTACATTCTTAGCGTTAGACGTGTGTTCATTTATTGTCGCGGTGGTAAAGACACGCTGTATACAAGTGTCTTTCACAACGCGACGAAAAACATGTCCCCCTGTGTCGCTCAACAGAGTACAGATACCCTAAGCAAATGAAGCCAGATACCTTGGGCTTTATTTAGATTGTTGTCCAACTTTGAAAAAAACATATCTTCACAAAACGAAAAGCACTGGGAATCCAACAAAGGATAATGTACTGGCCACTAAAAAAAAATCACAGCTATCATTGGAAAATGAATTGAAACTTTTATACAAATGTATTTTGAAACCAATCCGGACTTATGGAGTTCAACTTTGGAGCACAGCTGCCAACTGAAACCTAGAAATACTTGAAAGATTTCAGTCCAAAATGCTGAGAATAATAACTAATGCTCCTTGGTTCAACACAAATAACAATCAGCAACTACACCACAATCTAGAAATTAGAACAATACAAGAAGAGATTAAATAAATATAAATAAACTCAACAGAATCATACAAGAACAGATTGGACTCTCATCCAAACTCTCTGGCTTCGAAATTCATGAATAGTTACTCAACATTTAAGAGACTAAAAAGAAAGTCCCTTTGAGATTTATAGGGAATAAAATAAACAATCTATAAATACCAATACTTAAACTAATGCTTAATGTTCATAGAAACAGATTGCATTAATACAAACAAAAAAAACCTTTGCTGATGTAGGAAACTTACCTGCTTATTCTCCCTCTACTGCACTGGCTTCCACTGTCATCTCTGCAACTGTAGGCATGGGCTCTCCGTCTACGTTTCTTCTGCGCATGGTGGGAGAAATATTCTCGTTTCAGATCCGATAGGCGCAATTAGAGATTGCAATCATACCTTAGCAAAAATACCGTAACACTTTTATTTACACACCTTGTGAGCTATGCAAATATTCAAATTGAGTGGTTCAGTCCTGTTGAGTTTCATCAATGCAAGTTTCGCTTCGCTGAAACATAATATGATTATGTATGAACATTTTGCACAAATGTATAGGTTTATTTCCAAGTCTAATCAAAATATTTGTCGAATTGTATCAATTTTACATAGATCTGTTGCATATTTATTCTTATTTTTTTTCTGCATTTTAATTCTGTAGTAAGTATGTATGTATATAATCTTAAAATTGTAAAAACATAAGACAACTGTATTTTACATACATGCCTTTACTATCTAGCATTACTAATAAATATTAAATAATTATTCAGTCTCGGAAACACTTGATAGACCTGCATGGTTATCACAAAACGAAGTCAGCATTATCAGAATGAGGTAATAATCCTTTTCTGTCGTAAAGATAAGTTCCAGTACAATTTGGGAATGCAAATTTATTTAAACTGTATTATACTTATTTATCACATGCTTTTCATATAGTATTATTGGCATTGAATTACCAAGTTGAATCACCAAAGTCAATTACTATCCACCAAAAAAAAATCTTAAAACTTACACTGGAGTCTTATAAGAGACAAGCCCAAACCGCTTCTGGGCATCTTTACTGAGGTAAGCCCCCACAGTCGTCCCATATTTGCTAAAAAGAGTCCTAAGGCCATCTCTATTCAAATTCTTTGGTATGTTTGTAATATACAAACGGCGTTGATCCAACTGTACGCGGCCTCTGGTGAAAGGAAGAAATTTTAAATTCTTCAATGAACCTTTTATGTTCCCCAAGACTCTCAATGGTTCCATTTGTGCAATGGCAAATGTTTGATTAAAGTTGTTGACTTCGGCTCCACCGTACACAAGACAAGTTTTAGTGTCCTACAATTATTTGTCCGAGATCTGGGTGTTTGGCCATGTCAAATGTGTGTGTATAAAACATCCCTGGGTTTATGTTGTTACTTATTTTTCGTTATTTATATCAAGTTTTAAGTGTTTAACAAAATATTTGAATAATCCATAAAATATTACTTAAACAAAATTGCACAAATGCAATATTTTGACAATTGTACTTAGCAAAAAGCTAATATTACCATCAAACAATATAGTCTCTCAAAATAGGCTGAACTGGAATGTTATGTATATGGATGCTTCCAAGTTATCTCATCAAGAGTGTGTTGGATTAGCAATTTGGTTCCCTAAATATAAAATAATTTTAAATTTTAAGTTCCCTCCTAACTCATCAGTTTTCACAGGCGAATCAGTATCCATTCTTGAGGCAGTCTTATATGCAATAATCTCACAATTTCAGACAGAACCCTTATCCTTTCACTCTCTTAGTTGCCTTCAAGCAATCATGTCAAATCTTTTTATGCTAAAGATTCCCCTCCAGTTCTTGAAATAAAAAAAAATCTATGTTTTATTCTCATTCAAAAGGGTTAAAAGTTGTTCTTGCATGGATACTCAGTCATTGCGGGATCCAAGGTAATGAATATGTGGACGCACTAGCAAGAAGCGACTGAAACAGGAATAAATTCACGGTATCAAACTTCACTCATGACCTGCTTCCATTAGCAACTTCTAACCTAAGGCCTTCATGGCAGTCATTATGGATAGACTCAAGATCCTTTAAAGGCCAACAATATGTTGATGTCCAAGACAAACCCCCATAAAGCCATGGTTTTTCTTATATTGTGAAGCTAGTAAAAAAATCACATCTACTATTTGTCGAGTGATTTGGTCATTCTTGTACTCCGCTACACCTGGCTAAATTGAGAATAAGGGATAGCTCAATCTGTGAATGTGGTCTTAATGAATGTTCAACTAATCATATATTTTTTAATTGTCAAAAGCCTTATAACATTCCTCATCCTGTAAATGTGCCTTATTTCTTAACCTTGGTTTTCACTCCGTTTATCTGTAAACTAACTTTGGTAATGAGATAATACATATCTTTTTTTTGTTCCTGTTGTAGATTCGAAAGTATCACACAAACCGTTTTTTTTTTGTAATTTATTAATAAATGTGACTCCCATGACTGACATGACCATAATTCTTTTAAGAGAGGCCATTAATAAAAGAAGAAGAATATAGTCTTTCAAATATTTTTCTTGTTTATCAAAAAACTTATGAAGGTTCACTGTTAACAACTGCTATATTTAAAGTCATGATGATGCGGAGTTACCCCTGCATCTATATTTACAGTTGTTGCTAGGCCTATTATCAGTTACCATCGAAGAAAAATCGTAAAATGTACATTGATACAACATAAATATATCAAATTACCCAGAGTTTTTATCAGGATCTTGTGCATTATCTCCCATCGGATGCCAATGTTGACTGTGACTTTTCCGGCTCTTCTTTGCCATTTAACTGTAATATAATAATATTTTAATGTTAATGGTGTCAGCACTGACCATACACATCAGATAGACAGATTTTCTAATTATTTTTTTGGGTAATTGGGGCCCACTGTTTAAAGCTTGGCCATGCATCTGTAATCCTTCAGTTGCTATAGATGTTCCTGGGTGGCAGTAATCACTTAGACTTAAACCAAAGAAAAATATTGGTGAGGCTAATGTATCAAATAATCCCAACAAGCGTGTGATTAATAAATTTATATGTAACGCTCTATTTAAGAGCACCTACATAGACATACCTCCCTCCTCAAGAGCTCCCTAGATTATATCTGTTCTGTGTACAAGAGAGTTCATGAAATGACAAAATTTGCACAACTTACTAAGAATGTGTGATTTTGCGAAAATCAATAAACAGTAAACACCGGTAACAACAAATAGAGAAGTAATGGTTGTTAGGGATGCCAAAAAACTATCGATATATCGATATTTTTGGCAGACATAATTTGATCCGATATATCGATATAAAAAATTGAATATCGAAATCGTATCAAAAACGTTATTTTTATTCAGCTGAATATCAACTGATTCAAAGCCGGAAAACGTAAAAATGAACGCAAAAATAACTGTTGTTTATGACTACTCACTAGTATTGTCGCGGATGCAATTTTGTATTTTTTACTATAATTATGATATTTATACTACAGTTTCATTCTTTTTATTTTATACAATCCATATCTAAAGTACAACATAGTATAGAGGTGTTACAAATCAATAATATTGAACTACATGTTAAGCTAATTTATAAATAGCATGCAAAATGTTAATGGTAAAATTACTTTACATTAATATTTAAATAAAGTTAACAAAATTTAATTATAATCAAATTCTCAATAAAAATAGTCACAATTATAATATTATTAAGTTTTCATAAAAAAATTATTTGACGTTATAAAAATTATTATAATTTAACCACATAAGTAACTTTTTGAAATTGTCGTTCAGCATTTTCATGTCAATTAAATAACTACCACTAAATTCTGCTGATATAAGCCTGTCTTTTAGGACAAGTCTCTGCGAGTATCTTTTAGACACGTTATTAACTTCCTTTTAAACAATTCTTTGTTTCTTTTACAAAGTTACATGTTTTTTGTATTAGTTCAGTTGCTTTAGCCCTGATTCGATTCAGGGCTAAAGCAACTGATTTATCTTACAAAAGTTACATGATGATGACGATGTACATAAGCTGTTCGTGTTAGTTTAGTGTATGGGTGCTCGCCTTTAATTCGATATACTCGAGCAAACTGAGTTCAATCCTCGGCGCCAGCACCAATGAAATTATTAATTTTAAGTGCTGACTTGTAAAGGACTGGTAAAGGAAAACGTCGTGAGGAAACCTCAATTTTTTCGAAATAATAACAAAAAAATATTTCAAACATATGTGAAGTCCGCCAATCCACAGTGAGACCCCTTGGTGGACTATGCCTCTGTAAAAGAGGAGACCTTTGTCCAGCGGTGGGATATGTATACGCTGTTACTTTACATAAGCTGTTTTTTTTTTCTAATTAAGGTATTGATCAATAATATACCTAGAAATTTAGATTAATAAAAGAAATTTGATTAAAATTAATAAATAATTAATGATTAAGCTACTGATATAATACTGGCCATTTGCTATAAATGTAAATATTATTTTTATAAATATGATTTCCTATATATCGAGTATTATTAAGTGTTTAACAAACTTATTTTCTATATTCGGTATACCCTTATATATACATTCTGATAGAGGATCATCATTTATGTATGTAAGTTAAATATTACATTTATGACAAATGGCCAGTATTATATTTGACAATCGCACTGTGGTGACCAGGAGACAACTCGTTTATTCGCTCATCTTAGCGTGGCCGCTGATGTGGCAGTCCAACGATATCCTACTGCACAGTTGGTCTTTCTGGGGGATTTTAACGCCAGTCATCTGGACTGGTTATTCCCTTACCAAAGGACCGACCATGCCGGGGGAGAAGCGTGGAACTTCGCTATCTCTCTTGGTCTCTCCCAGCTGGTACAGCAGGCGACCAGGGTACCAGATGTGGACGGTCACATAGCCAATTGCCTGGACCTTCTGCTGACTACCGATCCAGACAGGTATAGTGTTCAGATCTCCTCTCCTTTAGGAACTTCTGACCACTGTCTGGTGAAATCTGTATCGTCCTATTCTCCACCGGATCACAAATCACAGGGTGTGTGTCGAATTTGGCGATACAAGTCAGCAGATTGGGTTGAGATGCGACACTTTTTTGCTTCTTATCCTTTGCTTCTGGAGATCCGTCGAGTTGCGCGGAAGCCGTAACCGATGTGGTGCGTCAAGCAATCTAGTATTTCATCCCATTTGCTGATGTACCAAGGTTGAGGTGGCAAAGCTCGCCCATGGTTTAACGCTGAATTTGCTCAGGCTGGAAAGAACAAGCATTAGGCGTACTTATCCTGGGCTGAAGCTCGACACCGCAAAGCTTCGGACATTAGCCTGAAGAAGAAAGCTTTTAACCAGGCCACTAAGTCCTATAAAAAGACGTTGCGGCGAGCTGGATTCGACCGTATTCAAAAAATTGGCACGAAGCTCTTTGCCCAACCATCTGGCAGCAGAGATTTTGGTCTCTTGCCAAAGCGGTTGAATCCAACTTATGTCGGCCATCACTGCCTCCGCTGGTAAAACCGGATGGATCACTGGCACATGCGGGTAAAGAGAAGGCTGATTTATTTGCCTCTCTATTTGCCCACAATTCACGTCTGGACCCTGGAAGTAATACACCACCGTCAATCCCTCACTGCGAAACCTCCATGATGGAGGTTCGTATAAAAAACCGCGAGGTCTTAAGAGCCTTAAAGAGTCTAGACGTGAACAAAGCTTGTGGACCAGACGGTATACCAACGTTAGATCTGAAGGCTTGTGCACCCGAGTTGTCTCTTGTTCTGACACGTCTGTTTCACCTCTCATTTGATACTGGAGTAGTCCCCAAGTCCTGGAAGTTGGCGAATGTACAGCCCATTCCTAAAAAGGGTAGTCGTGCCGATCCTGCCAATTACAGACCAATTTCAATTACCTCCCTACTCTGCAAGACTACGGAGCGTATATTGAACGCCCGTCTCATGGCGTACCTAGAACACAACCTTCTCAGCGACCACCAGTACGGATTTCGCCGAAATCGGTCAACTGGATACCTTCTAGTGTACGCCACTCACTTTTGGGGCGAGGCCCTCGAGAACAATGGTGAAGCACTTGCAGTTTCCCTAGATATCTCGAAGGCCTTTGACAGGGTCTGGCACGCCAGCCTCCTCAGCAAACTTCCAGCGTATGGCATATCTCCTAGCCTAATCGGTTCGGTGAAGGACTTTCTGAGTGAGGGGTCCGTCCTTTCCGCAACTCTTTTCTTGCTGCATATCAATGATCTGCTCATGCCCGGTATCTATGGGTACGCGAACGACAGCACAGTTGTGGAGAGATACCAACCGAGTCTTCGGGTCAGTAGAGATCACATCCAGTCCGAAAGAGAGGCCATGGTAGAGCGTTTGAATCTTACATTGCAGGCGGTCTCTGAATGGGGAGATGCCAATCTTGTGAGATTCAACGCCTCCAAAACGCAGGTGTGTCTTTTTTCCGCAAAAAGGAGCCCCATCAACTTGGCTCCTACTTTCCAAAATTTGTCCTTGGAGTATACCGCCTTCAGTTGTTGGGAGTCGAAATATCCTCCAAACCTCAACTTTGGGCGGTTCATTGAGTCAAAAGTCAGCTGCAAGGAATTTAGGTGTCCTTGCAAAGGTGCGACGGTATTTCACACCGGGACAGCTTCTTACGCTATACAAAGCTCAAGTCCGATCGTGTGTTGCCATATCTGGGCTGGGGCTGCAAAATGCCATCTGGCTGCCTTGGACTCAATGGCGAGACGTGCGGAAAGGCTTATTGGTGACCGTAACTTGGTTAGAATCAACCTTACTAGCCTTGAGCACAGGCGCAGAGTAGCCAGCCTCTCGGTCTACTACAGGATGCATTTTGGAGAGTGTGCGTTGGAGTTGCATGATTTGATTCCTCCTGCCCCTTTCCATCATCGGACAACTAGGCGTTCGGCGAGACTACACCCTTGTGCTGTCGACGTTCCCAGAACAAGAACCAAGCGATTTGCTTCGTCATTTATCATCCGTACAGCTAAGGAATGGAACAACCTGCCGGCGTCAATCTTTCCGTCCGATTACAACGTAGGTGTCTTCAAGGCAAGAGTGAATAGGTTTTTACTGAGCTAGCGCGCTTACCATCAAAGGCTGCATCGCCACTTACCATCAGGTGGGATGGCAGTCAAGTGCAGGCCAGTTGCAAATTAAAAAAAAAATGTCAGGTACATTCATTAAAATTAAAAAATCAACTGTAGCACTCGTGGACTGCCGCGGTAAAGCTATTGTATAGCATCTTTTATCAACTTATGCAATTATAATTTTTCATTTATTTTTTATTTATGCAGTATTTTTTTTTTCTTTGATATTTATATTTATATTAATAAATAATAATATTTTAATAATATGATTATTAATATATATTATAATTTATTATATATTATTTATTTATATTATTTACCAAAATGATAAGAACTACTTAGTCAGTCACTAAGCTGTTTGGATAGTTAAATTACAATATACTTACATTTTTAAACTTGTGATATAATTTTATTGAATTTAATAATTCAAAAAGTTATATAAAGATATTAAAACAGTCTTAAATATGAAGTAATTTGTTTTTATAAGGATTAATAACAAGATACAAATAAAGAGCCTTTTCTAGCGGCGGCATTTCAATAAAAAATTTAAAATAAAAGAACAATTATTGAGGCATAACTATAATAGTCCGACATATGCTGTCGCGACACTTTTTGTAAATAATGATGTGTTATGCAAATTCGTAGTACATTATTTTATTCTATCATCAATAGTTTTCGCAGCGCACGCGATGTAAAGAATAT